AGTGCTTTACATAAAGAAGTTAACTCCATCAAAAAAGTTAGGGTCATCTCCCAACCGCCTCAAACTTAAGTTGCCGTCAAGTGATATTTAAGTTATAAGTATTATTCAAGTTCAACTCATTCTCTCAAGCCAGTCTGGTTCCAAACACGAGGCGGCGTGCACGTTACTATAATGTTAACTTAATCGTAACTTAGCCGGGATTCTCGATAAACACTTGTTTATTGTTTACTTTTCGTTGACGGGTGCTTAACTCGTTGCATACGAGTGTTATGTGTGCTTAAGTGATGTCTAAGTTTGTTTTGTAGTTTGAGTTCATAGTACCAAGTTTTTTTATATTTGTTTTTGTGTTAAGCGTGGAATGTTAAAATACATATAGAGCAACATTCTCCACTGAGATGCTAAACTCCAATTATCAGTTTTAATACCAATGCTTTTATATTAGAGTATGATATTTTATCAAATAATTCTTCAAATTAGTCTTCTATCAACAGATGAAGTTACAGACTAATTAAGCTCTCTAATAAAACTTCTTAGTGTTTTCTAGTTTTAACGAAAACTATTATAAACTATATCAAGTCCGATATAGTTTATAATAGTAATTAAAGACACTTGTAAATATAAGCAATGTTCTTTTTGGCTAAAATTTATATTAGAATGTGTTTTAAATTATGTAGTCTGAGATTCTAATGAATTTGTTCTGGAACTATAAATTCTTGCAGCAATTTCATAGAGTTAACTTTATTAGCTAGGTATTTAAATAAAAATTAATAGTGTCCTAATGAGATTAAAATAAAATATGTTGATTTTATTTTATTGGCTATAAATATTAAACTTTATTATTTTCTGGAATCATCGAATAGAACTTCGCAAAGTGGAATCTAAACTCTTATTATAAGTAGAGTAATGCCAGCACATAATATCAAGAAAACTTATCACTACAAATAAATGGAATATTGGTACCAATTCTATATCGTTAAAGGCTACCTGTATTAGAATTTGACATTGGCAAATGTATTCATAAGTCGAACGAGTTAACTGTCAAAAGAAAATAAAAAAAGAGTGTAGTAGCCATGAAAGTAGACGATATTTTCATTATCTATTAGAGTATTTATAAAATAAAGCATATAAGATTGTACAGTCGGCAGCACGTCAGACTGTACAAAACTGACAAATTTCCCCACTGGATTTTGAATACTAGTGCATTGTTGGTGGAGTTCACCAATGAGTAAATTGTAAATAAAACATATTGTGATACCCTGATATGCAACATATACCCTATAGAGACCAAAATTTGTTTTCGATGTTGATGAGGTTTTTTGTTAAGATATACCCAATAATGGTATAGAGTTCAAAAATTGTCTTTTTGGAAATGGAAATATTAAGTACTTTTGTGATAACAAAATCTTCTCCATTTTAATATGAGAATTCACTTACACAATCCCGACACAGATTAAGACTTTTCAAAGTTCTTAATAATAAATTAATTAGGTATATCGAAACTCGATCTTTCGTTCTCTCAAAGCAAGATTTATAAATTCTCATTTAAAGTCAAGTCCAGTTAAATTTTATAAAATTACACATTCCAAATTCAAAAAATTAAAACTGTACATGTTTATTATTTTTAAATTTAAAGAGTCGTCACAGTGTACCTAAAATTTGAACAATTAAAAGCTCTATTGTAAATTAAAAAAAAGTCAACAAAAAAACAAAAAGTCAAAAAAGTCAAGTCCAAATCAACAATTTTTTTTGTTCTAACCGTGCATTATTAGAATCATGTAAGTACCGGTAATTGTTAACTATATACCCACTTGTATATGGTGTAGTCTATGTTCCTTCTTCCGTTTCTAGTTCCACATGTAAAAGTTTTTAAATATTCGATTTAATTTCCCAATATTATTTCACTTGATTATAATATTTTTTATGGGTAGCCTTTATGATAAATTAATTAAATTAGACTTTATGATAAATACTATATTAATTTATGTGAACGTTGTTCAATCTTCTCAAAAAAACGTTTTAGCGCTAGGAATTTGTTATTAATTAAAGTTATCGACAATAAATTAAGCGTTTGGAAGTAATAATTAATCTTGAGTCAGTCAACTGAGTAGTCATTAGAAAGTTTGAAAACAAGTCGCATGTAGAGTTGCTTTTTTTGGAAAACTCTTATACTACTGCTGTACCACTCTCTAAGTCAGTAGTTTCTAAAGTGGTCGATATCGACCCATTGGGCTCGAAATTGGTTACCATTAGTGTAAAAAGATGAGGTGTAAAAATCGACCCCAATCAATTTTAATTTATTCCTTATTCGAAACTTTCAAGGACTATTTAAGTTCTTCAATCATAGAATTTTCTTTTTAATTGTTTTTTGCCATTATATTTGTTTTTGTGTCACATATATGAATTATGTAAAAAATATCCTTCGATACATTTTCTCAGTCGTATCATGTCAATTTTATCTAAGCTTAGTTAAAGTAAATAATTGAAGTGTGTAATACTCACTTAATACTATTAAGTTGCAGGCTTAGGTAGACTTACTTGTGTGTCTGACCGACCGGCTAATCCTTAAGGGCGCACATGATTATATACTCGCAAATTGGATTCCAACAGAAAATATGAAGGAATAAAATGTAACCGCAAAGACGCGACTTCTAACTGGATATTAAAATATTAAATCTATAATTGTTGAAAATGTACCATCATTTAGGTATTTATACGAAAACATATCAAGTATGATAACGATCCATTAACACACATGTTCGAACGATTTAATTAATATAAACCGAGGAAAGTTTTCTCTGACTAAAGGCTTTTCCTCGGCTGATTTATTATTCCAATCTTTGTCATAGTCGAATAACAGATGAGAATAGGTATATATTTATTTTTATCATACTGTATTGCTGTATTTGGTCGAGGTTAATCAATTTTAATTTAGTTTAAGTAATTAAATAATAAAAATCCGTTATTGACATTGAGTATGTTAAAATTGTTCTACTATTATTAAGAAAAGAACTTGTTGTGGATTTTGTTTTTGAAATAAATAAATATTAAAATGCCATGTCCTGTCCTAAATATGGCTGATGTCAGCGTTCGACGTCTTGACTATATTTACAACCTTTCGGTATTCCCGGTACGCAATAATAGTAGAAGCATCTAATCCAGCCAGCTTCTGAGACATCATTTTAAATTTAGATTCCCTAGACGCCGACCTAGGTATACAGTTTAAATAAGAACTCATGGCTTTAGAAAATTATCTCCTCTACATAAGTTTTCTAAGATTATTATGTATAGTGAAATCATATATTAAAACACTGTAAAGTAATATTAATTTAGAGACAAGAAATTATATAAAACAATGCGAAACAAAAAACGTGAAGTGATAAATCTGTGAAGTGCAAATATAAGTTCGGCCATGTCGTGAACAACAATGACTGCCGCCATTTTGTGAACGTGTTGACAAGATGGCGTCACGTGTGGTTTTTCGGGTCCTGATTATGTTGGCTGCTTTAGTGTTTCTTATCCACGCTGAAAATATCACCAGAAGGAAGAGAGATCCTTGGACTAATGGTAGTTGGTTGTAAGTACTGTAGTTAATAAATAAAAACAAATAACGAAACAATTCTTGCCTGCATTACATAACGTTACATGTTTGGTGAAACGACAAAGCTTCTTACCTAAGTTTATCTTAATATTAAGCGATTTTTAGTTAAGCTATGCCTTGTTCTAGATTAGTGAAAACGGGTGTTAGTTACCTAAGCCAATCGATTGCGTGGAGCACGAATATTATTTATATTATTCGTTTACGTATATACGTGTTAACTATTACTAAGATTAGATAGAAATTATATATTTTAACATTGATGTTTATTGATTTTCTGTAACTAGGTACCAATTTGTTATTTTTAAATCAGGAGAGCAAAGGCAGCTACATATAATAGCAGCTGTAACTTTCAACAACAAACTCTATCGTTTTATTACGAGTCTAGACAACTCAGGTGGTTCGCGAAAATAAACCTGTTCCTCTGGGATATTACTGCAGACAGGTAAAGTATGAAATTTGAAATTGCGTAAATCAATAGAGATAAAGACAGTTTCTATAATATATTTTAGGGTGAACTTAATAAAATGAAATCAATATGATATACCTTTTTATTGATATCAATATGTGCCTACTTAACGTTCTAGTATATTTTTTCAACAAGGGCAACTGTTTAGGGGTTATAAACAACATATTATATACAATTCATATCTTGCTTTTACATACTGTTCAATAACTCGTCTTTCCGAGTCATATCATCATTTAACTATATTTCTTCGGATTTCGTCTCCTTACTTCAATTTAACTCCTTACTCAAAACCTTTTTGATTGATATGTTAATCTTCTCTCTTTATTGTATTTCTATAATAAAAAAGTAATAAGCAAGTACTAGCCGGTACAGGCATTTCGTGAGTATGCCGCGATTGCTACAACGGCCATTGGGTGCGACCGCTTAGCTCTTTTAGCTATAGGATACGACATTTTAGCAATGTCATGACCACAGAACACAGAAAGATGTCATGACGATGTTTCGTTTCATTCCACTACTTTGATATGTACTTTTATAACGATGACCGACTTTTAGTGAATTATCCGCCAAAAAACATGACAAAGTAGTTTGACGAAGCAAAATATCGTCATAACATTGCTGATAGTCTTGGGCGTAATCGCAACTGAGATCAAACTCTCAAACGAACGAGCGAACCAGTTCGCTCTTATAGTTCATTTAGAATCCTAGCTCTTTGCTGCAGGTACCATTTTGAAACGAGCTGCCTTATATTGAATGCTTATATTTTGTCAAATAAAAATTTTTTGGATCGATTTTACGGCTAGTATATTTCATCTTAACTATATAAAAAATATATAAAAAAATGGTTTTTGATATAATCTTTTGATCACAAAAATATATAAAATTTTACTGACTGATGTTATAAATGTTTGAAATCAAGCGAACGCATCTTTACTCTCAACGTTGGCGGACGTACAAGAAAGCCTTAACATGTAGGTATCGAGAAAAAAAATAAACAACTGAACTAGCACAAATTGTTATTATCTAGATTGTAGCGCCATGCGGATGCTTTTTCTGCCACTCTAGACATGTTGCTAGACAAACCGTGCACCCAAAATTCGTACTGTAGACTTGTTACGTTGACGCACTCGAACGTTAGATTTACTGATTCCTGGAAATAAAATACACATAGTTTCTTTTATTTATATTAAAGTTTATATTTGAATTCATTGACAACCTCCGAGGAAAGGCTCGTATTTAAATTTGTGTAGTGATAATGTAGAAAATGGAATTTATATTGTCTTCGTCGTTTCAGATCGGTGTTGGAATAGCTTGATTTTAAGTATGCTGACATATATTATTGTATATATTTGAAGGGAAGATCTGACTTTTATCAACCTAATTAAATGGGGAGAATGGCCATGACCCATCGCGGGTCCAGTGCGGCTGATATGTTTTAATGACTGTAGATGCAGCCGGGAACAACAGCTTAACGTACCTTCCGAAGCAGAGAAGTTGGAGATAATATATTTTCGGTAATCCATCCTACGACCGACTCCTACGGAACTTGCTAAACTTCAACATCACGGATAAGAAGGGTTTTTTGTTTGTAACGTACAAATTCACAAACGACTTAAGCTAAAGTAAAGTGAGAAATATGAACTTAAATTTTGATCGTTTTAATGTTACTCCATATCGTGTGCAATCAATGAAATATAATTATACTACCTTCAAGTATACGGATACTATAAACTTATAAATTTTCTTTCACTCATTCTATGTTGTTGCACAGAATTCTAACCATTATCAACGAGTAATTTTTTCTTATTTCTTTGAAGAAAAGTTCATTGGATCACCTCATTTTAGATAAATATGATAAAAGGAGTTCAAATTATATTTAAAAAATATATAGTTATGTAATTAACATTAGTTTAAGCCGATCACAGTATATGTGATTGATATGTACCTCTAAAATACCGCCTGAAGTTATATATCCTCTCATGTCACCGGAGTCTACGATCAGCATGACGCTAAATCTTGTTATGATGACTGAGTAATCGAGGTCTGCGTCCTAGGAAAATTAAAATATTAAAACAACCTATTTAAAATATATCTATCAAAATATACAGCGTCTGTTTATTCTTTTAAATGTTTGTATTGTAAATATAGAAACATTTTTGGATAATGCTTGAGGAAGTTAACGATATTTCGTAAAAGTTCTTTGCAAAAAAATAACCTTTATTTCTATATTAATTGGATGATCTTGTCTTGGTCTTGTCGTGAAATATTTTCGTAGTACTGCATAAGCACGTGTCTATACCCCGCCATTATTAAAATTTATTAGTATCAATTTATCTTTTTTTCCTTAATTCACATTTTTCCTAACCAAAATAAAAAAAATCAGTTGATAGGTGGCCAAATCAAGAAATGGCAGCATAAAGTGATATGCCCAGGCAGATCTCGATCGGCTCAATTCAACGATTGGCCCACGACTTATACAAAGGATTCGCGTCCTAGTATGTTGGACATTAATTCATTCTTAAATTTTATCTTACCTTGTATAATTCGCGGAATAAATATTTTTATATAGACTTACACCTGTATACTTTAATTTTAAAATATTTTTGAAAAACTATCAATAACCCTATTTGCCAGCCTTTGTCTCTGTCTCATTGCCGGGCACAATGAGACAAATAGATATAGCTCTTTTACGAAGTGTGACAATCAAGCGTAAGCAAGAATCACCTAAATGTGATCTACCGCGATTTTTTTTCTTGTATAAAAACTTCTGTGTGTGCAATATACATAGAAGACTTTGTTCTTGAACATGAATTCATGGATAAACATATTAAGCGAATTACCTCCATTGGAAAGGAAAGTGTAAGTTTAACATTTTGTTTTGGAAACGTCCATGCCTTTGTCGCAAACACTAATAATTCTGCGTCTGTAAATAAAAACATCAATATTGTATTTGTAAAATGTATGCTGTTTACATATCTAGTTAATTCATCTCCCCGAACTCGACGTAGAGCGCACCGCTATTAAAGTATAAAGGTAAAATTAAATAGAATCTACTTAAAATGGTCATACATTTTGATATTTCATTGAAGTTCTATGATGTGACATCGCTGTGCTTGACGTCGAGTTCTAGGTTGTTTTTAACAGATTAGTATAACAGATTCATCATGTGTTACCTACGATCGATTTATTAGTGTAAAGTGTCTTGATCTGTTCCAGTTTTTACATATTAGTAAATTTATAAGCATCAACGTTTATATTGATTTATATACTTTAATTGCTCTTCGCCAGCGTCTTCGTCCCCATGGTCATGTATTATACATATAAACTATATTCTTGATTCACTATGTATTAATGAAAACCGAAATATAATCCGTCGTGTAATCTGATCATACAGACACTGGGTAGTTTCTTCCTTTTTATACTATGTATAGATAAATCTATACTATAAAATCGAGAGAATTGGTTTTTGTTTGTTTGTAAAAAATAAATTCTAAAATTAATAGACCAATTTTAAAAATTCTTTAATCAATATCATTAAGCTAAATTGTCATCGTGTGATATTGATAGGCCGGTTTCGAGGGGTCAGCTTTAAAAACTAATCTACATTAATATTATAAATAGAAAAGACTTAATTGTTTGCATAGGCTCCGAAACTATTAGATTAAATTTAAAAATTATTTCACTTTAGAGAAGCTACAAAAATTTAAGTGGACGAAATCGAGGGAAAATAAATCAGTTATTATATTACATCATGACAAATTATTATTAAATTCTAAAAGTATTTATGCATTTTATTTCTGATATCAATTCTTAAAATCTTTCGTTATTTTTTCAGTAACTAATTTCCAATAAAGAATTATGTCTTTTAATGTAAACTTACTAACGTATAAGTAAATATAATAATTAAAGTACTCACTTTCTACTTCATCAAACTGACACAAAAATTTAAATGCAGTCGAATGTAAAAATGAATTCATTCGATTAATAACAGGAATATCTGCATGTTTCGTATAATTTAAATACTTTACATCATCAAAACTGTGTTCACCGTCATCACATACAGCAACATAGCTTAATACACATAAGAACACACCAACAGTTATACTGTAAATCATAATACTCGATTGTTACTTTGATTTCTTAACACCGTAATACGAAACTAATTAATATCTACAACAGATCACTCAATGGTAACAAGGTTAGTTATTCATATTTTAATGACAATCTGACGATAAATATTATCATTAAATCGATAATTTTTTGATAAAACAGTGTTTTCAGCCTGTGATCAAATTCTGCATAATTTCTTTATCAGGTGCGCACGTTAATTACTAACACAAAAAAGGTTTTTTTAATACAGTTGCTCAAAAAGTGGCGTATTATAGGCGTGGCGGGATGTGGGCTATTACACACTCGTGTTTTTTTACCTTACCCACACTTAAATAATGTCTATTAATAAGAAAAACCAACCATGAAGTTTTTACCAAAAGAAAATCAAAGAAGTTTTTATGATTCATGTAAATATGTAGCGTAGGTATTTTTCTAAAAAAAGCTACTAATTTGTATCGATATCAAATTTAATGATTTGATTTAATTAGTGAGGTTAGGTTAATTTCATATTATCTCATTAATTAATTTCATTTTATCTCATTAATTAATTTCATTTTCATTTCATATCAATAAAAAAATCTACTGAAAACTATGTATGTATGGGCGTAGTTCCCTTTGCCTACCAGGATGGGTGAATAAAAAATGGCGCCATTTTCCAGAAATTTTCTTTGCGAGTTTAGTTGTTTGTTACACAAAATGTGTTTGTTTCGTGTTTGTTACGAAAAGCTATATTGGTGATTCATTAAACAACAAACTAGAAACTGGGAAAAAAATCACACAATCTATTAATTTAAAGTCCTGTCCGTCTCCTTCATACGTTGAAGAGAAGGTTCGTCCATCTACCGACGTTGATAATTGTAATTCATCAGATCCAGTTCCATCAACTAGCAAACGCCATTGTATGACAAATATACATGAACAATCATACAAAATTTATAATAGTTTGTCTCAAACAGTAAATATGCAACCTAAAACTTCCCCAGTTAGTATAAAAAATTGTACCAATTTCAATGTAGGTATATGTGAAATATAACTTTTATAAACAACAAATGATTAGTTAGTTGAATTTATTATGCTTTTATTATTTTATTTATTTGCTTCCGAAATCGAGGGAAAATAAATCAGTTATTATATTACATCATGACAAATTATTATTAAATTTTAAAAGTATTTATGCATTTTATTTCTGATATCAATTCTTAAAATCCTTCGTTATTTTTTCAGTAACTAATTTCCAACAAAGAATTATGTCTTTTAATGTAAACTTACTAACGTATAAGTAAATATAATAATTAAAGTACTCACTTTCTACTTCATCAAACTGACACAAAAATTTAAATGCAGTCGAATGTAAAAATGAATTCATTCGATTAATAACAGGAATATCTGCATGTTTCGTATAATTTAAATACTTTACATCATCAAAACTGTGTTCACCGTCATCACATACAGCAACATAGCTTAATACACATAAGAACACACCAACAGTTATACTGTAAATCATAATACTCGATTGTTACTTTGATTTCTTAACACCGTAATACGAAACTAATTAATATCTACAACAGATCACTCAATGGTAGTAAAGGTTAGTTATTCATATTTTAATGACAATCAGACGATAAATATTATCATTAAATCGATAAATTTTCGATAAAACAGTGTTTTCAGCCTGTGATCAAATTCTGCATAATTTCTTTATCAGGTGCGCACGTTAATTACTAACACAAAAAAGGTTTTTTTTAATACAGTTGCTCAAAAAGTGGCGTATTGCAGGGACGTATAGCGTTCGGGATGTGGGCTATTACACACTCGTGTTTTTTTTACCTTTCCCGCACTTGTGCGTTCTTTTTCCCAACTGTCAAAATAATGTCTATTAATAAGAAAAACCAACCATGAAGTTTTTACTAAAAGAAAATCAAAGAAGTTTTTATGATTCATGTAAATATGTAGCGTAGGTATTTTTCTAAAAAAAGCTACTAATTTGTATCGATATCAAATTTAATGATTTGATTGAATTAGTGAGGTTAGGTTTCATTTCATTTTATCTCATTAAATTTCATTTTCATTTCATATCAATAAAAAAATCTACTGAAGACTATGTATGTATGGGCATAGTTCCCTTTGCCTACCAGGATGGGTGAAGAAAAAATGGCGCCATTTTCCAGAAATTTCTTTGCGAGTTTAGTTGTTTGTTACACAAAATGTGTTTGTTTGTGTTTGTTACGAAAAGCTATATTGGTGATTCATTAAACAACAAACTAGAAACTGGGAAAAAAATCACACAATCCATTAATTTAAAGTCCTGCCCGTCTCCTTCATACGTTGAAGAGAACGTTCGTCCATCTACCGACGTTGATAATGATAATTCATCAGATCCAGGTCCATCAACTAGCAAACGCTTTGTATGACAAATATACATGAACAATCATACGAAATTAATAAAAGTTTGTCTCAAATAGTAAATATGCAACCTAAAACTTCCCCTGTTAGTATAAAAAACTGTACCAATTTCAATGTTTATGTGAATTATAACTTTTATAAACAATAAATTATTAGTTAGTTGAGTTTATTTTGTTTTTATTATTTTATTAAATTGTTTCATTTTTTCGCAACTGCATTAAAAATAGTCGTTCAGTACACGTGCGGAACCGTCATTGCAACTCGTTCCGACTGTCAACCCTCGCCTTCGGCTGCGCCTAGGCTCGGGTAGACATTTATCGGAACTCGTTGTAATGACAGCCTTTCTGCACTTGTAATGAAATATACTATTTTTTATCCAACTACTGTTTAAAAACAATGTATAACTGGCATAGAATGATAGCTGTCGAACTGAGATTCTCCACGCAATAGGTAATCAAATTTTTGAGACAAATGGAAAGCTTGTTGTTCTTTTAATATGTTTTTTTATTTTGCGATATAATTCGTACTTTATGTGTTCAAGATAAAAGTGTCCAGGCCATCAAGCTTTCATAAGTAACAGCGGCTTTTATAACGTAGGTCAACCATACTATGATCTCTTGACTTTGACCTAGAAATGATAATGGAAAATTTCCCCTGCGCTAACAAAAATAGCATCAAACTGTATCATATCGCATTAGGTCTCAACTAGGTATAATGTTTTAATTTTTCACATTATTAATAACGAGTCCCTCAAATCTATCACATGCAATCGATATATTTTTATCTTTACACGATAATGTCATTAGGTAACTTTAAATATAATTGTAATCATTAAACCATAAGAGCCTATTAAAAATATCATAGAAAACCCGCACAAGCAAAAAACCCCGGAAGCCTCTAACTAAACCATAGCCTGAATTAATAACAGACCTTAAAACCGGTCGCAACAAAAAGGGATACCGAGCATTAATGCCTCCATCCCTTTATTAAAGGCTCTCACACATAATTATAGCTCATTATATCCACACTCTAATATTAATGTAATTCAGTTTGAAGATATTTTATGGTTAGGACTTTGCATACCATACTATATAGTATATACTATATTATACATACTATTTAAGTGGCTCGGTGACGTAATGGATAAGCGCCGCGGCCCGTGATCGTTGTCGTTAAGCAACTTTCGCAAAGGTCGGTCACGGGATGGGTGACCAAAAAATTATTATCTCGAGCTTCTCCGTGCTTTGGAAGGCACGTTAAGCCGTTGGTCCCGGCTGCATATGCAGTCGTTAATATCCTCCAATCCACATTGGGCCAGCGTAGAAAGGTCATGGCACATTCTCCTTAACCATCCATAAGGAAGGCCTGAGCCCCTGCAGTGGGGACGTAAAAGGGCTGGTGATGTCGATGAATAATAATAATAATTCATTTAATTGCTATAAATAGGGCTGCTTACAATGAAGTGGATTGTTGTCTTCAATGATGTACTTAAATTATTTAACTATATTATTTCAATAACATACAAATGTCAGTCCAATTAAATTTAAAGAAATGTCCATTTGAAATAATAAACTATGACATTAAATATATATATAAAACAATTACATTTTTGAATTAACTTTAACGTCGACGATCTGTATATTAATTCAAGTTTTGTCAACATTTCAGAAAATGCTCTCAGACTCAATTTCTTATATCTAACCCAAACATTCGGAAAACGTATGAAAACTGAAGCAAATTTATCAGCAATAACAATTTGGAGCAATTGGTTGCAGTGGCTTTTATTTTGGAGTAAACTTAAATATCTCTACATTATTAATCTGAATTTCTATGTAGTATACCTTCAAAATGGAGTAAATATATATATATATAATTTTAATATTTTAACATATACGAGTATAATTATACTAGCTTTCCGCCAGCAGCTTCGCCCGCGAGATCTTTTATTAAACATTCCTTCTATTTCAATCACCCTATCCATGAAAAAAAAACCGCTTCAAAATCCGTCGCGTAGTTTTAAACATTTAAGCATACGTACGGATATAGGGACAGAGAAAACGTCTTTGTTTTATACTATGTAGTGATGAAGTAGATGAGTGGATAAGGTCTTAATTTTGATTGAAAGTAAACACACCGTTGATGGTGGTTTCGATCTTCCATTTTATAAAGCACTGCCCCGAATTTCCCGAAATCATCAGTGCAGCGCACCCCAACGTGAAGCGCCCGGATGCGTTGTACATGCACCATAGGTAAAGACGGGCTTGTAATAAAGATAACTCTTTGAAATATCTTCCGAAATTAAAACTATTAAGTACTATTAATAATAAATAAATAGTAGATATGATAATTACCTGAGAATCGCATATTTCTAAATTTATTAACCGTATATTATATATTTTTAAAAAATTAAGTCATTTAGCATTTCATGATCTATATCTTGAAAACTTTAGATCCGATTTTAATAAAACTTAAACAATCCCTAATTAGAGAATAAAACTGTTGTAATCAGGTTTATTTTAGAAATAGTACATACTTCTACTTTTCTAATATACACACTTAGATACCACAAACAGTAAACAGTTTAATTTGAAAGTAGCCACAGTAAAATGTCATGGAAAAGTTTAATTTAGTACTTGTAAATTTTTAACCTGTTAAGACGTTATCGATCTTTGAATTATCATATAAGTAAATTACATCGTTAAATAATTATAGTATTTTTAATGTGTCTTTTAAATTTTATAACGTGTAATTATTTTTCGAATAATTTAAGATACTCGTAATTAACATCTCAATCTGCTTGAATCTGAACGTCTAAAAATTAATACTGAAAAACACAGTAATATATCAATGAGGAAGAATTTAAAATATACATTAGTTCCCGAAATCAAACTAGATGTCGCTATCGAACTTTCTTGATTTCGCCATGACAATCCTTCCGGTTTTCTTTCATGTGAAACTAAATTAGTTTTCAAAACTCAATAAACAACTCGTAATCTATTTGTACTTTTTCGTATTTATATCGATATCTAAGTTTCAAACTTTGCAAATTTCTATTTATTAATATTTAGTTGAAAGGAACGGGTATGATTATCTTTGGTACATTCGACTCCTGCAAAAATCAACTTGTCGCTATCTAGTGGAGGTGCTTTATAGTGCTTTATTTTTTTTAAATACTTCCTCATTTAGAAGTTGTTATTTAAGATACCTACTATCTATATGACTAGGACCGCAGAACAAAACATACAGTTACCTAGTAGATATGTAGTGATTATTTCTATTAGTCATCGGAGCTAAAAGGAAATTAGAACGGCTGCTATTGAATCATTGGAGTACTTACAGTTTTTTATTACCCTTTTAATGTTTTTGTAGAGTTGAATGATGTAATATGAACCCAAGTAAAATTAACAATTCTAATTTGTTTTTCATTGACATACATAGTCTTTTATGAAGTAAAATATAGATATTTCTTTAATGAATGATCAAACATCTAATTTGTAACAATAATCTTTATAAACAAACTGTAACAGTTTCTTGTCATCTTTAAAAGATTTTTATTTACTTCAATTTCACACCGAAAATTTCAATTGTAAAATTGAAACCACACCACAGAGCACTTCTCAAATGTATATTGACGAACGTATGTCCGACGCCGCCAAAATCCACAGCTGCGGACGCACCGTCATTATAATTATTGTCTACAACATAAATTGCACTTATCACATTGTCACTTTCTTCATAATATTTCGGAAAAGCAACGTCATATGATCTATAGATAAAAGGTGCTTTTTCATGTACACTTTTATGTATTAATCTGTCGTTCTCAATGCGTTCTCCTATAAAAACACTTTCGGAGTTTATTTTTTTTAAGACACACACCACAAAAGCGACAACGGCAAAGGATATTATTGTTACTCGCACCATTATTTTGCTATTTATTTTTCAATTCAAATACTACTAGTCCCATTAACAATGTTATTTGTCGTCGATAACTGCCAGAAAAATAAACTTTTTTTGCAATAAAACTGTAAAAGGGTCATTAGATGATAAATATGATAATGATAAGATATGCTATAACCTACTTGTGATAGCTATCAATCTAAGCCATAAAACTTCAATCGATATTGGACTTAACATTATTAAAGTAACTAGATTGAAGGATTTGACGGTAATTACACTATAAAAACGTTGATTAAACCATAATAAATTTGTTTAAATTAAAACATTTTGAAGTTGACATGAGCACGATCGTATGGATTTGATTTTATGCCAAACGATCAATTTTAATATGTGAACTTAATTAAAAACTGTGTCGATTAGATAAACAAAGAATACCTAATCAAAATTCCTTAAAAAGCTGACAATTTATTTACAAACTATTAACTGTAGACGACGGCAAAAAGTTTCTTTATTTTATTAAATCGCAAGCTGCAAATTTATTCTGCTTATATCTGTACTAGTTATTTTCCCGCGACTTCGCACGTGTAAATTATAGCTTATGGTAACCCAGTATGATGTACGTACGTAAACAAACATAAAACAAAACAACCCAACCCTTCTTCTTTATATAGATAGATATAGTATTAGACCAATACATACTATGCATAAATAACTATTATCTGAGTGGAAAAGTGTAAATTTCAAAAGTGATTCTATGCGCCTCCTTTAAATAAGTACTTAACGTAAATATTTTTTTTCCGTATCACGCACAATGTTGATATGAGGTGAGATCATGAGAATTTCAAGGAAATATCATATTTATCGTACTAGTGTGACCTTTCCTCACACACACACTCATACAGAGCGGTAGATACTTACAATGTCCTTTGTGTGAAGTACACAAGTTTAAGTTTGTCGTGACTTCAAAATAGACTTTTGTTATTGGTCTCGATTAATCGCCGGAAGACTAAAAGTCGTCTTAATTTTGTTTCGTATATAGATGTTTTTACCCTGTTGTTTGTAATTAATATGGTGCGATTACTAATTGCTTTGACAGTGAGTTGGGCTTCTAATTTTCCAATATAACTGATATAAAAAAAAAAAATCTCACTTATGTTTGCCTATAATGAAAAAAAAATCTACTAAAATAACTGCAAAACCTAATTTCGGGAATGTTTGTAATGCAAATAATTTAAAATAACCTTTTTTATGATGGCCTATTTTCACTCCAATCACGAATTTTAATTAACGTATTATTTTAATTAGGTTGATACGACTTTTTTTACAACACTGTACGAAAACAATTAAAAATTTATCATCACACTCAACAGCACCAAAATAACTTTTAAACGTAATTGAGCTTGTTATTACACACACACAAACTATTCAAGAGAATCAATAAAAACATTGTCACTTACAGAAACATTTATTTATCAATAATTCGAGTATTCAGATCAACAGTAGAATTCATAAACACAAAACAATCAAGCATAGATTTCAATCAGAAACCTATATCCGGAACCGCGTTCACTCTTCAATTTGATGTTCACATAATTGAATCCTAAACCACCTCTTGTTATAGCCGGTTCAGCTAATCCGTTGTCCAAATCCTTGATGGCTATTCCTTTGATTTTCTGATCACCCAAAGGATATTCGAAGTATACTTCCTGCTCTCTCTTTATAAGCGGTATACCGGTTGTCTCTACTGTTTTTTCATACACTTTTCTAACAATCCCATTATAATCGTAAACTTGACCGACAATCACAGATTTAGCGTAAGTAATCGCTATAAAAGCGGCCAGAATTGTTAGGACTTTGAACATTCTGATAAACGAGCTCCCTTGAACGCTGAATGATAGACACTGTTGTGTGATTGGCCGCGAGGTGTCGACAAAGCGACCGAGAACTGCTGAGGTCAAGTGTTACACTGGTTATATAGATAAAGTAAAGCTTACATGTCGCTGGCATTATATATTACTGATATTGTGACATATATTCGAGAACTGTATTTTTATAAGATTGTTTTGTATAGAGAGAGAGTAGGTAGTGCATATACTTAATATTTTTTATAACTATAACATATGGTTATTTAACCACAATACGTAATAATGATGTGTACTCGATCATATCAAGTACCTATAGAAGAAGTTAACTTCCATTTGATTTGTATAAACGAATTCAATCTTATGTTACCTGTTTCATTAAAAATATATTATTTGATTTACGTAATTCATTAATTACCACATCACAGATATACATAACCACGTTTTATCATTCGTTTGTATTTCATAGGGGTTACGCTTTAATATTTAAAATATTCAGTACACATTTCTTATATTGCACAATGTAAATAATATCGATAAACATGTCAGGACATCACGAAAAACAATCTTATGAAGCATAAATTTCCAAAATAAATTTGTAACCAGACCCCCTTTCGCTCTTCAATTTTATAGTGGCGTAATCGAACCCTAAGCCACCACTAGTCACAGAGGGTTCGGCTAGTCCATTCTCAATATCCTTCATTGCGATTCCTCTTATTGTCTGTCCAGGGGTATAAAACTTCTCTTCATCTGTCCGCTTGAAGAACGGTATGGAGTTCCTTTCCACTACTCTTTGTTCAAACATCTTAACAATACCACTATGATCTATAATTTGACCTAATATAATTGTTTTCGAATGTACTATAGCAATAACAGCGCACAATAATGTCAAATATTTAAAATACATGTTCACTGTCTTATTAACTATAATACACTGAGTTGAAGACGAAGTCTCATTTAGTCCCTATCAGTAGAGAACCCCAGGTCATTCCAGCATAGATTGTGATTAGGTTATCGAAAGTTTGTATTGTTTATTTCAACATAAAATAACTTGAAGCATCAAAGTTTCAATAATTAATATTAGTATTATTTTTATGTATGTATATGTGTATATGTATAGTCCGGCGGGTAGTCCGAACAGACTATTACGAAGGGTCCATATCGGAGGACTATCTTTAAAATAACACTGCAGGCGTGTATACCGACGTGTAATGATGATGCGACATATATGTATATATATATTATTATTATTTGTTTTTTTTTCTTCATTTTATATATTTAGTTGATGTTTTCCCTAACTTTGTGCACGACCCACAATCACCTACCACCAGTATCAATTAAAAGGTTGCCCGGAAGAAATCGCTATTCAGCGATAAGGCCGCCCATTGCAAAACTGTAATTAATATTTTTTTTTGTTCCTTGCAATGTATTTATTTTTACTTTTTTTTTGTGCAATAAAGTGTTAAATAAATAAAATAATATTTAAACTAAATTATGTAAATTATAATGCAACCGCGATCAAAAATGCAATCGAGTTTTTTGAACCGTTCCTGTACGTATCGAAATACAAAGTTATATTACTGCTTTTTCGTTTCCGTTCATTATTATTTAATACGATACGAGTATATTTATTAATCGTCCTCATGTATCAAATGTAGGTACCTTAATTAAAAACTTTTTATAACCCTTACACTTGTCCACTCATCCAATCTTTAAATACAATATTTTGAAACTTTCTGCTGTTGTTCCATATTTCAGAAATTACTTATGTTGGTGTTGAAACCTCTTTAATGAAAATAAAGAAAAAAACTTGTAATTTTAATGTAAAATAGATTCACTCGATTATATTTATTCCATTCTAAATAGAGCAGTACCGATTAATTTTTAATTTCAATTAAATTAATAAAGAAACATTCCTTATTAAGGTTCACATGTGCGAACCAACTCAAACATTGTTTGGAATAAAATGCATACATGTATGAGTTAGCCACTTAATTTGCATTCTTGAGACAATAGCAGGGAAGTCAACCTTTACTTTAATCAGAGGTAAATTAAACATTTTTACCTTATTTTACACTACTAGCAAATTTGAGAAATTTTTATTTAAGGATTTATTTACTCAACACAAAATTTTTAGACTTAAATCTTCTAAACATAACAGAATAAACAAAATCAAATAAAACTGCATTAATAAAAAAAATAAAACTATATTAAAATAAACATTTTCTATTGTTACCCACTGAAACACTAATCATTCATTTTCTACCATGATGATATAAAAAGTTATTGCTTTGTAAAACGTAGATGTTGACCCAAAAATTGTAGCCTCGCAGAACACTCGGACTATTCAGCTCTATTGTGACGAAATGTTCACCAATACCTCCTGCTTTGATATAAGCTTCAGCCCACTTATCTTCCCTCAAATCCATAACCTGTATTGCGTTGATCACTTCATTCTTAGAACAGTTGACAGTAAAAGTTTCAGATCTAACCCATATAGCAGGATTCTCTTGATGCACTTTGCTGTAGATCAATTTTGATCCAATATCAGGATATCCAAGGTACAAGTCGTGAGAGTTTGAACAACAGACAAATAATATCAAAGAAACTATTGATAGAAGAAACATTTTTGATGCGTCCGTACTACTACGTGATGGAAATTATAATAATAACTTGGTTATAGATATTTTATTAACTTTTAGTTGCGTAAAAGATGAATTAACAGTAAGGTGTGAACAAGATGCCTTTATGAATGGACATGGTGATATCATTCCTGTAACTCACGACACAGAGAACATTTATGTGGTGACTTAAAAATAAATCTTAGTATGTGATGTGACTTCCTCGTAAATTTATCTAAAATATTAGTAGAAAATCCATGAATGTCTTTAACATTCTGCTGTGAATAAATACCACGTATAATGTCAGGATAGATTGAAGTTATATATAAGTGTCCGACATCTCTAGACCTTTCAATTGTGTTTTAAATCGGCCACATTAAAGTACAAAATGTGGAGATTAGTCTTTTTGTTTGCCTTTTATATAAAAATTGTTGAATCCAATGATTTGCGAGTGGGATACATACAACACAATTCTAGAGAAATTTTTAATGAAGTCAGAGAGGGATCCGCAGCGTTGTTTTGGAGACGATATGAAGATGTTACTATAAATGTACCGAGCAACGTTTTGATATCAGCTATTTACGTGACCGACTTAACTGATGATAAGCATGGCCAAGCTTCCATCACTAATGGTGGCATTGGTATGAACAGTGTAACAATTAACCTGCGAACCACGTCGTTAGTTAGAGGATACAGTTTCAAAGTCGAAGTTTTTGCAGACCCACCTGGATATTACAATAACGGTAAAGCCAATTATTATGAACCCACGCCAATTTATGGGAGAAAGTACTGAGTTATGGATTTTTGAAATATTTAGTATAAGACATGTATTTTTTTTTAAATAAATATTATATATGAAATAATTTGGTTATCCGTTTTTATTATCTCTATTGTGCAACCTGTGTTATAAATGCCACCACATTAAAATATAATACACGTACAACTTTAGCTTTATAACTTCATCATAATACGGTTAACAGTGGAAAGTTCAGATATTAGATAACTTAATATAACTGTAAGGAGGTCGATTTTCGTTCATAAAATTCAAAAGGAAATTATCGCAGATGATTGTAGTTGATTCCAATACACTTACCATAATACTAAAGATATAGTAATGGTAATGAGCCAAGCTCATTGTTTCGTTTCTGAAGTTGATGTCATCTTTATCTTAATAGTGACTAATACATTGTAATGTAATATTCCCCTTTAAGGAAAACATATTTTTTTTTCTATGTAAAGACCCTTAGATTTCGTTTCAAAACCTACCTATATTTTGTCACTGGTTACATTTACTGGCGTAAACAATTTTTCGAGATTTCATGCAGTCTTGTGTAACGCAATGAAACTTTACCCCGGCTTTGGCTTTAAACTTGCAGTTTCATATATGTTGAAAAAAACACGTTAAATTAATTAAGATATGTACCTAATTGCTAACAACTGAATTAAGACAATACTAGACGGAGACCACTTGACAAAAATATGCAGGAGCCTTGACTAAGTACTCATAGTACTCACTGCGGAGTTCTGTAACTGGAACACCAGTACTTCAACAAACTGAAATATCAAGCTTTCGAAAGCTCTTGTACATTTTTCTCGTGATCTTTTAGACTATAGGTACCTTGCGAAAAATGGAGCTAGCCATACAGTGAACAGAATATGCTTGTGCTTATCTTTAAATTTCACGATAACTGTACATTTACAGTCTACCTATGAAATCACAAACTATGAAAAATGGCGGAGATCCAGGAGTCGTCAAAGTTGTGATGTCTTTGTTCAGTAAGTCATTATGATGAAATGCCACTAAAACTGCATACATTATAATTTTTATAGATTATATCATGTATATCTTTATAAAAATATGTCTCATGATCTTATGATGAATGTATGGTGTTTGCCATGACATTGTAGGACGTCATATGACACGTCTACAGCGTGATGGATATGCGTCTTTCATACATATTTGTTTGTAAAGGACAATTTATACTGAAGAGAGCCAACATTACTTTTTTTTATTAACGACCTGATTCAAGAGGGTTAAATTTTAATTTTTATTATCAAATTTTATAATAATCTTAGTAAATAAGTACAGTACAGTAAGCATAGCTGTTTATATTCTTCAGTTTATTTACACTAAATATTATTAAATTACGCTAAGAATTCCATATTAATTACTCTATCTATTAGTGTAAACTACGTGTACTTAAATATTTTGCAGTTTTTCAATAGTTTTTAACTGTATCATTCAGCTAGCAAACAGGTAATTATTATACGTCATGAAAATCGAAACAAAATTATTGTTATTTAAATTATACAGTAAAGGTATGTGCGTATATTGATCGATAATTCGTCGCGCGTCTTTGGTCGTAGAACGTCAGAACTGATAAATATATGATAATGTGACATTCAACCTTGGACAGTCGACGGATAATGCATCGTATATTAACACATTTTCAGTGACACGCTTCACATTTTCATTTCTGTCATTTTAACTTCAAATCATATTATAAATCTGAAACAACGAAGTCGTTAGTGTAAAGGATCTTGAAACGACGACCCATCGATGTAAGTACGAGTGCTCAAATCCAATTAAATATTAACAGTATGAAATATAATATTACTTAAGCAAAAAAGTAATTAGAATCAAACGACGTAACAAAAATAATTCATTTTAAAATAATATTTAGAGAAATAAATAAAATCATACTTCTTGTGAGGGCAATTGCAACCTATATAACAATTTATAATACCTCATAATTTACCTTAACTCATAGTTACAAGTCGTACATGTCGTAATTATACGATCTCCATTTATCATTTTTCGTCAAAATTAACTTTTCTATATTATCTCGGGTCTAGGCGTTGTGATATCTCGTTGTTTCAGATTTCCGTAATGATATATGATATTTAAACAGTAGTAATTTGAACTTCCTTATTCATTCTTACATGACACCATCATTTCAATATAAAACAAAAGGACACAGCATAGTCACTTCAGTAACGAACGAACGTCGCAAAAATGCGCGCTTTTACAATAATCACACTTCTGTATCTGTTCAGTGCATACTATTGTCAAAGCCATGACCTGGCACTAGGTCAGGCGACGTATGGAGATGTAGTGATATATAAAGTCAACGAATACAAGTATGGATTCCCTATGATCGTGAGAAAGAGCACGCTAGAATACCCTGAGCCAGGACAAACAAATTTCGCTTACATAAAAGCTATATACATAAAGGACAATGACAAAGACGGAAGCGGAGGTTATCCCACTATAGCTGCTGGTGGGGTTGGCCAGAGATTCGTGAAAATGAAACTGAAAAGTCAGCGGGGCAACGGTTTCAACTTCACTATCACCATTTACGGCAGATATTGACCTATTGCAAAGTTATGAGTACCTGGTACTTAAGTTGGTTTCGTTAAGAGATCGATTACGCCCGCCATGAGATTTTTTTTCTGATCTTTGCTGATTGTTTTGTATATAGTTTTTTAATTATAATTAAATGATCACATACCTAGAATCTTGTTAAATATATCTTCTAGTCTTGTTTTCTTTCTATCAAAATTGTTTCATTTTTATTATATTATTAAAGAGATGTCTTTAGTTCTCTAAGTTGATTCCCTAAACAATTTTATTTAACTAATGAATCACATTTCCGAACAAATATTTTTCAAGGCAATCTGATTTAGTGCATTTTTTTTTTGTTAATTATCTCATAGCACCAACATACAAGTAAAGGGAAAACCCGAAACAGTATTTTTTTTTTATGAATCACCAAATGACATCACAAAGATTCTTGCAGTTTTTAAGTGACAGTGAGCTATGTCTTTGCACACAACATTTTTCCTGGTCTATCAACCGTTACTTTTTCGCTGGACTTATGTTAGATATTTTCGTAGTGTATGAACTTCTCAATATGTAGATATTTAAATCATTGTGTATGTTGTGCGTACTTTTTCTTATGCCCTTTTTGTACATTTGTGGAGCGGTTGGTTGAAGTTCTTCTAAGTAAACCTATGAGTAATTATAATAAAAAGCTGAGTTTATTTTTGAATTTATTTAAAATCTAATAAGTTTTCAACTTCAACTATTTTAATATGTTTAATTTATTTCCTTTTTTTATTAATTGATATATACTTACTATGCATTTTGAATGTTGCACTCGTCAGGCATAGTATCCTAAGTTTTAATTATTTTACTTTCTTCGTAGCTTTCCTGGATGAAATTGATATCTAGCAATAAGGCCGCCTTTTACATACTATTTCTTTCTTTCTCTCGCTGTGTAATTGTTGTTTTGTCCTGTGTTTTGTGTAATAAAGCATATTATCCTTATTTTTTGTATGCATAGCGAAAAAATATCCGTATAGCTGGAATTTTAAAACCGTTTAATAAATGAACACCGACACCCCTCAGAATCTTTTAGAAAATAGAACACATTTTCCAGACGTAAACATATTTTATTGTTAATGTTGTTTTCTATTTTCTAGAGGCATAGAAATTTCGCATTCTTGGCCTATATATGACTCTAATGTGACATCAACTTTTTGTTATCAAAGTGTTAATATTTATTTTGTTTAAGATAAGTCTTCTGAACTTATCAGTATGACACTTATAAATATGTACTGTTTAAAGGTACATATTTCTCATAAGAATGAAATTACGTCTAAAATACTCTTATCAACACTCTCTACAAGTTTTCAAAGTATTCAAACTTTAGATATTTAGGGACAACTGAAAAGATCTCAGAGTACTTTTGTTGTTATCGTTTATATTTCTATTTATATTCTCAAAGCCAAGAACAATTTGTACAAGAAAAAAATGGTTTTTACTATTTGCTTTAAAATTTTATATTTTAAATATTATTATAAATATCTCGATCAAAATACCTAAGTCATTTAGTCTATGAAATATTAGTAGTTTAACGTAGTACTTAATTGATCAGACTAGATATAGACGTCGCTAGTTTTATGAGAACCTTATTAACAAACTTAATAGGAGCTGTATTGGTAGCCAGAATAAGACTAGCACTTATTCCTATTATGTCCAGTCTTGCACTCACCTATCTATGGAATCTTATTCCTTGGTATTAAATGCAAAATTTTAGACCTTATTTTATACATTTTTTTTATTTGTTATGGGTTGACGGTCAGTTGCACAAACGTCCATCAAGGTTTAATGACGTCTTTAAGCTATAATTAATGTCAAGTTTGTATGGGTAATGTCAAATTTAATGGCAACTAATGATGTTTGTGCAACTTGACTTCAATCTAGCCGATGGACATAAATGAGATCTACGGTGGGACAAACTTTTGCAGAAGGAACCTATTCACTCTTGCCTTAATTAAGTGTGGGTTATATGCATTCAGGAATACAGACGCCGGCAGGGAGTTCCACAGTAAAAAAGAAGTATCGCGCTTTGTGCGACATCTTGGAATATTTACCAAATCAATAAATTTATTCTAAAAATATTTTCTTCAGAAGTAATTTACTAGTTTTAGTGCTGAAACAACATAAAGTAAAGTGAAGCTAATAATTATTCTTAACTTAAACAATCTAAAAAACATTCAATATCTATTATATAAATAATAATGATATTTTGTATAAATAATTACATTTACAAATGCTAATTGAAAATGTGTCCATTATCTATAGAAATAAACTATAGAAGTAGGTGGATTCCACTGTCAACATATTATTGTAACAGACTCTTATTGTCCACTACTGAAATATCAGAAACCTACCATTCATACTGAGCTATAAGGTTCATATTCAACTGCAGAAGGAGATTACATAACGTTGTTTTCAATTAGTTCTTTAGTGAAAATTGTATCACGTATTCTCGGAAAATACACCGTCAATTTTCATACGATAATGTTTCATGTTTATAATTATAATAGAGTAGCTCGGTGGCGTAGTTGATAAGCGGCGCGGTCCGCGATCGTGGTTGTTAAGCAAGTTTCGCAAGGGTCGATGACGGGATGGGTGACCGAAAAATTATTATCTCGAGCTACTCCGTGCTTCGGAAGGCACGTTAAGCCATTGGTCCCGGCAGTCGTTAATACCCTTCAATCCGCATCGGGCCCGCGTGGAGGGTCATGGCCCATCCTCCTTAACTAATAAGGAAGGCTTGAGTTCCTGCAGTGGGCATGTAACAGGGCTGATGATGATGAATAATAATAAAATTGTTTAAATTATTATTGTTTGGTCTATTTCACTTTCCTTTAGGAATAAAAGACCTTACATATTTATCAAATACGCAATATATGGTACATTTCAGCAAGATTTTATTTCAATTTTATTTATAGTTTAATATAGTTTTTGTCTTTTATATGAAAATACTGGTTCATATATTCAATAAACTTCTATTGAAATCAGTTGGATACGATCACAATAACAAAAAACCTTCGACAATAAAGTATATTCCTTATCAAGTTATATATCGTTTTGAGATTTTGGTAAATTCTAGTACTCATATCTATACAAATAAATAAAAGTCGTGTGTATACGGTACATATATGAAATTTTTTTTTTTTGTCTGTCTATCTGTTAGTTCAGGCTAATCTCTGAAACGTTTGGTTCAATTATGACGGGACTCTCACTGGCAGATAACTTATATGATAAGTATTCTTATTCAACTTCCCGTGCGGGAACAGCTAGTCTTAAATAAATCAATCTACTCAATATTTAAAAGAAACTAAAATAATTCTCTACTTTAATTAACTTCACTTAACAGTAAGTAAAGCTGTAAGTAAACAGAAAGAAAATATAACGTTCATATTTTATTGTCTCTAAAACTCAAAATATAGTCGTTGAACTGATTCGCAAGTATAAAAGCGTCAGAAAGTCTGGACTAATAAAGATATATTAAATTTATATACATAAATACGAAATTGCTTTACGTTTCTGCTACTATTGGAACAAATTTTCAAATAATTAGTACCTTTATTGATTTCGAAATAATATATATACAATGTGGAATATTCGACCCCTTTGTTTACATGATTCCGCGCTATTAGTTGAAGTACTAAATATTTGAGAATAAATATTAAATAGTAGCAAAATGATATTGCATTTAGGTATTTTCTAAACCTTAATTGTCTCTATTGGTCGAGGAGTTACGAAATTGTACACAAATTTGAATTTAATAAATATTCTTACAGTTTTATTATTCCAAGATTTCGGAACATCACTGACTATACATCTAAATTTTATCTTCAGCTTATTTTATTTTATATAATATATCAAAATAAAACAACAATAAAAAGAGAATCTACTTAACTTTTTTATGTTCTATTCGAATAGTTGGAGAATGTGGCCTTATCAAAATACTTAATTATAGTCCATTAGTTAACTGAACGGACAGAAGGAGGCATAAATTTAGTTTAAACCATAGAGTTACTAATGTCTTCACTAACAGGGGAAAAAATGGACTCCTAAGTGGGCTACAAAATTACATAAAAGTAAATTTATTGAATTAACTAACAAAATATTGTAGCAATAAGACTGTATCTACAAAAATGTACTTGCTAATGTCATAAAAAAAATTATGTCATTTGTATGTCATAAAAAATTATGTACTATTTTCTAAAATCGCAGTATTGTAATTGTGCTTAAGTGTAGTTTTATTTCTTTAAGTAAAAATTACTTATTTTCAATGCGAAAGGGATCACTTTTATTATTTCAAATATTAGGTGTTTAACGAATATGTGTTTCTGATTAAAAAGTCTATAGGTCTGACATCAAATTAAGTAACTAAAGCACTCGTATTATTGAAATCTTAGACAACGAAGGTACCATAATACCCAGACCAGAAACAATATAAAAAGGAAAATATTTTCAAAGTTGTCATGGGATCGAATACCTTAGAGACAGCGACATATTAATGCCGGCGTGCGAGCATTCGGCTGCGAAGGTCGTCAATTGGGAGCCTATCGTCGCATTTTTAAGTCTATGGCGGGTAATCTATGGGACGCTTGGTGCAGTACAAAGTGTTTCGTATACAGATAATATTAATGGGTATCGTAAAGAGGTGTTAGTGTTTTGATTGGGCTTGATAAGCAAGTACAATACCAATTTAAGTGTTGTGTGGTATTATTAACGGATACGTTTTATCTCTACAACTATCGTTATTCTGGTAACAATTTAACTTTGCTTTTTTATGTTAAAACGCTCATTTTTTTTAAATAATTTACTTGACTGCTTTATATTTAGGAACTTACCGTTTAAAAATCAAGGTTTTATTACCAAATCTTTTATTCCTTCAAACAAAATTCAAACGCATGGGAGTGTGTGTAATGTTTTAAATGTTAATTTTAATAGCTTTCTAATTTTAATTTTCTCTTTCTAATTAATATACTGTATTTATTATAACTTCGACTGTGGTTTCATGCAACAATTAATACGTTAAGTAATCTGGTATTGATCGCACAAACTATAGAAACCACTAACATAGTAAATATGTGACGGCTTCGATGCTTGGGCGAATTAATGAAAGGCTAACTAAGCTTGAGAATTGATTGATTGATTGATTATTTTATAAGTCAATTCTTGAGCTTTAGAATTGATTTATTTTATAAATCAATTCTCAAGCTAAGAAGTAAATATAAAATTTCAATCACCAAATAGAACAAATACATACCCTTTTTTGGGTTTTATTTTATATTTCGTTTAATGATGATAACTTCATTTTTATAGTATTTTATATTTAAATTTATACGATTACAACAACATGTTCATAAAGAGCATATTTGATTAATCAAAATTTTAAATTACGGAAGGTAAATAATTAAAAGAAATGATGTTAAAAATCAAAGACAAAAAGTTTGCATGCGGAAACCTAGGATGAAATAAACGATGGTACGGCGCACCGTTACAAAAATAACACACTATTTATTGTCAATAATGAAAACTTTTGCTTAAAGTTACTTTTTAAAAAAGCTTAAGGGAGCAGCAGTTTAATTTAACTCGCAAAAAAAACTATTGAGTCCGATAATAGAAAATATTAGTCAGACAATAGAAAAATATTAGATACATATTTTTTTGCTTTAATTCAACATGAAATGGCTTAGATAGCCAATTAGTCGAGGAGCGGGGGATCGCTACGTCACAGCTTTGTAGAAAATGTACAAAAGTATGACATCATATGGCATTCAACTCTATGTATCGCTGTAATTAATTATTTACACAAAAAAATAAGAGTTAAATGTTTTTTCAAAATTCTACCTGACGGACAAAGAAACAAAGATTAGTCATAAAGCGCGGGTTAATGTAATCGCTTTACTTTAGTGTAACTTCACTACACAGACAATAGCAGTGCTATTCTGTAATAAAACCTTAGAACACGACGACGAGGGCAGCAGTCATGGCATAGAGTTTTAATCAAATAAAACCTACTTCAAAAGGTAATAAAGGTTTTACTTCATTCAACCTTTATGCCGTGACAGCGCTAAATTCGACACTGAGTTCGAAGCTGATTTAACAGGATAGCACAGCATTTCATCTCCATTTGATTTTAATTGTAAAAAACACAAGTATTATCCAAGTACCCGGTCTTAAGTATGTCATTTGTTACAGTAGCATGGGTTTCGTCGACTTTGAAAGATGGGTGAAACCACCAGATCTGTACACCGACAAATCGAGGTTGTGTGCTAAAATCCGTGGCCTGACCCCAGGTCAGAGGCGCGTCTGCCGCCGTAATAAAGACCACATGCCGGTGGTAAGCGACGGTGTCAAGCGGAGCATAGCTGAATGTCAACACCAATTCAAAGACAGAAGATGGAACTGCAGTGTTACCGAAGACGTGACAGTATTTGGACCACTCTCCCTGATTGGTGAGTTTATATTGTAAGTATCGGGTTGGCACAAAAGTAATGAGACACTTGGTTTAAGTTTTTACTTTTTTATTATTATTACAATAAAAAAAGTTTAGTCAATGATGTAATTACCATTAGTATCTAAGACTTCTTGCCAACGATCCGGCAAAGTTTGGATGCCTTTTGCCCAGAACTCTGATGGCTTGTTTACCCCGCAAATGCTGTTTCAGGGCTCTAAACAAATGATAGTCTGATGGGGCGAGGTCTGGGGAATAAGGTGGGTGGGGTATCGTCTCCCAGCCCAAGTTCTCCAACTGCCGGCGAACCACAGATGCGACGTGAGGTCGAGCGTTATCGTGCAGTAAAACTACATTGACTCGTCTTCGTCGTTTTTTCTTGATAGCGGCAGATAATTTGGTAAGCTGGGTTGAATATTTGTCAGCGTTTATAGTTTCATTGTGTAATAGCTCATAAAACAGTATGCCTTGCGCATCCCAGAAACAGAAAAGCAGAATTTTTCGGCGGTTCTTTTGACTCGGCTTCGGTTGAGTTGGTGGCGTTTCTTCTCGAGGCAGCCAAAAAGCACGACGTGTATCGTTCTCGTAATAAATCCATGATTCATCTCCAGTAACCAGATCTGACAAAAACTCTTTACGTCGGGGTCGCAGCAAAATTGACTGACAGATAGCGACACGGACTGCACGACTGGCGTCTGTAAGGATGTGCGATACCCACCGAGCCAAAACTTTTCGATAACCAAGCTCATGCAGATGGTGTTCCACGGCGTGGTGACTGCATTTAAGTGCTTCCGCTAATTCACGAGTGGTAGCATCCGGATTCAACTGCAGTTCGCGGCGCAAATCGTCATCATTCACTGCGGGTGGTCGCCCTGAGCGTGGCTGACTTTTAAGCAGTGGCGTAGCTACTAAGGGGCTAGGCGGGGCAGTGCCCCGGGGCCCTCAAGCTCAGGGGGCCCTCGAATCTTTACCAGAAAATCTCAATCGAACTCAACTTTTGAAAATTTCTCCCATTTTCAAAATAAATATGACATGGCATCATGGCAACTCAGTTGTGAGAAATTCCAAAGTTATAAAAAAGGGAATTCCCCTAAATTATTTGTGTGGGTTGACAGTGTTATTAATGTTTTCATCAATTTGTCGGATATCAATATCTGCATATTATTATTTATCAATATGCGTTTTTGTGATTAGCGATTGTGAACTTCGAGTCAAGATATTTTTCCAGAATGGTTAAAAAGTTAATGTATCAGGAGTAAGTAAGCGTACGTCAATAAATTTTTTGTACTGGTCCATACAAAAATTCAATTTTATTTGATTATAGTACGTATACATAGTTACGTTAAGAAATCGATAGCTTTCGACTACCTAATATATAAGGGCGCTTGTGCACTACACTGAATTTTCAGGTGCGGCGGTCCGATTTTTCCGGTCCGGAATGACATGAAAAACCCGGATGAGAAGCTTGTGCACTTGTCCGTTTTTTCTCTGGTCAAAGCGGCGCAGTGTAGGACAGCTCTCTTTGAAGCTACACGTCACTTACGCTAGGTACGATGAGATTTTTGGAACGTCGGTAATTGCGCTCGAAGACGTCGAACGGTACCTAAATAATGACCTGATCATTTTACATAAACCACAATAAATTATGGCAAGACGAAAGCATTTTTATAACTACTATCGGATGACTACTATCAGATGTAAAACTTATACCCTTACTAATTTAGGAACAGCATTATTCACATACAATAACTAAAAATATCTGTGACATTAGAATAAAATTACTGATAATAATCTAGTACTTGATGTTTAAATTTTTAAACGTGCTATTTTTTCGTAGTTTTGTAAAAACAACTTTCAGCGATTACAGAGATAGACCAATCGGTGGCGCCATTTCGTAAACAAATCGAAATTAGTGCCGTGTAAGCGGAGAATTATTATGCTAAATGAACTTTACGAGATCAGTTGACTGTATTATATATAGGCATAATTTTATACGCGTGGTGTAGTTTCTTTGAGCAGAAATATTTTTCCTTTAGAATACTTATTTTTTTAAAATTTATTAATGACACAAACATTCATTTCAAATTTAATTAAATGCGAAAAAGACATTGAGTGTCACTTAATTACTTTTTATACGATTCTAAAATCTAGCTAAGTATCGATACTAGAAGCATACGCTGATCAAATTAGAACTATACTGAGTTTGCCAAAGCATATGCAGTGATATATACCAACTATATTAAATCATCATATAAAATATAGCATTTTATAATCTACAATAAATATCGATTATAAGTTTATTGGAAATTAACAATATCGCCGAAATAAATATCGATTCAAATCGATTATATTTTCCCAAGCCTATTCCTTATGAATTTTCCGGATCTCGGACACAGCAGTGCACAAGCGTAAACACGTTTTTCATTGCCGCCATCACGGACCTGAAAAAACCGGTCCGGAATAGAGAAAACCGGACGTTAACCGTAAAATTCCTGACAGTGCACAAGCGCGTATTACCTACCTCCAATATGGCCTGACATATTGGACCTGAAAAAATCGGATCGCCGGACATGAAAATTCAGTGTAGTGCACAAGCGCCCTAACTCAAAATACCGTGCAAAATACAAGTCACATGCGGTAGGGGGCCGTCCTTCAATTACGTGATGTTTTTTTGTCATTTTTTAAACCGTCAAATGTGGTAACACTGGCAGCGATAAAATGTTTGCTGGGGATTCCCCAACGACGTCTTGTATCGTATCGTTACGTTTCGCTTTCCTTTTACTTGTAACGTTGTCAGTGAACAGTGAGTACCTACAATTTTTCTAATTTATTTATGTACAAATATAAATAAATTAGAAAACAGGGCAAAAAAACCCAGTGGTGCATTTAAACGCAAACAACGCCAAGAAAGAGAAGAAAGTAAACAAAAATTGCCCAAAATTGACAAGTTTTTTAGTCAGCCTTCTGCAAGTACTTCTAGGCAAAATATATCAATTGATAATTTTTGTAAATAGCTTGCATGACGATAGGTTAAATAACAGTAAGCTGGTGCAACGTATCTATGAATAAATAAATATATAATAAACCCTTGAATCTTTTCTATTTCGTTTAATTGCCCAATACCTACAACAAGTATCAAAATAATTGTAATTTATGTTGTTAGTGTTTAATAGTTTTATTACCTGCCCATGCACGAAAAAGAGCTAATGATAAAGTTCCTTAGCATTAAAGTCGATAATACAGTCATTTAAAGTATTTGTATGTTTAATGATTTTACTTCAAAAAAACCTTTCCAGTTTTGATAGCAGTGGGCCCCATTTTTTTATTTGCCCCAGGGCCCTAGGTAACCTAGCTACGCCACTGCTTTTAAGGCTCCTGTCTCCTGATTTAAAACGGTCAAACAATCGGGACACCGTCGTATGGCTTGTACTTCCAGCGCCTAATGCATTGTTGATATTGTCAGCCGCAGCCCGCGCACTGTGGCCTAAAAAGTACTCGTATAAGTATAGTGTTCGAACTTGTCGCTCGTTCATTTTTCTTCAAACTGACTAAACAAATCGCGAGCGCGGCTTTATATACCCTACACCAGAAGTACCTAGAATGTTCTACAACATTCTAGAATATTATCGAAAAAATTGATTTTAAAAAGGAAATGTTATAGATTTTTCTAGTGTGTCTCATTACTTGTGTGCCAACCCAATAGGATTCTAAGTGAAAATGTTGAAAATTTGAATGGCATTATTCACGATTACATTCTACTAGCTGATATAATTTCTAATTATCAACTATTTAAATCATAGCATCCTGATAAACTATACCCTCACCAGCGGCGGCCTTAGGGAGTGGCGAACGGGGCAATCGTCCGGGGCCTCGGCATCAAGCCAAGCAAATTTAAAAATAGATATATTTTTAACAATATTTTTTAATTTAAAACTTTTTATTTTGACCCTTAATTATTTATGCAGGTTATATATTATATATAACAGCAGTTAATTAAAATAAAGTTAGTTAACTAAATTGTTCATTCTAAACGTAATTGAATACCCCTTCGAACCACCTGAAGATCGCTTTTTTTTAATTGTATAACACTTTCTATAACTTAAGTATTTCTCCTTGAACATGACAAATACTTAACCCAAACAACCAGACCTACTTTCGAATCACATACTTTTCACGAAGGACAAAGGGCCTGGCAAAGACCTGCCACCCGGAGCCTCGTAATGGCTAAGGCCGCCGCTGACCCTCACCACAGTTGTTAAAACATCACGTGATGAATCATAGACCTCCTGCACTGCGTGTTATTGCATTTTGAACCGTGAAGACAGTTATATAGTAAAGGATTGCATTGATAAGGGATCCTTCTTCCGTTCACTCACACCAATACAACAGAGTGATCCTCTTAAAATTCGAAACCGAATTCGGATTCACTCATGTGTCCAAAATCATGTCATTTAGTGTATAAACTTTATTGATACTATTTTTGCATAAAAATACAAAGCAAGATTGATTGATTCACAGAGATGTACAAAATACCCTGTACAAAGTATCTGGAATACAAGATACAAAATACTTTTAAATTAAGTATTTCAGATACCAGATACGAAAAACCTTTGAGAAAAGTATTTGAAATACTAGATACAAAATAGGTATCTTATAAATACTTTTGATAATACAAATACTTTTCTAAAAAAAAGATTTTAATTAATTTAATAAACAATTTTTACAAGCTTTTATTTAGTTTCACCTGTACCGGTGTTTGTACTCAAATCTTACAAGCTAAATTTCACCCACTTTCCTCCGTTTGAAGATAACAAATTAAAAAAGCCTGAAATGTTTGTTTTTGTTAGTCAATCACAATGTAACATATAAAAATGCAAATATTTAATACATCAGGTTTAAATTATTTTAAATTTTTAGTTCCTTTTTAATAATAAGTTTTTAAATATAGCATTGTGAATGAAAAATTGCTCAAATATAACAAGAATAATTATTTAAATTTAATTATAAAATTATTATTTATTTAAAAAGCTGGTTTTACGTACGACGACGTATTACGACGTAGACCAGATGAGAAAATTACGGAGAACTGAAAATTCATTTTTTCCTAGTGAGATGAAGAAGAGAGTGGGTAAAAATAAATACAGTACTTGGTTTTTAAAATAGTATAATGTGCAAAAAATTAATAAAAGTTAATAATGAGTTTAATTGATATACTGAGTTTTATTTATAGCATATAACCGGTTTTTTACATAAATCAGGATTTTTACTGCTTGTAACTGATTATTCGATTTCAAGCCCTATGCGCCATCTATCAATTTTTACTAGGGAGGGTGTATTACACCGGTATTACCGTACGTTCAGTTCTACGCATTTACTTTTTAAATGACACCAAACAATGTCTGGATTCAAGTTATTTTCAACTAAATATTCATTGCGTTGATAATTGGACACTTTCTTTTTGTAGATATGTATGTTTTAGGCAAAGATATTTATAAAATGTAAGAAACAATCTTTTAATAAAGTATTTTATCAGAAAAAGTATTTAAAAGATACTAAGATACTAAACTAAAGTATTTAAATAGAAGATACAAAATTCTTCCAAAAAAAGTATTTTAGATACAAGACGAAAATACGTATTTTGTATCTTGTATCTGTATTTCAAATACTTGTATCTAAGATAAGTCACATCTCTGTTGATTCATACGTGCCTCTAAAATTCTATTCGTATGTCATTTGAAAACTCACTTTACTTATGCCACGTAACCTTATTACTAATTAAATATTGAGCGGATGCCGTTTTTGAAGTGAATTCAGACACCTGTCAGAATTCGAATTCAGATTTTACCGAAGCGCAGAGCTGATCAGAGTACGTCCATAAATATTGGATCATCGGATAGTGTTAGAAGCGAATGTTGGGTAGATAGTTGTAATAAGTATCTTACAGGATCCCGTGAAACAGCGTTCACGCATGCTTTGACGTCAGCGGGCGTGTCGTTGTCAGTGTCACGTGCGTGTCGTGACGGACGGCTCGCTAGCTGCAGCTGCAGCCGCGCGCGTCGCCCGCCCGGCCTGCGGGAGCAATGGCTATGGGCCGGCTGCGGGGACGACCTACAATACGGATACACGTACGTACCCTCCTATGAGTGTACAGGACTCAGTTCTGACAACATTTTGATTCAAACGAACAATATTTTTAACTCATTTTCGGGAGGAGGTTATATGTTCGAAGTCTATGTATTTTTTTTTATTTATGTTCACTGACTATTCCGAAAAACGTTACCCGATTTTCAAAATTATTTTTATTAGACAGCCTAATAGCCCGAGGTGGTCCCATCTAAATTTTATCGAAAACAAATCAGTAGTCCTACTATCATTTAATTAATGTAGAGAAGACCTCTGTTTTTTTTACTAAAAGCGTAAACATGGTTCTTAAAACAGAACTTTGTATCTCCCATGCTGACTGTTTTCATAATTTTACAACCTGTATGTACACACAAAAGAGAGCCCGCTCTGACATTTTTTGTCATACTGTCTGAGGACGACAGATATAAGTTTTCTGGGTAAACAGTTAGATGGCATTACTGTGTCAACGCGATGTAGGTCATGTCAATACATATTTATACAACATATAAGTTGATCCGAGTACATTAATTTTCCACTTAGATAATAAAAAAATGAAATAAAACATGTAGATAGAAATAATAAAATGTTTATTTTAATATCAGTGGGATTAATGCCGATTCTACAAACATATCTTATTCTGTCTGTTCTTCTATCGAACTATCATACTTTTCAACTTTATTCAAAATGCAACACACAACTTCACTACACTAATTACCTTGTATCTCTCATATAGAGTTCTAAGTTTTCAACGTATTTCCATAGTCCTTCTTGAGGAGCAAAACTTTAAGTTTAACGCAAAAAGTATCACAATTATCTTTAGAGAGGGCTTCTATTTACGAAATTTCCATTATATTTCAACGATTTATTATATCTGCGTTTATTTTCTGTTTATCGTCTGCAATTTCGGTGTTGAATGATACAGGCCGTTCTGTCAATTGTGGTTAAACCGTAGACCTCTTGACGGTAGCATCAAGTCAACGGCTTAAACGGTCAATATTTCCTTCAATCACGTAGACCTGTCGTGTGGACTTTTTTTAACCTGTCAAGTTGCGTCACGCACATGCGCATTACGGTCGTCGCCGTCAATCAAAATTTCCGTCGATTGTGATCAAGCCATAAAACGATTTGATGGATAGCATCAAGTCAACGTGGTAAATGCTCAATATTTGCTTCAATCTCGTAGACTTGACAAGTCGACTTGATTGTCTCCATTACCAATTAGGTTTAATGACGAATGTTAGCTCTAAATGATTCTCTGAATTTGAAAAGTTGTATCAATAACGTTGCTTTTAACCGGGATCTTTGAATTGACGTATCGGGCAATAGATTTAATAAAAATCTCATATCTAATAATAAAATCTAATGAATTGCAGAAATAGCTCTTGTTTATCAAATTTTGTGAACAATTCATGAAACCACATGTGAGCAACTTAAAAAAATATTTCTGCTGTTTTTTGCGCACAAAAGTACATATTATATTTTATGGTATAATACAATATTAATGTAAAATTTGATATATTTATTTACTTTCGCGAAGATCTTGGAAGTATTAACAAAATACCTTAGAGCTATGCAAAATACAAACATATTATTATATAGGCACAAATATTATAGTACTATAATATTAATTAAAAAAATATAGAGCAAACTCACTTCCCGTTGTCTATACACTGAGATCTTTTAAACTGCTCAACGGATTTTAATGCAGTTTAAAACAACAGATAGAGAGATTTAAAAGGTAGATTTACATGTATAATACAAGAACACGCGAACGAAGCTGCTGGCGGAAAGCTAGTAATATTAATAAAAAATTACACTACAGTACTGGAATTTATACATTATCTAGCTTCCAACGAGTTCTGTTTGCCCGATACTCTCTACTATGTTTTCAACTACAACTACAGTAGGAAACCTTGAAGTAAACTAGAATTCTATAATACACCACCTCAGGTTTTATGTTGTCCTGCTCCGAGATTATTATTTTATTTAAATACGTCCCTCCCGGGCCACCAGGTCGGGCTACACGCAATCTCCACGAAGTCTATAGTGCCCTGGTATTTTTCCCCCACTTTATCGAAAATTTCCCCGCGGTAAATTCGATTTAAAAAGTTTAAAAGTTGTGATATTGATTTAATAACATACCTAAGAAAATTTGTGAAAATTCCCTTATTTGTTAAAGTATATTGTACTGAAAATGCCATTTGCGTTTTTATTATTATGCATTAATACACCTACCCGTTCATTTAAAACTCGAAAAATATCACGATCAATTTTCCGAGGGGTACCTGAAAGCGACTGATTTCTGAAAAGGTAGAATTCACCTGTAATACGCACCTTTATACCAGGGTTTCAACAATCACCTGAAGTCATTTTCTTACCTGTTACACGCACACTAACAAAACTGAAAAGGTATGTCATTTTAAATGTACAACATTGCAGGAGCATTTATTTCCCCTTCTCAGAACAGACAAGGAAAACTAACACGTCTCCTTCACTCCTTCTGAATTCATACTGTATTAGGTGCATGTAAAGGTGTCTACCTGAAATCACCCCATTTCACGTGAAAATTGAAAATTTTCTCTTACTCTTTCATTATATCCTAGTACCCAGGTGAGTCGTAAGACAGGTGAAAAATTTACGTGCGCACCTGAACCTACGTGAATCGAGAAAACCGTTTATTTTTTCTTATCACAATATGTTCGATAATTTATTTTAAACTTAATATTCTTATATACCGCGGTTAGTCTGAATTAATATTATGACGATGTAAATTATCAATTACTTATCGATAAACAAATTATTTAATTTCTATCATATCATATTATATCATTCATACTTTTTTCTTGAATCATTATTTAGATTATTTTAAAATCAAAATTTATATAGTAATACTGCTCCAGTTAAGTTTCATGTTAATTTGTAAATATAGCCCATAATTGTTTTATTTTACTGGATTAAACCAAACGTATTTATGTATTTAATTGCAATATGTGTTAATTAGCTGAGCTGTCAGTTGATCTTCACGGGTGTCAAAGCATGGCTAAAGACAGGTTGGCTACCAGGACAACAAATACTTTAAGGAGATTCATTGACTTCGCCACCACGGTACCAAGATAGATATGAAAATTGGTAATGAACATCTTATGCCACCGGTTATATAATCTCAAAGATTAATAAATATTTATTTCTATTTTTTCTGATTTAAAAAAAAATCAACTGAAAAATCGGCAAATCTGTAAAATTTCCCAATTTTCCAACCGTGTATCAGCCGTAGTAAAAGTTTCACGTAGCAACTTCGTAGCAACCGTAGCCATAGTCTGATCTCTTAGCATCTATGAACTCCTGGCACATTTTCACGTACTAAAGGGTTAGACTGCCTCCGCCGTAGCTAATGGGGCAACAAGGGTTGTATGTACTTAGTTGATTTCCAGCGCTGATTTTTTAAGATGCATGTCGTCGGAGTTTGGCGAGTTCATAAACGATCGCGAATTCATATCAAATGATATAAATTTGTAATATATGTTAATAAATATTTTGCAATCTATTTAAAAATCTTATTTTGGGGACAAAAGTAAAAAAATCTATTCAAAATAAATTCAACTACTTTTGAATAGTCTAACACTTTTTCCCTTTAGGACGTCTTTTGGCTGATAAAAAGAACGAGCAAGAAAGTCACCAGCTCTATATATTTGCAATCAAATTCATATAATTCAGAAATTCTGTATGCTAATATTATAAAGAACAAAGATTTGATTGTTTGTTTGTTTGCAACGAAAAGGCTCAGAAACTACTAGACCGTTTTTAAAAATTCTTTCACCTACAGCTAAAGCTAAAGAGACTATATAGCGGTGAACTAATTTTATTCCTAAAAAAGCAAATACAGGGATTAAAATGGGAGTGGAAGTTTGTAAAGGGAATTAAAATGTTGTAATAGAAACCATTGTTTACGACTCAGTTTGTCATTGTAATTATATCAGTGTCATGATATGAATCGATATCCAATTACAGTTCTCTATGGACCAAGCAGGTGAACCAGCTGGTGGAAAGTTAGTTATATTAAAAACCCATCTGTAATATATGTGTTGAAGTATCTATTTAAGCACAGTTCAAAATACTGGACGAATCGAGTTGAAAGGCATAATAATAGTTCTTTTTTTAATTCTTTATTTGACTTTTCGGAAGCATAATAATAGATGTTATAACATAGATAGAGTTTGTATATAATTAAGGATATTGAATAATTCAACCAAAGGATATTTCCATGCGGCCATAGCCGCGGGTGGAAAGCTAGTTCATAAAACGATATACATATCTTAAGAACTTCGTATGCGATGACATTTCACAGAAATTTTGCACCACACTCCTAAGGAACTCGATACGGTATTTTTGCACAAAGCGTGACGAAAATACCAGGCTTCCACGAAATATAAAAAAATCTTTTATGAGTTTAAAATATACCCACCCAAAGAAAATAAATTAAAGGAAAATAATAGATTATTATTATTTTTAAGGCAACATTTTCACAAAAACATGGAATTTTCTGCATATTTCTAGTCGAAGTTACCAGGGACGCAAAAATGATAAGAGTCATCGAAAATTAACTTTGTATATTACTTGCCTCCTCACCAAGACAACGGAACAAACACCCCTTTCTTCGCTTCAAAAACGTCACACTTTTGGGGCTTCGATACCAGGAACACATGAGTACATTAAAGGTTTTCATTTCATGAAAATGAAGCTTTCCTAAATATTCCTTTCCTGAAGATTAGGGTCGCTCCAGAAAACAGAAGTAAGGTGAAGGAAATTCGGCCTTTCTAAGACGAGGCTTTGTAAAAATCCAAGCCTTGGATACTAGGAAAGCATAACATGCATGAATGTTTGGGAATATTTGACAAATCATAAAAGCTAACGAAACTATTGCGCATGTGTGAAAGGAGAACATGTGATTGGACGAAGCTTGTAACTGTGCACACATGGACACAGAGCTTTCCGAGCTTTCTTTATAGGAGAGGTTTTTTAAGTTTTTTATATGGGAAACACTTTAAAAAAGCTTTTTCGACTTGTCTGTTTGAATTTTCTTTACTAAAGCAACAGGATTCGCAGAAGGTAGAAGAATGTGAGGAATGCGATCTATTCGTGTAGTCCACACCTAAATGTACCTTACTCACCTTCAGCTATTTCGTAGGGAAGATTTTCCCGCACTCGAGTATTTTTCTTACCAGGCAAGCATGAGCATAAAAAGATTAAACGGAATCCTGGAAATGCCTGGAATGTGGGTGGATACTCAAATACTCAACTTTGCTATCCAACTTACAAAAATATTATTCAATAAAATTAATGTAAATTATATTTTCATGAAGTGTATTCTATTTAAAGTAAATAATATTATAGGAACACATAATACTATATTCATATGTGATTTTAAAAATACTACAATTGTTATTCTCCAATAATACCTACATAATTAAATTGAGAATATTCCTTTATAAAATTGTATTCTTTGTGGACTTTTCTTTAGCACTTATAAAGCGAAAAATTTCATCGGTAAATGTATACGATTTACTAAAAGTACAAATAATACGTATTTTATGGATGACAGTTATGATAACAACCAGTAACAACCAGTTTCTGAATTCAGAATTTAAAGTTAAGCACGTCTCAAACCGTTCTAAAACCATTCAAGCATCACTTTAACACGTTTCTGATTTTATTTTTTTTAATTATCAGTTGATAGTAGTCTGATTAAACTAGAACTTATTGCCTTCTGATTAAACTAAAACTTAAGTTATCGATTCAGAAACTGGTCGTATTGTAAGAAAACTTGAGTAAACTAAACACCCGGGTACAGATGTCCCAAAGGGATGATCCCCGGGATTACCCGGGTTTAGCTGGTTAAGATTGCTTAAATCCGTGATCAAGTACTAGGATTGCATAAAATAAAGAAGGTTTTTAATCCAGATTCCTCTGGAGTCAGACATTTTGAATTCCTTGTCAAAAAGAATTTGATATTTTATACATAAAATCTACATATGAACATTAGTTTAAGTTTTCTTATAATTATAGAATAATTCAATCTTTTTTATTTTGTTAAAAATAACAAAAGAACTCTTCGTACGTAGCAAATTTTGATATGCTATAAAATCAACTTTATGTCTATTATATAAATACAATTTTACTTTGCAGTACGGTTGGCAATACTACAGATCGATACTACCGTAGCATACAGCTGCAATGCGTAGCGTAGTAAGGGGTGTGGAAATCGATTGCTGTCTCTTTCAGTATTAAGCTTCTCATTCTTTCACTTGAGTAAAGATTGCGGTGTACTAGGCGCCAAGGTTAACAACAGTGGCTAACCAAGAGTCTGATTCGGTTTTACTTATTGTTTTCTATACGTCATCGTAGAACTTTCAATGCCTGTAAACTACGGACTGTTCCATTCAAAGTTTCTCTGCAAGTTTTGTTTTCATAACCTCATAAAGATTAGAATGAAATTAAAATTCCTGCGGATAGGAACCATTTGAGATTTTTGGATAAAAAACAATTACAATTTTTTCTGCAGTTTCACCGAAGGCTTTGTAGACATCAGAGAACGCGAGAAGAAAGTAAAAAGAGGCAGCCGTGAACAGGGGCGGCAACTTATGAACAAACACAACAATGAAGCTGGTAGACGGGTAACAAACTAAACAACAACACATAAGCGCTGCTATTTTGTTATATAAAACAGCCTCAAATGAGACGTCAGGTGTAGGATTATCATAAAATAGAGGTTTAATGAAAAAAAACCATTGAAAAAGGTAATAAAGGTTTTATTTCATTGAACTCTTTAAGCTGTGACAGTCGATATCGAGTTTAAAGCTGTTTTTAACAGAATGGCATAGCTGTAAGTAGCTGCATCCACTCCAACTAATCTATCAAATCAAACAAGATCAAACGCCCTCCAAATCGCGCTCCACATAAGCGGTCGATGTGATGTTCCTTCCCATGCAAAGGTGCAAAGTTTGTTTTGTTTCTATATATCTCTAGTTTACCGATTGCTTTACATTACTTTTCTTAATTTTGTCCATTTGAGATAAAAATCACGTAAAACTGAATTGAACGTAGCTGATGATGATATAGCTTTTAGTTGTTGTTTTGTACGTTGCTAAAAACAACATATTTCAAATCCAATTTTTTGTACGAAGGAGACGGTCTTTAACAGCTATGTCGGAAATTCCACTAACAAGTCTGTCTCTAATTCAACTATCAGTCACAAGATGCGCTTAGGTCTCATAATACCATCATATAATTTTCATAAGACTCTTTCCGTTAACGGGTGAAAAACTGTTCCGTTTTTCCGTCACCATTCCTTATTCATATATTAATCATAAATTATCAAAATAGGAACTCTAATGTTCTACATTTAAATAGATCTGAATCGATGTTTCTGTATGGGTGAATTATACAGGACCAAATCGCAGCCATTTTTATATAGGTAGATCATCGGCATCTTTCATTCATTTAATTTTCATTTTACATGTAGAAAATTATTTATTCACTTGAAATTGGCAGAACTGTGCGAAATGCGCAGATAAGCCATTATAAAAGAAGAAGAAGCCATTTTTATGAGCTGTCATGCACTTTGTGCCTGCGAGTTAGGATTTAATGATTGAGGGCAGTTGAACGCCATCTACCAAACGTGCAACATCGTAATACTTTTAAGCGTGTGTCTGCTTGTGCCTCCCGATTCATATGATGTGAATACTGCGTCAACTCCATATTTCGGATATACTGGACAGTTAAGGAACCGGCCGGTGCCCGATCGAGGTGGAATTCGTCATCGATCTTCTCAAGGTACGTGGGTGCATTATAGTTTGTTTCCATGTTATCTTTCAACCGTATCTGAACATCGATTCCCATCGGCAGATCTATCCAGGTCTTACCCTGGTGTAGTAGATAGCCCCCAATCGTTTTTGTTTTGTGTAAGGTGCGGCTGCTACAAAAACATGAACCGTTCCTATGTCATGTCATATCTTTTCAGGGCAGAAATATTGATCAAAATTTTGGAGAACTGTAGCATTACTTTTCTTATCTTCATCGTTTTCAAATAACAATTTATTATAGAGAGTCAGTGTAAAATCACCTAAGGCACTTAATAGCAATGCTGTTTATTTCATCCTCATTAGTAAATACATTTCAAATTTTTGTTTGGGTAATTAATTAATCGAGCTGTAATTTTTTCTTCGGCTAGTTGCGAAGTTGCGAAGAATGAGCCAATTTTGAAAATTTGCAATACGAAATTTCCACAAAACTGTCACTAACTTTTTTTATTTATGACTATCTGTGCCCGCGACTTCGTCTGCGTGGGAAAGTATATTAAGAGAATTGTTTCTTTCCAATGGTTGGGATCGAATCAAGTAAGATCAATGGACCCTAACACACTACGCGGGCCCAATACGAATTAGTGAGTGTTAACGACTACTGATGCAGCCGGGACCATCAGCTTAACTGGCATTCCGAAGCACGGAGGAGCTCAAGATAATAATGTTTTGATTATCCATTCTATGAACGGTCCTTACGATAGTTATTTTTCTACATTTGTTCTCACTTCTTTATCTGCCCTTGTGTCTGACCATTTTTATCGTACATTAGGTATACTCGTATTAGTGATACTTACGCTGTTTCAACTGTTCTTCTTTAGATTTTGATCTTTTTAAAATTTTATTTGTTTATTTGTCTAGTTGTAAGCGCAATCTAATATTTATTGTCAGGTGTTTCAATACTAGTTTGCTTGAAAGAAATCGCTGGCTAGCGCTGTTTGTCTTTAGTACATTTTTATGAATGTTATGTATGATTAATATATATGTATGTTCGTGTCATTTTCTTGTTGCGCAATAAAGACTTTACTTACTTACTTAACCGCATCGTAAAACAAATGCGCTAACGTCTAATATTAAAAAGAGGAAAAATTGCATTGTTTTTTTGCATCGAATTGCTTCCGAAACCACTAAACCGATTTTAAAAATTCTTTCACCTACGGGAAACAACGTCATATTCGGGTGCCACAGGTTATAATTTACGCGGATAGTGAACAGTTAATTAAATATGTACGCTTGTGGGCTCGGGCAAGTTAAAAACAAGACCGATTGGCGATAATCGAAACTACTTTCTCGCTCTTTCTACTCTTTAAGAGCCCGACCGCATTTCTCTATCAAAGGAAGTTTCAGACTTAAACAATACTGCATATGTGTTATCAGCAGTTAGATGTGCTAAGTTATCTTCAGGAGTTTTCTTAGATCATACGCTTGTTGTATGTGCTCTGAAAGCTCAAGATATTTTCCCTAATAACGAATGCTCCAGATTCAACTTGATAGTGCATGAGCGTCGCGATGGGCATTTAAATACGTTCCGCGCCCGTCAAGTATCTCCTGTGACCGAGCGCTTCCTGTCTGAACTCTCTGAGAGCTCAAGCGACTTTGTTTGTCAATAAAAGTCTTAGGATCGACAGAACTGATATAAGTGGAGTTGTCTTCACTCATTCGAGAACGATGTAAACCCAGTGTAGATTCATGGCCTAAAAATTTTCTACGTCTCGCTGCAGGATCTTCAATCATCCTATTAGCAGTTTTGCAGGTTTGATCTTTTTTCAAGGCATTCCTGCGATTTATGTACCTTTTTGGCGAAAGTATCTGCTGAGACGTGAACTTAACTTTTTTAACGTCGAGGAAATGCTTCTGGCTCTGTTCCTGTTACCCGGCAAGAAACAGTGGGTTAGTATGACTCTTCTCCGTGAACCCACCAAGTCACAGTCGAGTTACATCGCAGATGGAGAGGCTCCGGTCCATCGAGAGCCTCTCCCAGACAGGTGAAGCCCTGCAATCCAGAGGTGGCTGCAAACCATGTCTGCTAGCCTCAAAGACGTTAACCTAACTTGATAAGAATTTACTACGTGCGTTCACTGTAAACTACTCGATGTTTAATTGCAACACTACAACACGCTTTTCGCTTGATCTCCTACTCGCGTGATCGTATACTACGGGTCCATTATATGCTTCAGCTTATAATGGACACGTAGTAGGTTCAATCATATACTATGATATGATCATCATCATATGATCATATAATTGAAATTAACTTACATTGAAGTATCCAAAATATTGAATACTATTTTTTATTTATATTTATATATATTATAATTTTACGGACAATATACGTAGCTCGGTATCGCAATGGATAAGCACCGCTACCCGTGATTGTTGTTGATAAGCAATCTTAGCATGGGTTGTTCACGGGATGGGTGACCAAAAAATTATTTAATAAAGGCTTGAGCCTCACTGTATGGGGATTAAAAAGAGCTGACGATGATAACCAATACATCAGAGAATATTTAATAAAACAATTAATTTCATAGCAATTTTGGCGAATACAGTAGGTACCTCAAATTGACCTATTTTTTTTATTTATGAACCGATTGAAATAAAACTTGTTAACAGAAGGTTACTGCAATACAATAGTGAAAACTGCATTAAAATCGGTTCAGCCGTTTCTGAGATTAGCGTCCACAAACGCACATACAACAAACAAAAAATTCAAAAATCGTTGTTTTGTGTTCTGTTACGTTTATAAATGCCTCTCATAACAGTTTTTTTCATATATCTTCAATGTACAGACATCGATCGGTTACGTTTTTATTATAGTATAGATATTAAATCACAACTTTATTAAGTACACTAAATTATCTCATTACCGACTGCGCCATGTTAAAAATATTTATTTAAAAATTACGATAAATAAAACCATTAAGTTTTGTACGTCTCTCGCTCAATTGCACAAACGTCCATTAAGATTTAATGACGGCTTTAAGCTCTAATGAATGTCTAATTTGTATGGGTAATGTCGCTTTTAACTAATAAAACTTTAATAGACGTTTGTGCATCAGGTAGTCTATCAAGTGACATATATATTTATAAAACATAGATTTATAAATAAAGAGTTAAATACAACACTATTCACCAAAGAACTTATTCTTTCATTTTAAATAGAAAAAAAAAATGTAAACTACTTCATTCTCATGTAATTATTGCCAAGATATTTTGACGGTATGTAAAGCAAAGCTTCTCAGACTGAGATGTCCTAACTTTACCAACTGTACACCTTAGTCAAAACATGTGGCTTGGCCGTTTCATTAATACAAGAACTGTTATTGTATTTAGAACGGTACTGGCAACATGGTCTTCGACCGTCACCGGTACAATTTCACTCGACTGTATAAGCCCTTAGTTAGGATGAAGAAATAAACAAAAAGTTTTAAACAAAACCCGTGCCTTTTAATTTGTTAAATTTGTACAGGCGGTGATGAAAAAGTCCCGTGTTTCGTGTAAATGTCACGGTGTATCGGGGTCCTGTAGCCTCGTCACGTGCTGGCAACAGCTACCCAGCTTCAGAGAGATAGGTAAGTTAAATGTTATTAATTTACATTGAATAGACTACGAAAATTTAATTAATTTTTCATCTACGCGAAGATACATTATATGTGGGTAACATTGGATATAATTTTCGCGGGCGAAGTCACAGGAAAACAGGATAATTTTAATATTATTACTTTTAATATAAGTTTACGGATGCTCTTATCGATGGTTAAGGAGGATGGGCCATGGACCTCCATGGTAGTCTAATGTGGCATATTTCAAATGCAAATGCAGCCAGGACTAACCAGCTTAACGTGCCTTCAGAGGCAGGCAGTAGCTCGAGTTAATAATGTTTTGGTCACCCATCCCGTGATCGAACATTGCGAAAGGTGCTTAATAACAACGATCACAGGCCGCGCCGCTTATCCACCACGCCATCGAGCTACTCACATTAGTTACTGATCAATGTTTCAAATGCCTAAGATTAAGTAGCATTTTTATCATCGGAACATTAGACGAAATTTGTCCAAATTAAACTCTATATTCACGATCACCAGGAGATTATAGGTACCTAAGAATAGAATTTTAATAGTTATATTAAAAAGATTGTAAAATAAACAGGCGTTTATATCTTCTGAAATTCAAAAATTCTGAAATTGCCTATTGTCGCTAAATGTAGAGTCGTCGCCGGTAATTAATAAAGCTTTAATTTTTTTTCTTCGTATCCATAGTTTAGACAAGGGAACATAAGCTCGCCCACAACGCGTATAATTTATCTATCATAAAATGCTCTAATGGATCTTTATTACTATATTAGGTGTGTAATTAAAAATTATTTATGAGTATTATATTAAACGTTTTTATAGATGTTGGTGTTTAAGCTTGTACGCGGTATAATAAAATTATCATAAATATTCGTTGGGCCTTTTATTTTAATATGAAATTTGGAATGTTTTTTTATTGCTTTCGTCACAGGTAATGTAATACCTTCGTTGGCCATTTCATTACGCACTTTTAAAGATGATAAAGAACGATATTTTATGCTTTTTATATTCAATATCTATTATTTTATGAGTACGCTTTTAATTGAATAAAAATGTAGAATAAAAATTAAATGCGTATACTGCTTCCCAAAGAGCACAATCTGTAGAAGTTGACGAAACCAATCGGTTTTCTCGATCGAAACACTCGCTGAGGTGAGAGAGATTAAGAAGAATAACATCTACTACTGGTATACGTATTGTAAAGCACCAGTTATAACTACGGTTTTATACATTTCGTCGCGGGAAAGAGGCCAATATAATCAGTCCCATACTCATTTATATAAAACCGACTCACACTCATCATACGTAAATTAAAAGTATAAGTTTACGGCCTAACCAATAAGCAATGTGTAATCGTTGCGTAGTTAAACAGTGCGTAATCTTTCAATCTAATTAAAAGTCACTTTGGAATGACGCGAAAGAGCTATGTGTAACTATATGCATGCGTACAATGATTATAAGAGTTTTATTAGTAAGAGTATTTAAGTTTAGAGCGCAGGTAATCATCATTAATATATATAAGCGAAACCATACTCACTCACACATTTATCACGATATCTCAAAAACTACAAATAGTAGGAATTACAAATTTGGGGGCACAAAATGGTTCCCTAGGTGCCACGCGGGCGAAGTAGCCGATGGAAATCTAGCGATGTTATAATAAAATTAACTGTATTTATCTTATAGGTGACTACCTTAAAGAGAAGTATGATGGTGCCACAGAAGTGAAGGTGTCACGTAGAGGCAGACTGCGGCTCTCACATCCGCGCAATGACTTGCCTACTGTTCTAGATCTGGTCTACTTAGAAGAATCACCTAATTACTGCGTCAAAAATGATACTTTGGTAATTAGTTTTAAAATTACGTTTAAAATAGTATGCTTTAACAATGTTATTAATAAACAAGGTTTAGCGTTGGAATTTAAAAATTTTAGTCAAAATTAATTTGTTAAACAGAAACTTAGCAAAGATTAACCTAGTACCAGGTTCTACGGGAGTGGTGTTTACTCCTAGAAGGTAGTAAGTAGGTTTGCTTATTATCTGTATTATAAGAATCTGGACTAATACTAAAATTGCAACCTTGTTTATTAATAGCACTGCAAAGATATCCTAATTAAAATAATGTAATGTGTTACCAAATGTACAACCTACACCGATGTCCATCTAATACATATTTTAGCAAAGAACGAGTGCGTAAGTTAATATTAAAACCAATATTTAACAATCGTTAATTCCATAACGTATTAAGGTAATTTCTTTGTGAGAATATCAATTGCCATTTTCTTTAATTTTTGAGAGGAATATCTAAATATCTATACCTACGAAGTGTGTATTTTATGTCGACGGAGCGTTTGTTAATGTCGGTGTGTAGAACAACCGCGGTGTGCAGAGGCACGTGCACGTGCGTCTCGTGTGTGTAAGGCTATTACAATTAAATCTTTTATAACATATGCCGTGCAAAATCACAACCATTAATAAATTTCGTCTGCATTCCAGGCTTAAAAGCTAATAAAAATCTAATAAGGCTAATAATATTAAAATATGGTATTTTAAGATGAAAATATATAAATATTAAATTCTCTGTAGATATTTTTCAACTTTTTCTGTTCTATTAATATAAGTGCTGTATAAAAGACACCAAGTAGGAACTGAATACTCAAGTTTAGATCGAATCATAGTCTTACCCAAAGCAAGAAAAGTTGCAGGACGCTTAAAATCCTTACAAGATCTCATGACGAAATCATACCTCCGATTTGCCCTATTTATAATGTCATCAATATGTTAGTCAAACTGCAACTTTTTATCGAATACTAGCGGACCCGACAGACTTCGTCCTGTCAAAAAGATTTGTAATATGGCAGTTTTTTGTTCCTTCTTATTTTATAGTCGGGGCAAAAAATTCTCATGAACAGAACCGTCACCCTGGTGATAGAACGTTGTGAATAAGAAATAATTTAAAAAAAATTTCTTACTTTTTTTTTTAAACTAACTAAACATCGACAGTTTTTTGTTGTTTCAATTTTCAACTTTTTTTAAATTTGATATGACTTGGAGTCAAATCGTTCAAGCCGTACCAATGTTTTATGTAAGTAAAATAATAAAACACTTTTGGTAACGCGGTTTGTGTTTGACTGATGTCATGACGTGAAAACTGATGCATTTTATGTCGCGTGCTGAAAGTAAAACAAAAGAAATAATATCGCAAAGCTGACTAAATTGAAAATCAGTACTAATGATTTACTTTAATTGAGTTTCGGAACGCGGCATTAAATCCTCCAACGATGTATTCTGTGCTCCAACGCACACACGCACACTGTATTGATATGATTGAATTTCAACTTTGTATAGCGGTAATAAAGTGCAAATTGACTCTTTGACGTTAGGAACACACCTACATTGCTTAGATAACAGTGAGTGCTTGTAATTTAATATGAACTTTATACAATAGTAATAGAGCTCAAATTGACTCAACGATTTAGTTAGGAAACGTTTGTATGAGAAAAAGAAAAGGGCTGTTTTAACGGTTTTTCCGGCATATATTCAATTTTTTCTCGCCATAAAAACCATCCTTGAACTTCAACGAACATTTAAAAAAAAAGAATTGGCCAAATTGGTCCAGGCGTTGTTGAGTTATGCGCTTACCAACACATTTTGCGATTCATTTTTATATTATAGATAACCCCAAGGTGGTGGATTTAGTCAGCCTTGATTTAGTCGATACCGTATAAAGATATAGAATAACATTTAGATATAAGCTGTAACGTATTTTCAACACTGTATTTGGATAGTCTATCCAGATCTTCCTGCAAGAGTAAGCAATCGCACTTACTATTTCAGACTTTGTAGTTTATTATATTATCAGCATACATTAGAAAATGAGAATTCCTGAAACAGGTCTTAATATCATTAATAAATAAAACGAACATAAGAGGTCCTAGGATCGAACCCTGCGGAACTGCAGAGGTAACAATTATCTCAGTTATGATTCAAAGATGATGAAAATCATCGTAACAAGTATCCTCGTATACCGTTGTAAGCAATTTTATCTAAGAAAGGCTGTGATTCACCTTGTCGAAACATTTTAACAATCCATATATACTGTATCCACCTGAGTTACTTGATTAATCTTGTCAAACAGATAACTGGTGTATAACATTAGGTTAGTTGTTCATGTGTGATAATGTTCCGATTGTGAGGATACATGTGACTATGGACTAGAATCTTAACAGCTTCAATATGGCGTTAATAACAAATATGTATCAAAATTGTACCTATAACCTTAAATAATATTGTAAAGTAGGTATATGCAACTACGAAAGTATAAGTATTGTACCTCATTACACACACCCGATACAATATAGAAAAAAAATTTCTACATCAACTTAGGTGTTACTCGACTACTGAGGTCGTCAATCCATTATATTATTAAAGAATACTATTTAATTTATATCAATTTTATCAGATACCTGTACTTCAAGAACTCTTATTACTATGAACATTAAAAACAGACAGTTTTAAATCTGATATTAGTGAATGATGCTCGACCGGAGTGATACCACGGCCTCACAGAAAACCGACGTGAAGCAACGCTTGCGTTGTGTTTTGTCGTGTGAATGAGGGTACCGGAGGCCCAACCCCTCCCTATTCCCTTCCCTCTACCCTCAACCCTTCCCTCCAAGGCCGGCAGCGCGCTTGTAGCCCCTCTGGTGTTGCAGGTGTCCATGGGCGACGGTAATCACTTACCATCAGGTGAACCGTCTGCTCGTCTGCCCCCTATCACATAAAAAAAATCAACCTACATTGAAGACATTTGGAAGTGATGGAACAATCAAAATAATCTGAAGATATTTATTCAGATATCCATAGTTCAAATCTAAATCACAACACAAGATTTATGATTATGAAAACTGTTCTGAGTTCTTCTGTTCCGTGGCAAAATACAAAGGGAAAACAGGACACAATCCAAATTGACAGATGCCAAAAAAGATATAATTTAGTGACTTTGAAAGGTATCAACAACTGCAGACACAACCGGGACCAACAAATTTTAACATACACAATTGCAGGCCAAACATTCATATCTCAATTCATATACTAAAATTTACTTTTTATGTATAGTTAACCACATTAATGAAATGTATATAAAAGGTTTTAGACTTTAACTGATATCATTAAAATTCTAATCTGTTGTTTATTATGCGATATAATACATTGATGTTATTGTATCTAGGTTAACTTTTTGAAACAGCGACATCCCTATAGATGTATATTTTCGTCACATCTGCTTTAATCAATAGCATTGCATTTGACTATTTTGAATATACCTCATTTTTTGTATTTTTTATATTCCAGGCGAAAACGAAATAATGTTAAAAAATATTTACTATAGGTATAATTCTGAAGTAATAATGATAATCATAAAATATATTTAACCCTTCTTTGAATGACGGTCTTAACTCGCAGTTTACAAATATTATATATTTCGTGAGCCAATCGTTAATTTGGGCCGATCGATATCTGCCCGGGCATATCACGATATACTGCCATTTCTTGATTTGGCCACCTATCATATCGTGCAATGCTTAAAATTTAGCGATTTTCCTGACTATACTCAGGCCAATAAATTTTATAGGGTGACCAAAGTACCTTGTAAGCAGAGATGGGTTTTCTACTACCTGTCTAAGCAAAAGAAATGTTTAATGAATTATTATTTATTTAAACAATAGAAATCGAGAAAATCGTCAAATACGTTGCTCTCGTCGATCTGCCAAACATTTTACCGGGCCGATCGTAATTTTCTTGGCCAAATCAAGAAATGGCGGCATATCGTGGTATGCCCGGGCAGATCTAGAACGGCCCAATTCAACGATTGGCCCACAACGTATACAAAAATCATATTGCAGGGTTCACTCGGCACTTCAGGAAGGGAATGCAATAGGACCTCGGCGGGTATAAACGGCTGCTCGCTTATGTGTTGTGGCCGTGGATACAACACTATGAAAGTCACATTGAGGGAAAGATGCGGCTGCAAATTCCACTGGTGCTGCCGCGTACAGTGCAACACTTGTGTCAAAACAATGGAAACATACACTTGTAAATAGCGTGTCAGATATTAAAGCATTTGAATAATTTTATTGCTTTAAATAAGAACAATTTACAAGACATAAAACGTCTACCTGCTTTAGAAATAATTTAAACTTTTCAGTCGATATTTTGAAAACTGCCTCGACTAAATGAATCATATTTTTTTTTCGATTTAGTTGAGCTAAGTGGTAGCTCCACTTTAGCTTGCCAAACAACATATAGTAGGTACGCACGGCCGCACGTCACACTATACACCACCACAGTAAGCAGACCTCTGTGAGTAAGGAAGTTCTATACGAAGCGCTGTTGGTACAAAGTACACAATGTATAGACTGACATGCAGCCATGTGTACCTGTGTTACTACTTAAGTAAATACCTACTACTGTTATTAAGTCTTCTATGAATACTCAGTAGTAAAGCTAGAAATTTAAATTATTGAGGCTATGTAATACATCTTTTAAAACATAAACGATTAGCGGCGATATGTGTGCTAAAAATAATATTGTTTCGTTTATTTTATTTAACCGCCACCTCAAAATATCCCATCGAAAATAACCTACCTATTACGATATGATATGATATATTGTATAATTATTTAGATCTCTACTTAAAGAGGTGTTATCGTTGGAGTAAATTATTTATATTAGAGTAAAATAAATAAATACCAAACACTATCATCTAGCCTTTTTTGAAATACCTTTACTATTTCAAATGCAATCGATAATGATCTACTGTAGCTTGCTACATATTTAGTGATCTGTGGAGTAACTCGAGTTGAAATCCATTGAGGGTATCTAAAAAATAAAAATTTGTTCTTGAAATCAAACTAGATGTCACTGGCGATTTTCGGATAATTGTCTATGATATTCATTCAAATTTTCTTTCTGACATAATAAAAGTAAATTGAGTATCGAAAATTAATAAATATAACATCGTTTCGTGTTTTATAATATTAAAATTACTTTTAATTTATTTGAATCGTAAGTTTAAGTAATTTATTTTGTTACATATAAAGGAACGATGTTTGGTTTATAAGTATGTGAACATTCGTCATGAGTCAGCTTATTGGTTGCTCGTAACTTTTATCCGAATTCAGGTGTGGAATGAAGAACTTGTATTTGTATGAGTCATTATGCATCCACAAAACGAATGATATTAATATAAATATCAATATATTAATATCATTCGTTTGTTGATCACTATTCAGTCTAGGCTGTTACATAGTACTTGTGAAAGTCGAAAACTTTGCCCAATGGTTCGCAAAACTAAAGCGGGAGATCTTGTACTGACAAGAATCGACAAGAAACTCAGGAAGGGGTGCTTTTTTAATTTCAACTATACAACTCGACTATATTATATTTGAGGGAACGTAACGACCTAACGCACATGACACCACCGACCGCAGAGATTTTTATGAGAGCATGACTACTCTAGGTATTTAGTAAATAATATATTTCTTTAAAAGTGATTTCTAGAGTAGGTTGTGTAGGAAGTCAATCTATTATTAACAATATTATTGTAAGAACCAAAAAGCATACCCGCCGTACGAATTAACTTAACACGTGGCTCGACCTCCGGCGTCGAGATGCAAGATCAGTAGCAATAGTATAATAACTGTACGTGTAAATTTAAAGTTATAACCTTGCTGTTCGTTTAGAACAGATGTTTCTTGTTGATTGCTGAATGTTTATTAAGATGATTTAATTATGAATATAAGATTTAATAAGTGATCATAGTTTTTTAGTCTTAATTTCGAAAGCACAAGATATTTGCACGTTTCACTTAGTACAAACGTCATTTTAGCCAGAAGTCATGTTATTTTGTACGAATACCTAGTATATTTGATACATATCGGGTAAGTATATACCAGGAAAGCTTGCGAAGTCGAAATTTATAAATGTATCAGAACAAAAACAGCTACGCTGTATAAATTCGCGCCAAGCCCATGTTCATATAATAATGTAAAACAATATCAAAAAAATTTGTAATTTACAAAAGATATGAAATAACAAAAATTCCAAGTACCGTTGTAGTTTTTTTAATAATAGAAAAAAATTTTTTCGAAAGCTCGACATTCGAAAAAAATTTTTGAACGTACTTGGCATGCGTCATTGAGTAGGTACCCCAATTTTTTTCATACGTCAGATGCTTATCTTGATGAATTCATTTTGTTGTATTCATACAAATATGAAAATAGATAGACCACATCACAACTTTACCGCGTTCTCTTCATTTCTTAAAGTTGTAGTAATAACTTTTTATTATTGTATGAGATAAATGCCTTATAACGTATTGCAAAAGTTGATTCAAGAAAAAATCATTTTTGGCGGCTAAAAACGGAAGCTAACAATATTGTTTTTTATTGGTAGTATACTATTACGAGAATTCTATACGTTCTCGCGTTTTATAGTCTATGAACCTGCTCTTTTCCCAGTAAATAAAAGTCAGGATCTAAAAATTGGCGTAGCTATAGTTTGTGCTAGTGAATTTATTAATTTTTAAATAGTATTAAAGTAACTTGTGAAATTTAATGAATTGGTATGTGTAATTTAAGCCATAAAGTACAATATAAAATGATAAATTTCATCCAATTGTCTATTAAAGTTCGGCGTTCCGTTTTCAACTGATTTGAACGATTGGAACTTAACGCCAGATTCTGCCAAATCTGTGGGTTGATGTCATAATTTACAGTATTCGCAGTGTATAACGGAGCATATCATCAGTGTGTTCGGGGCATCCAAATGCTCCGCACTGCGCATCATTTGCCTGACAGTCTATCAACATGAAAATTCTTAAAAAATCTCTTGCATCGTCAAGCTCTAGAAGTGATATCACTCGCAGAAAGTCAGAGTTCATTATTTTAGCTTAGTTAAATATAAATCAGCAAACTCTTATCGGTGTAACGCTTTATAGTTTAATTATTATATCAACAGGACAGCGTGTTTACGCAAATTCAGTAAGTACACACTTATTATTCAATTCTAACGACTGCGTTATCGTCCAATGAGTGGAAAACTAGCAGATGTGAGTTTAATGATTTTGAATGATGATTTATTGAATTGAGTAGAGCAGGTATTAAAACAAGGGTCAGAGCCCTTGGTGGAAATCATAGAATTAATGAGATAACCCCCTAAAGTAGGTTTGATGTGTAGCCCATGATCTGGAGTTTTCTTAAAATATCATCTAATCTACATGGTATACCGAGGAGAATCAAAGATCATAAATAAATCCGGTGATTTGGAAAAAAACAACAAAACTCAAAAAACGTTCGAAACAAACTTTAATCAAAGTCCTACTCGCAGGGAGGGGCTTTACGGGGTGCGGGGTGCGAGACGCCGCGGTCCCGTGTTTTAATGTTTATTAACAACAACAGAGCTCCGCTCGGTTTATTTGTTATCGGAGTGAATAGCCAGTACGTATATTAAAAAAGTGATTATAATTAAATAAAGCACAATGAAAAGAAGTGCAAGGATTCGTAAATTACCAACCGGTAAATAGATACTAATTACTAAATAAAAAGTGTCAGATGTATAATATTCGTATTACTATTGAGGTAGGTAATTGTCTACTGTGTTCTACTCACTGTTTGTTTGAACGATCTCAGTTCTATGAGATTGTCGGTTGGTGCGCGTGTGTGTACCTATCTATATCGTAATACCTGCAAGAATGGTGGTTTTGCGAGTAATAGATGTGGATACATTTTTTAAAAAGAGTGATTTTAATTCTTTTTATAGAAATAATATGCGTTGACCTTGGCGTTTAACGCATTTCATTTTCCAAAAGAAATGTAATAATTGTGGCACGAGTACTAGTAATGCTGAAAATACAGTTATAGAACATTTTGTTCTACCTATGAAATCCAATGGCATAAACCTACTAATCCAGTCTTTATTCTTCTGGTGCAGTATTTGTGAATTTACCATTTACGACCATTAATTATCCAGAAGACGAATGTTATTATAACAAACACTAACTGTTATAAGTGGACTAAAACTAACTATTACCTATTCAGTGTCTGTATTGTGTTATCGTTTTACGGCAAGAAGTATTTTCCTTCTTCCTACATGTTAGTTATTTGACATGTGTGTTTGAAATTACAGGATTAATACATTTTTTTGTCTATATTATCGGAAAGTTTATAAAATAAATTAAGGATTCTTTAAAAATGAATCAGTGTGAACTTTTAAAGACTATTAAAGGTGGCATATAATAATTTGTGACGGCTTTACGTACGAAAAATTTTTAAGGAAAAATATTATTGGGTGTGAGAAATGTACAAAAATAAACAATATAAGTGTAATGTTCGAGTAATAACTTCAGCGGAAAATGGTGCACACAAGTTGTTAAACAAACGTTTGATGGAACATAATCATGAACCAGACCCATTAAGGATAAAAATTTCGGAAACAGAAACACAATCAAAGAGGAAGCGAAAAAAAGATGTAAGAAAAAGGCCTAGTGAATTATTAAATGACTGTGTAGCGTCAACATCACAAGCAATCCTGCCCCATTTACCTGCATTGAATAATTTAAAACAAACCATATACATAATAAAGCAAAAAAGTTGCAATTGAATCAAGGAACCCGATAGTATAGATTTTGAGCTAGATAAAAAAAACTTACAATGTGGTGAAATTGAAAATGATTATAAAAGACAAAATTCATAACGGGAAAAGAGTGATTATTTATACCACTAAAAACTATTATTATATTTAAGTCAATCAAAATTTTGGTTAATGGACGGAACATTTAAGATTGCACCCAATATAATTCAACAGTTATATACTATACACGGCTCTGTGTGCCAAAGTGAAAAAAAAACTTTTGCAATGATTATTGCACTTTGCACAAACAAGGACAAATGCAATTATAATCTATTGTTTGAATTATTATTGGAGGCGTATGAATCAGAAGTGTAAATATCGTGTCTAATATGTGTTTTATTATAGAAGGTATTAATTTGTCTCCACATAATGGATTTTGAAAAGGCGTCTCAAACAAGTTTGAAGAAATATTTTGATAATATTGTGATTAAGGGGTGTAATTTTCACCTGGGCCAAATCATCTATAGGCAAATACAAAAACGTGTTGTAACTTTGGCGGTGATTTTGTATTATCTTCTGTATTATTGGGAGTATACTAGGTTCCATGGGCAGTATAGAATTGAGGTCTGGAGAGAAATACCGGATTCTCTGGATTTATTAGAATTAGACTTAAATATAAATAAAGTCCTAATTATAAGGGGTAGAATTAAGTCGAGACATTGGGAGGAAACAATATTATGTGTACATTTCAAAAAATAATGACACATCCGGGTTAAATAGTATAAGAGAACACTGCTGTAATTGTCTTATTGGTCGATGTACACTGGAATGCTCTACTCATATAATGACCATAGTTTGGTATCTTGGATGGGCCAGCCACGAACAGAATGTAGCTGCTCCTGCAGCATTCTGTGATGAGGTATTCATTAGAGTTGTAATAAAGAAAAGAAAAATCAACATGTTGTTTTATTATATCTTTTGAAATTAGTATTTTCACTACTACTTTATATAAGTTATAGTGTAAGATAGAAAAGTAGAGTTATTGAGAGCAATCTTAAAAAATCTATTATTTTTTTTGATGTTCATTGGTTCACAAAAAATGATTTTATTTCTTATACTCAATAAAAATAATATATCAGATATGGAGCAAGTTTGAAGTATTAAGTGAAAGTATGCACTTCTAGGACTACGATTAGGCATTATCTGACGTGTGCTTTACATATTTCAACTGTAATACCTCTAACTCAAAATGCTACAGTTTAAATAATATGACATAAACTCAAAAACATATTACACAATTACTCGATACTCCCAGCTTTTAAAAATAAATTTAATGTCTTTCTTTGTTCTAGTTGCATAGGCAAACAAAATGACATATGTTTCATCAAGTTACGTTTTATTCGATTTTACTAGTCCAAGCATGTTAAGAAGATGGCCATTGTTCTTTGCCTAGCTGTCTAAAAATCAAAATTATAGCGACCTTAGCCATATAAGTTCCCCATGCAGTTTAGCTAACGTAGATAACAAATTTCTACAACCTGATTCCTCATCACATAATGAAGCAGAAAAATTAGCACCAAATCATGGACTAGACCTTGACGACACAAACAATAAATTTCAAATGCAAGGTAATTCGAATGATATAATCATAATCAAGAGGCAAAAGCCCAAAAGTACTAGTAATGTTCGAAATAAAGATAACTGCTTTTATTGCGAGACTCTCGTTTTAAATTTTGCTCGTCATTTGATTCCGGATGCATTATCAAGAGTTTGTGCTAACATTTTTTCACGCAAAAACTTATATGAACTGCATAACTCATTATGCCACCCAGGAATCACACGAATGGCCCATTGGATACGTTCTAAAAACTTACCATATTCTCTTACTGAAATTAAAGAAATGACTGCGAACTGTTTGGTCTGTTCAGAAATAAAGCCTCGATTTGCTAATACTAAAGGAAAACTCATAAAAGCTGTAGCGCCGTTTGAAAGATTAAGCTTAGATTTTAAAGGCCCTCTCCCATCAAACAGTCACAATAAGTACATATTGACTATAGTTGACGAATTTTCAAGATTCCCTTTTGCTTACCCCTGCAAGGATATTTCTTCATCCACAGTAATAACCTGCCTTAAAGATCTTTTCTTCACTTTTGGAACTCCTTTATATATACATTCAGACCGAGGTTCATCATTTATGTCACAAGAATTTAAAGATTTTCTTTTAAGAAACGATATCGCTTGCAGCCGAACAACCCCTTATAATCCCGAAGGAAATGGTCAAGTGGAAAGACTCAATGGAACTTTATGGAGGACGATGCAACTGTGTTTGCGATCTAGAAATCTTAGCGTCCAGCATTGGGAACATGTTCTATCTTTGTCTCTACATTCTATTCGTTCATTATTGTGCACAGCTATAAATTCTACGCCTCACGACAGAATGTTCAAATTTCCGAGGCGTTCTGGAAATGGAGTTTCTTTACCTAACTGGCTAACTATTCCAGGACCGATATTATTAAAAAAAAATGTGCGGAACAGCAAATATGACCCGTTAGTAGAAGAAGTAGAATTATTGGAAGCCAATCCGAGTTATTCTCTCATACGTTTTGCAGATGGGAGAGAGGATACTGTTTCTAATCGGCATTTAGCACCAGTACCAACTAATATGCCTGATATAGAGAATTTTGATCGTACAGACACACAAAATTCTGGAGTTGATAACTTGAGCAGTGATAGTTCAGATTCAGGTCGTCCTGTGCGTGAAAGACGACCTCCAGCATATTTACAAGATTATGATTTACAGTAAAACAAATAATATGCACGGGTGAATGTGGTATATTCATAGATTATTATTCCTAAGAGAATGTATTACTATGTTACTATTCTATGATATACTAGATATACTCATTGTTGTTTATGACAACGTTGTTGACTTATATTTTTCCATGTAAAATGTATCGTTACTTATAAAATTGAATTAAACCATTAGTCTCAAATGGTTTGTATCTTTTCGTATCATGCAATCAGAAGCTCAAAATCTGCTAATACGTCACTTAAAAATATACGAAAATCTCAAAGAAACGGTATTTCCTCGAATGAGAGTAGATAAGATATCACTTATCGCAAAAACAGATAATCTGATATGTGCTTTTGGTTCACAATATTTAAAATCTCATAGGGAAAAACATTTTGTAAATGTTGTATCACGAAAAATGCGGGAGCTCGCAAAGTTATTAATTCAAATAAAATAAAAATTGAGCCATCCATAAATGACTTGTTTAGTGCCCTTAGACCAATTTACTATAATATTATTGTAGAGGCCACTAGAATATTAGGAAAATATGACAGCGAAAACGAGAGACGCCTACGTTCGCAATGAATATGTCGACCACTTTAAAACAGTGTTGCAATATAGCAATTATGTTTGCTTTAAAAAAACAAGGTCCCTATATGGATATTGAAACAGGTAAGAGTGAAGTAGACCTAAAAACTACAATACAACTCTTAGAATCAAATTGGAAATATGATATATCTAGTCAAGCTGCGACAGATTTAAACAAAAAAAGAATAGAATAAAGTAACTATTGTATCTTTAGCAAAGGATTTAAAAATTCTAAAAGAACACCTAAATAGAAAATCTTTGGAAGCTGCTACAAAAATAAAAGAAGGGAAACAAAATATTGCAACATATATAGAATTACTATTTGTAGGGTTTTATTATTGAACAGGCGCAGACCTGGAGAACTTCAAAGAATTACATTGCATGACTATTTAGAAAGTGAAAATAAAGGATCTGATAAGTATTTGATCTTAGTATTTGAAGAATTTGATCGTGCACTTACTGCCACTGAATAAATTCTGGGAAAGAAGATTTAAGAGAGTTGTTATTAGGGGCAAACGTGGTCGAGGAGTACCTGTATTGTTTAATCAAGAAGTTCAAAATGACAAAAAACTACTATTGTCTATCAGAAGTATTTTTTTTTACTACTACCCCAAATAAATTTTTGTTTGGTAATCCATGTTATGAGAACATTATCTATGGCTACAAAGTTCTTGAAAAGTATGTAAAATTATCCGGAGCAAAAAATCCAAAAGCAATATCAGCTACAAGGCTCAGAAAACACTTGGCTACCTTATAATAAATATTTAGCATGTCTGAAAATGATATGGAGCAGCTAGCCACATTTATGGGTCATACCCGCGAAGTACATAAAAAATCTTATAGACTGCCGGATGACGTATACCAAACTGCAAAGACATCGAAACTTCTTATTCTTATGGAAGACGGTAAAGCAGACGCTTACAAAGGGAATTCGCTCGAGGAGATTGATTTGGATATGGATGAGGAACTACATGAAGAGGTCCTTGATAATGATCAAATATTGGACTATAATTGTTGTTAATTCTGAATGCATTCAACAAAAACATAATCAAAATAATTTATCTCAAGCTGGACCATCCGGTTTTCCAAAAAATTCACAGAAATGTATCAACAAACAGGTATCACTCTCATTTACCAACAATAAAATAAAATAAAAAAAAACAGAAAAAGAACTTTGATACAGTGGACAATAGAACAAAAAAATGTAACAAAATTCTTCAAATTTCACATAAAAAATCATCAACCACCCGAAAGACATGAATGTGAACAACTAAAAGAAAAACACGGAGATCTGCTTGACAATAAAGACTGGCTTAAAATCAAAGTTTTTGTGCAAAATACGTACTCTAAATCTAAGAAATTAAATAATTATCCGATTATGTCTTATAAAGACATACAGATCCCTAATGTCTTATTATAAAACGAGGACTAACTTTAGTAACAGGTTGAAATCATTATCCGACCAAAATTCAACACGTTCAATTTGACATTTTCACTTTTGTTATTGTTAATTTCCTTTAGGCGACCATTGGTTTAAACTGAATAGTAACTTTAGTCCTCGTTTTATAATAAAACGATGTATTTTAAGTAATATCTTATTGTAATAGTGTTTTTTCATTTTTTACAATAAACATAAATAAATAATTCGATGGCTGAATTAATGTTGATGATTACTGATTATATTTTAATAACCTTATTGGGTTTGATTCTGAAGTGACAACTTAAATTTAAAATTTAATTTAACATTAGCCGAATAAACAAGGGCAGACTAATGTTAAATTTAATTTTAAATTTATGTTGTCACGTCAGAATGAAGCCCCTAGTTTTGGTTAATTATGTTTCACAAAAATAGTAGTTAAATCGATTAATTATTGGTATCATTATAACAATGTTGTTATTTTTTTTATTTATATCGGCCAATTTTAAACATGTGTTTGATTTGTTATAGTTATATCTTTATGTTCAGTTTTTAATTTGTAAGAAAGTTTTTGGCTATGTAAATTTTAAAACAATGGAAATAAAACTTAATATTTAATTGCACTTATAATAAGATAATCGCTCACTGAATAGTACAGTGGCACAACTCAATAATAATAATAATTTATTTTGCTAGAAACATGGTTACATAGATGTTAGGATAGGGTACACTGGTCAGCATATTTCGCTAAATATTCAGCATGCAAAATATAAAAATGTCAAAGTTAATCTATGCTATTATAATTATTGAACACTACAAATAATGTAAAAATTAGTAAATTGTAAATTATGTCATAATCAAGTAGTATCAATATTAAGTCATTATTACTGTACATATTAAAGAATGTTTAGTTACATTAATTATTATTTATTCATAAATTCCTTAATTGAATAAAAGCATCTATCACAGAGCCATTCGGTAAGTTGCCTTTTAAAATAATTAAATGGAAGTTCTCTTATGTTCCTTGGAATTCTATTATATATTTTTACTAACATAAAAGAACTATTTCTGTGGTAAATGTCACTTACACATCTAGGTAGTAATAATTTGGTTGGGTCTCTAGATGGATACTCATTAAAACTGGTAGCTTTTTGGAATAAATTAGCATATTTTCTCACAAAAATACCCACCTCCAAAATATGAAAACCTGTGACTGTCAGTAACTTAAGCTTTCTAAATAAAGGTTTATATGAATCCAAAGGCCCACCACCACATATTGCTCTAATACACTTTTTTTGTGTTATAAAAACTTTATTTATATCAGTTGAATTCCCCCACGCTATTAACCCATACCTCAGTGCAGATGCCACATGACCATGGTAAGCGGTAAGGGCAGTTTTTTCATTAGCTACTTTTCTCAATTTTTTTAATGCACAGACAAAACGGTTGATTCGGGTACAAACTGCTTTTATATGGGCTTTCTAATTACATTGGGAGTCGAGTATCAAACCCAAGAATTTAGCCTCAGTCACCTCCACAATACTTTCACCATTACAGCGTATATCTAATGGTTTCCGTTTGTTTTTATAATTTGAAAACTGTACTAATTTCGTTTTTGATATATTTACTTTCATACAATTTTGATCGAGCCATTGAGTCACGGATTTTATTGTTTCGTCTAAAATAGCTTGATATTTTGCATTTTTGACTGTGTCTGGGATCACGACCGAAATGTCATCAGCAAAGAGGATACAAGGTTGCTTTGTTACTTTTGGGATATCATTTATGTATATAAGGAACAAAAGGGGTCCCAGTATACTTCCTTGCAGCACGCCAGCTTTATTTGTTTGATATGTCGACCTAAAGGAATTCTGTATATATTTTTCATGAATTCTCATGATCTCAACACATTGTTTGCGATTTGTCAGGTATCTAGAGATCCAATTTATTATATTTCCCCTTATACCATAGCGTTCACATTTATTTATTAACACTTGATGGTTAACCAGATCAAATGCCTTACTCATATCAAAAAGTATTGCCGAGACACGCTCTTTATTATTTATAGAATTCAGAATATTATTCAGCAGTTTGTAAACAGCAAGTATGGTTGATTTCTGTTTTTGAAAGCCATTCTGCTCCTCTACTATAACATTAAATTTGCCAAAAGAATTCACCAAACGAGAATGCAATAATTTCTCAAATACTTTTGAAAGTATCGGAACAAGAGTGATGGGTCTATAACTAGATAGATCTTGTTTGCTGCCTTTTTTATGAAGTGGTTTTACTATGGAAATTTTGAGTTTTTCTGGGAAAAATCCTTGTTCAAAAGACAAATTAACTAAATGGGATAGAACATTAGCAAGTTCATTTGCACACTCTTTTACCACATATGTATAAACGCCGTCATAGCCAACTGCATTCGTATTATTAAGTGTTTTGATTGTTTTGAAAACTTCGTCAGGCGATGTTGGCGTTAAGAATAAGCTTGCATCTACAGGTTTTATCAAAGCATAATTAGGATTCATTAGTGTTTCAGTTTTCGAAGACGAAATAAAAAAAGAATTAAATGCATTTGCCACCTCAACAGCCCCAGTTAAAACAGAGTCATCGCAACAGATAGATTGTATGCATTGATAACTTGGTGATGTGTCTCTTTTATCTCCTATTATATCCCAAGTGGCCTTGCCTTTATTTTTTGCTTTGAATATAAATTTATTATTTATATTTTTCTTTGACTGGATCACACATTTCCTTAATATCTTGTCATAATTTCTATACTTTAACTTGTTTTCAATAGAATTAATTTTGTAGCAATTGAACCTGTATTTTCTTTTGGTAAATGTAGATGTTTTAATACCCTTTGTAAACCATCTAGGCGCCCTTGTATAATAATTAACTCTAATTTTATTAATTGGGAAGCAAAGATCATAAAATAATAAAAAAAAATCATAAAATATGTCAAAAGCCATTTCACTATCCGATTCATTAAATATATCAACCCAGGATAGGGCAGTCAAACAATCTTTAAATTTACTGATATTGTCTTTGTTAAAATCTCTTCTCATCGCATAGCAATAGTTGTGCTTTTGTTCAATGTTTTTTACTGGAAAAGTCAAGCTTTGAGCCGTCTCATGATCAGATAAATAGATATGGTGTGTTAGGCCTTTCGCGTTTTTTATATTAGTTACAATGTGATCCAAACATGAGTTCCGCCTTGTTGGTTCATTAATATGAGAATATAAATTATGATTTAATAGAATTGCATTATAATTTTCACATGTCAAATTATTTTTTAAAATGTCAATATTGATATCACCTGTCACTATAATTCGTCTTTTTTTTGTTAGCAATTTGTGTAAAATTAATTCTAACTTATTAAAAAAAATTAAAACATTTGACTTTAGGATCCTATAAATACATATAATGAAACATTGCAACTTCGGTATATCAACACCACAACATTTGAATGAAGTTTCGATTGATATTTTATTACAAAGCTCGATAGGATAAAAATCTATACCTTTTTTAACTAATATACACACACCGCCTCGTTTTTCGTTCAACCTTGAGAAGCTGCTCGCTAATGTATAGTTATTTAAGGAAATATTCGGTTCATCTCCCGACTTAACAAATGTTTCGGAACAGATAACATTTGGTAACATATTTTTTTCACATAACTCATTGACACAAATCTCAACTTGGTCCAATTTATTTAATAATCCAGCAATTTTTGGTGAAGCAATATGACGGTTTCGGACGCTAGTACTAAAGGTTTATTTTTATTGTTATTGTTATTAAACCATTATTTCGAGAAAAAGCAACAACATTGTAATGGCATCCCACAGATAATTAAAAGAAAAAATAAAAAACTTAACAGTAATAATATAATACAAACGATTTAACTGTTATGCTAAAAAATAATAAAGTTGTGCCACTGTACTATTCAGTGAGCGATATAAGCATGTTATCAACTGTTAGTAAAGTTCAAATTACAACAAATGAGGAGTCACGTGTTCCCCTGTCGTCATGGAGAGTATTTAAGCTCTAACTCCAGAGGGAGATTGACAGTTGCGCTCCGGTAGCCACATCACCAGCAAGATGATCGCCAAAGCCATTATTGTTCCGCTTGTCCTTCTTGTCAATTTTGCAGGCGAGTACTAAATGATGATTGTGGCGTTTCGACCATCCTTTGATTTGCTTTCATTATTCTTTGTACTGTTTCAAACTTTAACTAATAAATCTATTTTTGATTGTGACAGTGTTCGATGGCTACCTGAGTGGAGTTGCGTATGCAAGTCCTGTTCCCCATGTAAAAAATCTGACCTCCTTTTCTATTAGTCGCATGTCGTTCGCAGAACGCAAAGCTCGATTGCTATCTCAACAGGCTGCTAATAGACATAATAGACCCGTACAGAAATTTGGGGCAAAAATACATTATAGGAATACTATCAATGAATTGACCGATGTAAACGGTAATATCTCGTATGGATCGCACACTGATCAGTCAGGCGATGCTTATGAGAAATCAGACGGAGTTGATCAGTCTTTTGGATCAATCACTACGGTTTATTAGTTAAAGTTTCAAACAGTATGTACAAAAAATAATGAAATCAAATCAAAGGATGGACGAAACGCCACAATCATAATTTAGTACTCACCTGCAAAATTGACAAGAAGGACATGCAGAACAATAGTGGCTTTGGCGATCCTCTTGCTGGTGATGTGACTGAGCAGGGACACTTTTCCGATTAGCAGATTTGCTACCGGAGCGCAACTGTCAATCTCCCTCTGGAGTTAGAGCTTAAATACTCTCCATGACGTCAGGGGAACACGTGACTCCTTATTTGTTGTAATTTGAAATTTACTAACAGTTGATAACATGCTAATATCTTATTATAAATCCAATTAAATATTTGACCTATAAGTCGAGAAAATGTCAATGAGGTCACTTCATCATTGTTTTGAAATCGACTACTGATTTCAATTTCCCAATTCAGTTCACTTGTTTCATTTGATGGGAGGAACTTTTTTTGAAACTAATTTATCAGCAAAATTGAAACAACTCTGCTAGGAACGATCACCTTTAATCCGACTCAAACTGCAACATAATTTTGATATGCGCATTAATTATATAAGTTAAAAATCTCAGTAAATTCGTTTGGCTTATTATAGATGCAATCAAAACTCATCAAACAATTCAAGGGAAGAAATAGCATAGGATTCATAAGCATTCGGTTGGCCTTATGACCTTATGCTCGCTAGAAGATAGGAGGAATCATTAAACTGCCACCTGTTTATGTTTATAGTGTAGCTACTATTTGATGATCCTTGGATGTGCGTCACGCAGCATGAGGCCCCCCCCTCCCATCATAATCAAGGCAACCCTTCGCAGTCAAATACAATTTGGCAACTTCGTAAACTTCATTCGCAGTGTAATTTTAGCGTCGTACGATACAAGATAAGCGAAGTGAAAGCAAACAATTCCAGTTGTGAGATTAGAAGCAAATAGAGAGTTTCAATGGAAATATCTGATTTTCGATGAGAAATATAAACTAACACCGAAATGGTAAGATCTATAAATATTCTCTTAGAATTGTAAATGCGGAAATTCCGCGGAACTCACAGTTTTTTTATCGATTCGTACAATCTGAGGCCGGCTGGGGTAACGACGTGACGTCTATTTTACGCAACCAGTCACGTGGCGTTGATTAAAGAATTATCCGTGTTTTTTCAGATGGAATATAATGGAAGTAATAAAAAGAATTTCTATGTTGTTCGGTTTATAGAAATACCGTTCGAAGGAATTGATGACTACGTCTGTGTGCCAAACAGTTGGGTGGTGATACGTCGGGTCACAGATAAGAAAGTTGTTATTGCATACCCAAATAACGAAGATCCCTTTGATACGCGAGATCGCGTCAAGAGGAAAGAAAAGTTTGATGAGGAATGGAGGTTTTACATGGCTGTAGTTAAATATGAAACTGGTGAGTTAGAGTTTTTAGACTATAAATTGTTACATTGAAGTTAATTCTGGACCAGGATGATACCGAGGTTCACAACAAAAAATTGGTATTTAATTTTTCAGATAATTACAAAGACGCTGAGTATTGGATAGCCTCGAAGAATAATTACGGGTCTTTGATGGATAAATATTTTGAAATTGAATGTGAGCATCAAGGTACAGTTTTCCAGTTACTATAGAAACTAAAAAATCCAAAATCGTCTACTATAGCGGTTTTTTTATTGTGTTCCAAGAAATAATTGGAGTTTTTATTTTCAGATTCACAATCACCCAAGTTTATGAGCAGATTGCGCAGTGAGAGCCGAAAAAGTCCATTGAAATCTAACACGGACAAACCTCGGATGAAAGTAAAGTCTACTGAGAATTCGCGGAAGTCTCTGCGAAAAATAATACTGAAGAAAACGGTAGAGAAAAAACCCACGGAACAGCTTTATGAGAAGCTGCTGAAGCTGGATAATACTAGTCAGACATCTAGATCAGCAGATCAGACAGAAGCAACTGTTGCATCATCCAGCAACAAACCTGCCTCTTCTCAGCTCACAAGTGAAAAGCGTCATCGATCTTCACCAGTACCTCAAGCCAAAAAGAAGATGCCAAGTTTGCCAATTATAGACGTTGATACAGCAACAGAAGTCATCAGTATTGACAAAGAAGACGAGTTGCAAGAAAGACAGCAGAGTGAAGCGAATACCGACAACCAAAGTCAACATGTTAATAATCCGTCAGCTGCATCAATGGCACCACCACAACCTCCTACGTCAATTCAGCAGTCTCCTCATTCGGATCATCATGATCATCGAAGACATTCACAGGAGGGGAAAAATTCACACATTAAACCGGAAATAAGAGAAGTTCAATATGTAGTAGAAAGTGACACCAATGAAACACCTCGCAATGTTAGAATTTTAAATAGCGAGCCAAATACTTCTGACCATCTACCTAAATTTCTAAAAATGAGCGCCCAACTGTACGACCAAGGGAATGAGAGACCGTCTATGATACCAATGCATGAGCCAGTTGAGAAGAGAACACGTCTTGCGAATTGCGAGAGACTTATGGCCATTGTCGCGCAGAACCCATCAAATCTGATGGACCAAAGAAGATCATCACCACCAGAGAGACAGGAACCATCTGTTACTCAGAACTCATCGCTGAATATTCCAGATTTCCGAATAAAGATTGAAAGATCCTCTAACATGAATGCTCTTGATCCAAAGGTAGTTCTTGAGAGAATCGACAATGTCGCATCCGCTGTACGGTACACTCCAAGCTTACCTCATCAACGTCCTAGCTTCGTCCGACGAGTAAATAAACGACGATATTCACCACCTCTAGAACAATGTCAGCAGCAGCCAATGGATATTCCAGAAACACTTCAACGACCCAGAAGATCGCACAGTATCACTCAGAGAACTGATCTTGAAGAACTTTCGATGCGTAAAGCATCTTCTGTGCAGCGTCTCCCTAATCCAGAAGCTAACCAGCCGAATGAGGGTGCCCCGCAATCTTATCAAAGCAATCCAGGCACTTTCCATCAAGAACAAAATCAAGATCTACGCAGGGTGTTTATCGAAAGAATAAATCCCACTCAACCAACTAGTTCGGGTATAGAAATAAATATACCAGCATGCTATCTGATTTCAACAAACGTACCAATTCAAAAAGTTCCGAGCTCAAACTTCTCACTACAAAGACAGCCGCCACAGTATCATCCAGATGCACAACAACAATCACGTCCATCAGAACTACAAATTGGCATTCCTACCCACGCCAGCAGTCATAAAAGACTACCTATCGTTCAGGACGTTAGCCAAAGATCATCACAACATATTCAATCAAGCATTCCAGATTCAATAAGACAATCGTCTACAATTACTTATCCAAACTATATACGAGACTTGCAGCGATTAGAAACAAGAGTTCAAGGAAAACCAATCGACCGCAATCCAGGTTCTGAAATTTCCTCTCAAAACATCATACCACCAGCAGCAGCAGGTGAATTTCGCAGCTTGGAAGGGCCATCGTATTCATCCCAACAATTTCGAAGAGAACTATTAAAATCTGGTAGTGATAATCTGCATCAGCCCTTTCTGCCATACCAACGAATGCCCTATCAACTTCCTGATATGGCTATGAAACGAGTAATCTCCGAAAGTAACATTGCCAACTCATCTACCGTACGAAGCCCCCCAAGATCAGAGGATCATGTTCGTCACACCGATAAATGTATGAAAGTAGACCCTGTATTTCCTGGACAAAGTTCTTTTCCACATCCTAAAGTTGCTGTGGATCATGAAGTCCTTACAGAGCAAGAGACGTTTACTAGCAATGCTGACTGTGCAGGAGCTTCAGGTAAACAAGACTCTGCATCATCAAATAAACAGCTACATGCTAGAATCGTTTTAGAGCAGCAAATGTTGGATCAATTTTCAACGATTATGACTCAAGTGGGATCTAATTTATATTATACCTGTGAAATGTACAAAAATTTACAAAGTTCCATCCTCGAAACTGCCGACACGTACAAGAAGTTGTTGAATTTAGCCGAGAGGTTCAACGCCCTAGAAACCGTAAAAGGCGCTGCGTCTTTTTCCAGTACAGTGGCACCGAAACTCTTGTCATTGAAAGAAGAAAAAAAATCTAGAGCTCCAAAGAGAGCGAGCTCTATCAATCATAACCCACATAGCAGTAGAATTGACGAAGAACTGCTGAATAAAAAACGTACTATGCAATGGAAAGTCGTTTTACCAGCAGAATACGATCCTAATGATACAGAATGGACACTTAAGTGTAAAAAAATCGTGCCAGGGCTCAAAGAGCTCTTGCCTGAAAAAGGCATTTACGTCAACTGTGCGAAACTGATGCATGCCGAACGAGTATCAGGCGATTGCAAGACGTTAGCGTCACTAGTGCTCGAGGAAGTCTTTAGTAAAATTGCCCTAACTGTATGTTCAACATGGTATGAAAACAACTTTCCCAACGAATGCTGGATTGAGAGGCCTCCGTTGGATCTCGCGGCGTGGTATATCTTGTTCAATTACGTCTTACGGTTCGGACGTCAACACGGTTGGAAAATTGACACCGAAGAGATCATCAAAGCTATGGACAACAAGATTTACGAAATACGAATCAAAAACGACATTTTGACTGAACCTTGTATGCTTTAATCATCTGTGTTTTGTATGCCAGCGAGGAAGGTTCAGATCTGAGTAAATCTTTGAATTGTTTCCAACTAAATCTGGAACAATCTCGTCAAATAGAGACCATTTGAAGATTTGGCCAGATCAATGTTAACAAATTATTTCAGAATTAATTTGACTTGTTAATGGTGATAGCAGAGCTCATCACATTCGACTTCTGCTGTCAAATGTAAATAATAACATAATTTAATCAGATGAATTATATGCGTCAATTATGCTAGGTTATATTCCTCTATTATTTTCTAAATTTTGTTTTCTATTGTACTCAAGTCTTATTATTGTAAATAATTTTATTTATTCTCAAAAATCGTACCTATACAAATGAATGCAGCTCAAGTAATCCAAAGTAGTTTTAGGGTTATATTTGCAATAAACATTCATTTACTAAGTTTACTAAGTAAGTACAAAATTTACTAAGTTTTTAGGTTAAAGATCTCAATAGTGTAATTAATTGTATTAATTAGTAGTCATTTTCTACTGGCTTATGAGCAACAAGGGGGTTAAACAGTTCAATTGATATTTTATTTCCGTCAACGAAAACACACCGATAATTTAACTAACGAAGCATAAATTAATATCGTAAATACATTCCTGAGTAATTAGCAAATTAATCACGCTAGAAATAGGATGCTGAACTGATTCTCTTAACCCTTAAATTGATAGCGTACTACACAGAGTACACTGAATTCGTAAAAATCTAGAGCTTAATTTATTCGAACTATTTTAAAATTTATTAATTCATTAGCTTCTAAAAACTATAAATTTTGGTAGAAAGTAATTTATACTGTAGCAACATTTACGACCAACTGTCAAAATCAAAATGATTTCGAAGCGGCGGGTGTGTCTGTGAAGCGGGTAAGTTATTTTGTATTTTTTTATATTTTTGTATGGAAACTGTGGTTATTCTGCTTTACATTGCATGGGAATAGTATAAATATATTCTCACTTCAGTTTTAGATGTTTATATTACATACATTTGACCTTATGGGCTTGTGCGCGTGAACGTACTACGTGAATGCCGTTGCCAAATAAGGTGTAAAGAATACTAAATTGACTATGGTATACACGAAGTACATTGCCAAGTACCTATACAAATGTTTTTCCTTTTTTCATACTGCGTTCCAGCTATTGGGTTTGGTTTTTTTGTTTATATGGCATGCCCTTTTTTTCTTCGCTACGCACAAGATTTTGGCTTTGGTTCCTGTGGAAAATGCTTGTTCAGAAGATAGTTCCAGTTCCGACGATGAGGCAAACCATATTACATTACCACTCTCAAACGTTAGTTCTGATCCACCTTCATTAGACTCCTCATTCGAACGACTAAATATTTTAGCTGACGATTCTGATAACGCATCTAATCATAACCTCGAACACATACCGTTAACACCTACATTTCAAGAGATCTTTCCATCCCCTTCAGTGGATAATTACAACGCCATCCCCACATTAGATTCTATTCAATCCCTGTCTTCACCATCAGTAGAAGTTCTTGAATCCCCGATTCCCAGCACATCAAAAGCAACGTTACACACACCATCATTAGAAGCCCTTCAGTCACCGGTACCCAGCACGTCGACAGAATTTTTTGAAAATTGAAGAAGAAGGTCAGTATTCTATAGATGAGATGATGATCCCATACAAGGGCACGAAAGCCGGTAAAAGAAGGCAATATATCGAGAACAAACCCAAGAAATGGGGTTACAAAAATTTTGTACGAACTGGTATTTCAGGTCTGATCTATGACTTTATGATGTACGGTGGTGAAGACACATTTCGTGAACAAACCTTCACGTCACAAGAGGCATCACTTGGTGTTGAGGGTATGGTAGTGATAACTTTATGTTAAACAATAAAACAAAAGCCATCTATCATATATGCTGACAATTTCTTTACTTCTCCCGAACTGGTTTATTTGTTGCGGGAAGAGTATGGGGTGTTTAGCCTAGGCACTTTAAGGGCAAACCGACTAAGAGGTTGTGAACAGCTTCTATCTTCAGATAAGGAAATGAAAAAGAAGAAAAGAGACTACAGCTCTCAAGTAGTATGCAATCGTAACAAACTAGCAGTTGTTAAGTGGAACGATAACAAGGTGGTAACGTTAATAAGTTCCTTTATGGATTCGTATCCCATAGACAAGATCAGAAGATATACAAAAGATGCGAAGGCCAAAATAGATATCGACTGCCCTCAGTTGGTTCGCGCTTATAACAAACACATGGGTGGTGTCGACCTTGCCGATATGCTGATCTCTCTGTATCGCACACCATTTAAAAGCCGAAGATGGTATCTACGTATATTTGCGCAACTACTAGATATGTGCATCAGTAACGCATGGCTTTTATATAGGCGAGATACTAAAGATAAGAAATCTCTCAAAGAGTTTCGCCTAGAGTTGTTTGAGGGATTGTGTCAAGCAGGCAAAAGCAATAACTTCATAGGTGTAGAAAAGATTGATGATCACAAAAAAATTCAGAAACCAGCTGTTCAAAGACCTGCTGATTGTGTCCGGTATGATGCCGTTGGACATTTTCCTGAGTCTCGAAACAAGCAGTCGCGGTGTAGATTCTGTAAAGTTGGCAGAACCAAAGTGTTTTGCATAAAATGCAATATGCACTTGTGTTTTGTTGTCGGAGAAAATAATAAAAGGAATTGCTTTCTTCATTTTCACACAAAATAATTGTAATAAATTAAAATAAAGAATTTATTCATAAATATAGTTTATTTAATTCTTGGCGACGTACTCTACCTAGTATATTCATAGGAACATATAGCCTTCATACCAGTTGGCAACGTAATTCGTGAAGTACACTGTTTTTCGCAAAAACTGAAAATGATGGAATTTTTTAAATATTTTTTTTATGCTTTTTAGGTCACATTAAATCAGATATATCACTTAATTAAGCATAATTTGGAAAAAAAAGATCTTGCCAATTTAAGGGTTAATTATTCGGAACCCTGGACGAAGATAGCCAACGCTGACATAATCAACTACGAAACATTGGTACGTGTTATTTTTGATCAAGTCCAATGTCACTTTATCTACGCGTAAGGCGCGAGTGATTCACAGGGTATGTTCCAAAATACATTGCGAGCACTGCGCAGTAGTCTCAGCAGTGAAAAATTCGTTCCGTTATAGATTGGCAGTACACTGCTGCAGTGCCCTACGACGTCAAAAATCGCCCCCATATTTCCACTGCGAGCAAAGCAATAGTAAAGTAATAGTTTTGATTATTGTACATTGTACTTACTATTGTTCTACTGTATCAAAGAATCTGTAATAGACTTATATTCTTATATTTTCCAACAATGATGTTAACAATTATCATATATATTTTATAACACATATTTACCTTAAAATATACTATTATAAGAGAAATTTATAACAGAATAAAAGAAAATATTATGTAGTAATGAATTACTTTTTTACTAAATCGTATTTATTTTTTGTTTAATAATCCATGTACACTTTCTTGTAGGATTTTACAAAAATACGGATTTGAAAAAAAACATACGATTTTTGTTTTTACAATCAATTAGATTTAAAGGGCTATTGTTAATAAATTTATTTACAAAATTTAATTGTCAGTCAAGTGATACATATTGATAGCAGCCACTCAAAACTCTATGAAATTCTTTAAACGTTCCCTTTTCTCTATCCCAGCAATTTTTAAGACATTAATTACATCGACATCTATATCAAATACCGGAATTTCATGGTTCATTAAAATTGGAATGTCAATGAGATCGTTTCTCAGTATACAAATGTTATGCAAAATACAACAAGCAATAACATAATATGGTATCAAATCAGTTCTTTTGAATGGCAGTTTATCTAATAAACTACGAAATCTTCCTTTTACCAAAGCATTTGCCCGTTCTATCATCATACGAGCACTTGAATGTTGGACTCTCAATTCAGGTTACCATTATTTCGATAAGGTACCATTATGCAAGATTGGATACTGTAAGCTTTATCTCCTAAAAAATTCAGGTGTACAATAGTTTTGTAAATTATACACGAGCGTCATGAACTGAACCCACTTGACCACAATATGCATGAATAATTTTCAATTTGTGATCACATACTATACTCCATTCATAATAACATTAGAAAAAAGAGGGTCATAGAAGCAGCAGTGCAGACATTTTATTTTCAAGATAAATTTAAAAAATATGTATTATAGTTTTGTTGAAACTGAACAATAGGTAGTCTGAAAGAGTTGGGCAATTTTTCATATTTTACTATACTTTGGAGTTGAGATGAGGCCAGCATTTTCTAAATTCATCTTTTACTCCCACCCAAGCCAACATGGAACATAAACTATCTATCTGTTGTTTTAATAAAGTCTTATTGTAAGTGTATATAATTAGAATAGTTTAGTTATATCTATGGCCAGGAAAGAAAGGTAAACAAAATGAAATTTATACTATTACTTTTATAACATTTGACGGCGGGTAGTCTGAGGGGGCTATTACGAAGCCCAAATAGATCGTCCATATCGGAGGATTATCTTTAAAATAACACTGCAGACGTGTATACCAATGTGGACTTATTCCATTTTATCACTTTTCATACGAAAATATAATGAGATCAGCGCGATGTCGTCGGATGTCTTTACTCCTCGACGATCGGAAACAGAATGTCTGTCGAAATAGCGGCAACTTGCATATTGTTAACGAACTGTCAAAGTCAATGCTACCATTCTAATAAAATTAAAAGTATCGATGATCACGCCCTCCGTCGATGACGTCCGACCTATATCGCCTCTAATCAAACAATCACGACATAATGGCCACCGTCTAACGTTTCGCCAGAGTGAATAATAATTCACTCTCGTTTAGGAATCAATATCGAATTATCGTGGTACAATCGATGCGCCGACACATTTATTCAGCATTAGACTGTTAAGACATTGGAAATGTCAAGGTTGAGGGAAATGTCAATGTCAAAACAACAAGAAAGGCAAGTAGCATTCACAATGGATGAAAATCCCAGATTACGTATTTTGACAATTATGAATACATCATAGTCTGACAAAATTAAAAGCTGTACTGCCGAAACGTTTGAAGGAATTAGACAACGTTTTAAATTTGGTAGAGTTATAGTGACATGAGAATCGTGCCGAAACTTTCCAACCCTGCTTCTTTAGGTTCTTTATGATGAACACTTTTTATCGTTATAGTTATTAAACCATTTAAGTTCGTCATATACTCATCAATTTGTTTAATAAATAAGTTAAATGGTAACAGTTAAGTATAGCAGCGCGTAATTAAGTGGATATGTAGCAAATTAGCCGTCAGTCTTAAGAGTAACATGATTATTGATATTTGACACAAAATATACCTTAAAAAGAACCTTATTTAACTTCTATCTAATGCTCTATCTAATGAATGGAGTATAGCTGAAATTATAAAGAAAAAGTTTCTACAATGACTTCGATAAATATTAAGTTCAGTATCTGTAATGAAAACTTTAAAAAAACCTGAGTTTGGATAGAATAAAATCCTTTGCGACCAATATAGCTGACATGGTGTTCTTTGGGTTGAGTAATTCTTATGTGGGTCCCATCGATTGCTCCTAAAACATTCGGAAACCTGTACTTTCTATACAGGGTGTCCCAAAAGTCGCGATCATCCTTTGAACACCAGATAGGAAATAAAATTCTGAGACGAAAAGTCCTCTGTCATTTTTGATTAGATCCATAAATAATTAGTATTTAATAAAAATAAGTAACCAATCAGGCGCGCGCTATGAGAGAAAAAGAATGGAAGGAGAAAAGAGAGAGGTCAACGCGGGTTCCCTTCCATTCGCTTTCCCCAATCCAAGAATTTGTGCTGCCATCCAGAGACATACATTTTTGTAGTTTCTTTATTTTTTTAAAATACTTCTTCATTGAGCTTTAAATCCAACAATTTGTGCTGCCATCTAGTGACATAAATTTTGGTTTCTTTATTTTTTTTAAATACTTCTTCATTTATATTACTATGAATATACCAAATTAACTTGATGTCGAAGGCTTCATATTTTCTAACAATATCGTCTGACGAGTTAAGTTTTTCTTCTTCTAATGTAAAATTTCCTCGTAGCATGCCAGTACTCTTTTTCATTTCCCGTTTTGTAGTGCACTCGTTTTGTAACTCTTCGTTGGAATCTATTTTCTCTAGAACTTGTAGTAAAATTTTCAATTGTACTGAGGCCTTCTGTTAAGTTTGAAATCGTCATTTAATTTTCCGGATCAACAGGATCTGAACGAATCAGTTTGTTCAATGTCTTGATCATGATTACTCATTTGATTAATTTGTCAAGTGATTAATTTATTGGTTTTTAAGATGTACGCTGCGTTTGTAAAACAACTCCACAAAACTGAACTCGCTGATGCGCATGTAGTTCAGATGGAAAAACCGGGTATCTCCGAATTCGCACAAAACGGGGTAGCGTAAGGTATTACTATAATTATTCATTCGTTTCATTTTTTTATTTAATGGCTTATCGTGTGTAGCCATGAAAATGACCATAAACGATCGACAAACTTTACGGCATGTCTCCGTCACTCGTTTTATGCACAATGGGGGCAGAAATTTTCGAGATCAAGTTAGAGAGAATTTGACTCGTGTTGGTACATCACTAATTAATGGTAATTTTTTTCACGAAAAAACTTGTTGGTTTCATCGCCATTTTGTCAAAATAAGTAAATATTGTTAAATTAACAGATACGTACATACATAGTTGGTTATTAATTATTGTTTTCATAGTCAATTATTGCATTTAATACATTTATGCAAGTGTGAAATTTTGTGAGTGCTTTAAATATCTCAAAATACAATGGGTAAACCTTCGAGTGCTCGATTAACTGTTAGTTCGCCCTTTTATTTTTATTAATTTCGTCAACTACCTATACTATTAAAATCTTCTAAGGTAAAGTGATAACATTTTTATTTCTCTGCATGTGCTATCATGTGCTGGTGCTGGGAAAAGTGCAATGCTTGATGTTAATCAATGTCTAAACATGAAGACTAAAAAATACTATATTCACTTTGCCTTTACACTATTTATTTCCTGTCAGTAGCGTAGCTGCCATCATATCTGCCGTATCAATGATATTGAGCCTCTTAACGTGTGTAAACAAAAATTTTTACCCTCTATTTGGTCCCCCCAACTAATATTGATACAGGGCCCTGCCAAGGCAACCTACGCCTCTGCTTCCTCTTAAAGTACTTATAATTTGAAATATATTTCTAATTTAATAATAAAAATCTTTTCACTGATATTCACTAAAATTATATTTATGCTTTTAATTAAAAGATACTGCTGGGCTTTATGCTGTGAGGTTTAAAATGTGTTAAAGTGTATGTCATGTCTGTTACGTAACAATATATAAATATAAGATGAATATTTATGTAATTAAAAAAATATATGGATATGGACATAAAAAAAATGTTTAATATACAGAATACTTTCACAGAGACCATCCCAAGATTCTTTTCACTCGAGTCAAGTTACTAAAACCAGCAATTCTACAAATACTCAAGAAATGGGCAAACAAAAAAAACAAGGTAGAAAATGGCGTCAGAACAAGATACATAAGTTCAATGATAAATTAAAAGAGCATAAAGAAACACAAAATAAAATTGAGAAACTGAAAAAGGTGTTTGATGAGCTCCGCAATCATAGTGCAAGTAGTATAAATTTGCATGTGGATGAGACAGTTATAGTACTAGACGATACAGTTGTTGAAAGTGAAAGTAACAAAAGGAAACTGTCCGAACCAAATATTTTAGAACCAAATAAATGTATGAAATTAGAAACTGACAATCCTGTTGTGATACCTGATGATGATGTCCTAATCATAAGTAACACTCCTAGGAAAAACTTGAATACAGCACCCAAGGATTGCTCAACGCCAATTTTAAAATGTAGTACTAATACTTCTTGTAATAACAACAATGAAGAAGAAGAAAATTTCAACAATGATATCAATGACTTAACCAGAGAAATTAACAAGGATTCATATTTAACAATTGATTTAACATCTGAATCGAATGCAAATAATACACAATTGGGTAATACCGTTATTGATTTAGACAACACAAATGATGCCCAGGACTGCACTTTTGTTTCAACAAGTAACACAAGTTTATCTATTAGTGGAGAGTCGGATGTTACCGTACTTCGCAATACAAAGAGGAAAAAAGTTGCCGGGAAGAGTATGAGCAGTTTTGTCAATGGTATTGCAAAAATGAATGCTTCAGAAAAAGGCAAATTGTTAGAATTGATTACTCAAAACATTTTCAATGGATGTAAAGTACCTAAAAGGATCAAAAGAAATATCTCAGTTATTAAGGTAACATATCATACTAACATAATATTATGTCATTGCATTTTCAAATGTGATAGTAATGGCCAGCTCAGTCCTCTGACTATAACTTTATTTGGACTGTCTAACATATTGATTTAGCAATATTATTGTTGGTGTGGAAAGTGTTATTGCATAATTTATATTTTATGTAATAGTTATTTTTCCCAGGAACAAGTTGATCAAGCTACAGAAACTGTACAAGATACATATATAAAAGAGGTGATCTTAGGTGAAAGACAATCTAGAAATAGTATAGGCAGTAATATATATAACCCTGAAAAAGAGAAGCAAAAGCAGTCAGGATTACGAATGATTGTTATAGATGGTAGCAATGTGGCTATGGAGTAAGTAGGGAAGATCCGCTATGAGAGATAAAGTGTACTTTATAACTCATTTTGTATCTTCTTGTTTCTTTATATTGTCTATTGTTTTATCTTAAGATACTCTTCCCACATTCGGTCGGGGCTCGGTGAGCATGATCGTCTTCAATTTTCGCCCGCACGGCGAGAAATTGGTCTGTAATACTACAGATCATATTCTTCTCAGTGTCTGTCATCTGCATTTGTCTTTAATTTGACTGACTGTCTGACATTATACAATCAATATATTGTGAAAAGTTAGCTGTTTTATGAGAGGGTTTTAAATGTAAAAGCCATAAAAAGAGGAGTTATTAAAGATTTGGTTTGAGTTGCTTAGTGCTCTCTGCCCATTCTGCAATGGATATCTTTAAATAACTGTATTAGATTTTCTTATATAAAAATGCTTAAAAAATATCGCTTTATCCCTGGTACTCTGACATCTCAGACTACAAAGTTGATTTTTTATAGTATTTTCCATAAAGAATATTTTCTAGTATATAATATGTTAGATTTCATTAATATATTTGATCAATTTTTCATTCACAATGCTATATCAAAAAATATTCTTAATGAAATATGCTTAAAAAATCCACTTTCTCCCTGGCACTCTGTATTGGGACTTGAACCCATGACCCTCCACAATCTAGGAGACTGCTCTAACCACTGAGCTACCTAGGGCCTAACAGGGGACTAATTGTCTAACTTTAAAATCTTTCGGTTTGAAAGATGTTGTATAACCATTGCTTGTTTTTGAAGACAGTTGAAAAAAAAGTATTTGTATTATGCAGCAATGGTTGTGTTACACCTTTCAAACTGAAAGCGATTGCAATAGATTTAAAATTAGACAATCAAGGGGCTGGACTGATGAATCTTTCAAGCTGTTGTTACTTTTTCACTTTGTCATTATTTTCATTAATGTTCAGGCAATCCACCCAAACAGCTGAAATAATATTTTTACAAGTATTTAAACTTGCGATAAAGATGAAAATTTGTAATTAAGCATTTTTCTTTAAGAATATGATAGATGTTGTAAATGTATAATAATTATGTAAGTAGTGTGATCATTACATGTAATAACAAACATTAGATAATATCACATAAATTACGCAGAATACTCAGGTGACAAGTGATGCAGCATTTGTGTTATGAAAATTGGAAACAATGAATGTACCACCCACCCAGAATCTAAAAGATAATAGAGCAGTTTGATTTCTACATTGACCTTGCTAGGAATTGAATCCAGATATGTGGAGGAGCCACAAGTTACTTGACTACGGGGGTCAATGAAACAAATTGCTCTTGATAATTAAGCTGCTTGTGTTAAAGAAATCAGTAATAATGACAGTACCACAGTCCAGAGAGAAATTAAATATATGTGACATCAAATAAATTGCTGAGATTCTATTTTCCAGATTTATCCAGATTTTCATAACCTAAAGCCTTTAGGTTATGAAAATCTGGAACAACCAGGAAAATAATATGTTTAACATTCGAAGTAGTTCTGTATCTTAATATTTGAAGACCTTGTTATATCAACTTTTCAGGATTTTGTCCTAGGGAAATGCTTTAAGAACTATCAACCTTTGGCCTGACGGGATCACCCTCTCCCCTGTTAACGTTAAAGCAGCCTGGACCAACAGCTTGAATAAATAAATGGAAGTTAACATCCTATAGGAATCAACCTGGGACCACTTATGTACTAACAAAATATTAAGACTACAACTGGGACCAATGCTTAACTAACATTATTATGAAATAAATATAAAGATGTGCCCACCTACCTGTTTACATGAAAAATTTGAATTGTGCTACTAACCTTTGTAACTTACAGACATGGCAATGGCAGAGTGTTTTCAGTGAAAGGTCTGAAAATTTGCATAGACTATTTCCTGAGGCGTGGACATGTAGTCAAGGCGTTTGTGCCTCGATTCAGGTAAATAACAAAATATAATTTATTATTACCGTGATTTTCAGGTAAGTGGTAACAGAAAATCCAACATAATAGATTAAATTTCACCAAAGGTTAACTCTTCTTAATATGCATTGAATTTACATAAATAAAAAGGTGTATATTCATCATCATCCATCTATTAATGTCCCCACTAAATGGGTGTAGGCCTATTCTGTGGATGGAATCAACTGAAATAGGGACACGCAGGCTCAAGGCGGATTGGTGAATGTTAAACGACTGCAGATGCAGCCAGGACCAATGGCTTAATGTGTCTTCTGAAGTTAGGAAGAACTTAACATTATAAATTTATTTGTGTGACTTATGCTACACAACGCTAGAGGAATGGGTCATGTGAATAAGATGACGACAAGTGGTAACGACTGAAGATACAGCCGGGATTGACGGACTTTCAGAAGCACTGAAATATTTATAAACAAGGGAACAAAAGACCACAAGACCAAGATTTAATCTACGTAATTATGACACTTAAAAATAAGGAACTTAACTGTATAAACATATATTTTTTTAACTTCAACAAAAGTAATTCAAATAGTAGTGAGCATAGAGTAAAGTAATAGAAAACATGGTACGAGTTCATTATTTTTTAATTTTAAAAATTCAATTTGTTTGAACTGGTGTAGTTTTATCTATATATATGTTTGTAATAGTAGATATACCTTCAGAAAATGCATGGTCCCTCGAATTGCCGCTCTGTCTCCCCCTAATCTCTTATCTGCCCTTGGACTTTTCGGTAAAGTCCTTTTTCCCTCTCTCTGTCAATGACAATCTGTACGATTGTCGTAACAGGCAGTCGAGGCATAAAAGGTTTCTAATGGCCTGTTTCTGAATTGAGAAAAGTACAAAATCCCAACTGAATATTTGCAATAACTTAAGTTTTGTTTTCCTCATAGCAAAAAGTTATAGTTTTATCAAACTGCCATCAAATGATCATTAAAAAAAATTAAAATCAAAAAGCAAAACCTGTTTAAGTGATGTTTAAAATGATTTAAGTACGGTTTGAGACGAGCATAACTTTATATTCTCAATTCAGAAACCATGTGTTAAATAAATGAACAAATATTAAACAACATCACATACATTGCTTAGATTCCAAGATGAGTAGCTAAAGCTTCCGTATTATGGAGTATCTGAGACAACGAAGGTAACACAACACCCAGACCCAAGAAAAGTTAATTTTCAACATTGACCCGACCGGGAATACCTTAAATAAACAACTTCATTTAAAAAAATAAAGGAAGTTCGTTTCCAGCCCACAAACGAGTATGCCGTTTTCGTTAATTATAAAAAAAACTTCGATTTAGAATACTAGCGCCACCTATTGGCAGTGGAAAGGAATGAAACGGTGATGTTCTGCTTTTGAGTGTATGTAGTGTAAAGTGTGATGGGCGGTGGTGACAGATGTAAGTGGGGCAAGAGTAGTGAGCCGCGGCTGCTGGACGAGCTCGAGCGGCGCGGCCTGGTCGTGTACACGCCCTCCAGGGAGATACAGGGCCGGATGGTCACCTCGTACGACGATAGGTGAATACTATCTCACGTATCTTATCTAACAACTGTTTTCCCAAGACTTCATAGCCTCTGTCACATGCGTATGATGCCGCATCCTGTAGGTTTAGGAAATAATTTTTTACCAGCCCAATTTATCCGAAAATTACCTCTGCAAATTATCTGTTATGTTACCTCATTATAATATTAGTATAAACATACATCATTGATGTTGCTATTACGTATGTCATTTCTGCGTAACTTACCTTCATCAAAATGTCAATGGATTTAAATTTAATTACTCTTACATAACGTCAAATTAAAATTTGAATAACCACGTAAACTCCAATGTTTTATAGCGAAAAACTCTTATTCTACACAGAAGAGTCACGTGCGAAAATCTATTTGTCCTTATTAACACGCATAAAACTAGTTTCAATAAAATAACTCTTTATCAAATAACATTATCTATCAATAACTTCAGGTACATTGTGCAATGTGCGGCCGAATTCGACGGCATCATAGTGTCCGGCGACAACTATAGAGATCTACTGAAAGAGAATCCAAGATGGCGATTCGTCATCGAAAACAGAGTTTTACCGTTCACGTGGGTAAACGACATGATCATGTTCCCGCGGGACCCGCTGGGGAGGAACGGACCTTCCCTGGAGGCGTTCCTGAAACATCCTCCGCAATCCCAAGTACCGCCGAGTGTTGTTATACGATGAAAAAAAAATGATTGTACATTTTCTAAACTGTATCAACTCGTAAGAAAAGCGGTACCTCTAAAAAGCATTTTTCTTTTTAACTTTAAATTTATCATTCATTGAGTTACCTTATGCAAGAAAAACAGATTGTTTCTTTTATATATCGCTTTTTGACTAATAAGAGCTGAACAGTTTACTAAAATGAAGTTGTGATATTAATGTGTTTTCTATATTCCAAATAACAGATTATTCAAATTTGATTCGTTTTCTATGGTATATCAAGTCTGGTTAAGCGTTTTCCCGATTTTGATAAATGCCAAATCTTCTAATTAGTATCTATATATATTCAGCCAGCAAGCTTCCTTACGGGGTAGGCAGAGAGAATCGACCGAGTTAAGTGTCTAACCTATAAATTTTTTAACGAAAGTACCAGTTACAAGTTTTAGGGCTCGTGCTATAGAACATGTTAAGCTCTACAAGATACGATACAAAATTTTAATTTTCTAAATAATAATTATAATTTATTTTTATGAAAAAAGGGGCCTAAATCGAGGGTAAAAATAAAATTGTGTTGAATTTACTGAGAGTATAATATTTGAAAGAAAACTTATTATGTCTATTCAAATAACCGGAGAACACCGAACATTTCAATATCTTATTTTATTACAAAAATGTAAAACCGACATTGGCTATAGTGTGCATGAATAAATCCACCAATAACAAGCAATATACTTTTGTAAATATTTTACAATACCAATATTGCCATTTTTGCATTCGTATAAAAATTATGGCAACTAAGAAAAGGATCTTTTTTTTAAACAAAACATTGAATTTATTTTGGAAAAAAGGGTTGTTTTAGTTTCTTCTTATTTTTTTATTATTTTATATATAAATTAATATTATTCAAATTGATGATGTGCGTTACCAATGAGATTGCCGCTCACGTTCGACTTTTTTTGTCGATCTGACAAACTGCACATAATAATAAAGAATAAATGAATAATTTTCACTGCAACAGCTAAAAATATAACAACTTCATATATTTTTTTGAGTTATGCTGTTCTTATAAAGCTACAAATTGTTATTTGTAGACGCTTAAAAGAATACTTGCATTTCTCCGAAAACAATGTCCATGGTTAGACGTGGGCGGGTAGCTTTTGTATTTGGTCATTGCATTTTTATAAACCAAATGTAATTTATAATTTTATAGATTTTAAGATTTCGAGATGGAGACTGCAAAACTTGCGAAAGTTCATGTTCTCGTAAAAATATTGATAGATTTGTATGTGTATATGCAATTTGTCGCAAATTGTAATGGTCTCTTAAATTTGTTGAATATTTTATATTTTTAATAAAAAAAAAATTTAAAAGGTGTTTTATTGAGAGTTAAATATTGTTAATTAAAAATGCTTCGAACATAAACTTTGTCCCTGGTACTCTGAGATGCGACTCTCGAGTCTCGAACCTATGACCTTTCGCATTCCGGGCGACTGCTCTAACCTCTGAGCAACCCAGGACCTAACAGGTAGTGATGAGTCCCTCACTCGCGAGGTGCCTCGTTTGAGTTCCTCATTTCGACAAAATGAGGGAGTACTCGTTTTTCAATTTTGAACCACCTCATTAAGTTCCTCACTTTTGAAGTGAGGAGCTAAATGAGGTGGTGGACTTTTTGAGAAAGTAGCTAAATAACGAGTTGTTTCCAATGAAAAGGCGACCCGATATTTACTCAATATATTCAAGATTGAGGGAATGGGTTAAGTTTTATGAGTTTTTTGAAACGATTCAGATTTGTTTATGTGTTTCTTCGCAAATACGTATTTAATATTTTATAGATAATTGATATAAATTAGTCTAAGTAAATATCAAAGTTAATAAAAATGTATCTGTTTTATTTAGAAATGTATTTATATGATTCGAAATATAAATGATTGATCGATTTTAAAAATGGAACATTTGACACTATTAAAAATAAGTTGCATGTTGTGGTCATTCTGATAAATTATAGTCTAGTCAAGTTTATTTCTTAGAATCTAAAGACAAAATATGTTTTGTTTAGCATTACCGACTCCCTCCCTTATTTTGTACCAAACGGCAACGTTGCGCGCGCCTCGCTACGCACTCATTCGCTGCTACTGTAACATTACCTATCCTCACCTCAAATGAGTGGTGACTCGCGAGCCCCTCACGAGGAAAAATGAGGTCCTCACTCAACCTCATTAAAAAAGAGTGAGTAACATAACGCTACTAACAGGACTGACGAAATTTTCAAGCACTTGTTACTTTTTCGCGTATTTTTCATCAATGTTCAGGCAATCCACCCAAACAGCCGAAAGAAATATTATTACAAATATTAATTATACTTTCGATTTCATCTTTATCGTCATACTAACAGTAACAAGTACTTGAAAAATTCGTCAATCCTGTTAGAGCTTCGTAGCTCAATGTTTAGAGTAGTCAGCAACAAAGTGGATTTTTTAAAGAATATTTTTAAGTATAGCATTGTGAATGCAAAATTGATCAAATAAAATAAGTATTTTTGTCAAATATGGTTTTGACATTTAATATTCATTATAAAATATACAATAAAACCTGTTTAAGACTACTACACTGACCAAAAATTCAATACTGCAGGTCAATCATGCTAATGGTTACATAATAATAGCATCACAGTAGAAGCATTACACCATTGTATTATCTAAAGTTGCATATTATTAGTTCAATGTCTTCCTCACACATCAATGGTGACAGATACATAATACTATAGGAATTTAGGTAAATATAACAATGATAAAATGCAAGTATGTAGTTGAGATTCTATAGAGGTAAGATTTTTACGTAAAGATTAAAAGAATAGGCGTTTGACAAAATCTGGGTTGACTCATCTTTGTATTAAGGGCATCTTTTTATGTGTTATTCACATTCTCAATAAGATCTTTAATCGATTTAATTTTGTAAGGTGCCATATTGTATTAAGCAGGTTCTACTGTAGTATGAAAGCAGATTCCTGTACATGTGTGCGTAGAAGCAACGCTTTCAGTTACGGTCTATGTTATGGGATAAATATAAAAACAATTTTAATCTGCATCTTTTTAATATACAGAGATACATGCTCTCAAAATATATATTACAATCATGCAAATAAATATGCATTCAAATTGTTGAATTGAATAACACTGATAATAATTATTAAGAGATGGGGTAACTATCCCTCACATTTAAAATTTTGTCCAGGATTTTAGATATCAACCTTTACAAACTAATAAATTTGAAACCAATCTTCATCTTAGTAAATGAATGTATTAGTATATTGATGTAGATATATAATAAAAACGATTCACTTAATCAAAATAATAATATTTACAAAAGCAAATTATCCTAAAAGTGCACTTGTTACCTATTCATTATTGGCATTATACATACGAACTTGTGTAAAAATATGAAGTCTGCTTTATTATTTTGGGCAGAATTTATAGAGGAGTTTATAGATAAATAATTAATAAATTATTATCTATATCACAAGCTCTCGGAATGCACATACTGCCCAATGCCAAATATTAATAATATACAACATTCTTAGTATTAATCTCACTTTCTTTGCTAACAAACTGTGCTTATAACACTGCAGTCTTCTCAATAGAAAACAATCTGAGGTTTAATTGTCTAATTTTAAAATCTATCGCGACCTTTAAATTGACATTTGCAAGATATTCACGTACATCACGCTACAACTATTTGACATTTAAATTCAAAATTTTACATATTTTATTAATGATTCTATACGTGTAAAGACCACAAACGTGACATTGGCGGAATTGTGTAAATGCAAATAGGCCATGAATTAAAAAAGAAGAAGAAGAACTATTTGACATGTGGTAATGATGGCGTGACGTTTCTTGAAAGATATTAGAAAGACGACATCATTAACTTGACGTGTATATGCAACGCGATAAATGCTTGAAAGCTAAATTAAGAAATGATTTGTTTTTATCATGTTTCTTAGGGTATGTTCCGATATACACTGCGAGCACTGCGCAGTGGTCTTACTGCTGAAAAATCCGTTCCTTTATGGACTGCCAGTACACTGCTACAGTACCGTAGGGAAATTTATGACGTCATGAATTGCCGCCATATTTGTACTGAGAGCACTGGAGGTTTCGAGGTAAGGTGCTCACAGTGCTTTTGACCACGTGATCAGTCGAAACAGATAAAATAAAATACTTACGTTTATTATAAGATGGATTTAATTGATAAATATTTTTTTTTATACAATTTTCCAATTTTATAATATTTTCTTTTGAAAAGAGGGAATCTTTATATTAATATTCACCTTGCATTAACAAATTTGAAAATGGCGCCAAAAATAGGATTAACAGTATACTGGACTGCGTTCCGTTTTAAAAAGTCACCAGTATGACTAACTATAAAGGAACGGGCTTCCAGTATACTAAATTGACGTCATACTGTTCAGTGGTCGCAGTGTATATCGGAACATACCCTTGGTCATTCAAATCATTATTCGTTCCAAAAGCGATTGCTACTTTTAAAGGAATATAATTCCTTAGATACTTTGAAAGGAATTGAGATAGATTTTAAAGTTAGACAATTAGCTCAGTGTTTAATTTAAATTAAACTATATGAATAATAAAACTGACTTAAAGCAGAGGCATAAGGTAACTAACGTATCGTAGAAAATTTTAAGAATCCATAATTAGGTTTACTAAATGTGCCACAAGGTATTTTTTTATAAAATTAGGAAGATTCATTTCTACATTTTGGCACTACCTACTTCTAATGTTAATTATATTGTGGCATTAAAGAATTGTGAGTTATTTGGATTATAAGGGGAAGTACCTATTATTAGAATTGCTATCTATGAAATGGCACCATATATATTTTTTACACAGCTGTATACGAGATAATAGAAGCAATTATTTCTACTTTAATTAATTGCAAGATACAAATAGTAGATTTTGGAGATCTTATTTAAAAGATTACAAATCACTTTTATAGAGATCATCACATTATTAGATGGAAAATTGAAATATAGCAATAAGAGTGGGATGATCAAAACATCAATTTCTATTAATAAAATAGTTTGTATCGCCGCTCTTATCGTGGAATAATTGTATCAGCAATAAAATTATATAAACAAAACATTATCACTTAAATAGAAAAACATATACAATGAGAACTAATTATTATATAAATTTTTCCTTAAAACCTATCAATCCAAAATACAGCACCTTTCATATTGTTCACCCATTCACTGGCCACAAAGAGTAGGATTAACTGTGTTAATAAATCATTATAATAATCCCAATAACAAACAAAGACACATCTTGTTCTTCGCATATGTTAACAAAATGCAATTTCTCATTTATTTTGTAACCAATAGGGATGATGACTAATTTTTGTTTGTTTGTCCGTCAGGTAGAGTGTTAAAAATATTAAACATGTATTTGTAAATTTTTTTCGTAATCATAAAATTACGACGTTACATTGAGTTGAAATTTCGCATGACGTCACGTTAGGGTACGTTTTCTACTCAACTGTGACGTAGCGAGCCCCCACTTCTCAACTTTGATGCCTGTTATCTAAGCTAATTCTTGTTAAAGTGAAGTAAAAAAAAATACGGATCTAATATTTTTCTATTATCTGACTGATGGACTAAATCAAATTGCTTTTTTTTTACCCAGTCATCATCCCTATTGTGTAAAACAAACTTTAAGGCTTCGCTTAAAATTTATACTCGCTAACTATTCACGCGTCAATTGAATATTACGACAAATTTGTTGCAAATAAAAGCTCATTATATTTGTCTATGGTAACATAATTATATCGACGCGAAGACACTTCCGAAGGCATAACAGTAAAACTGCTGTGAATTCGAAATAAAAAATATACCAACGTTGATTTTACTAAAAAAAACACATTTTTAAACAATCTACTCCCCATCTTCGGACATTTTATCTAACTTCAATTGTTCTAACTGTAATTGTCGTCTTATAGAACCGAGCTGTGTTAATATACTGACATTCTTACCTTCATCGTTCGGTACAGACTTCAATATGTTCTTCTGAACCACAGGCACTTTCCACTTATCGTCCACTATCTTCATAGCATCACTCATATTGTTCCCAACTTTATCACTTTGCACTAAAGGCGAATGTCGTAAAACAGGTATAGGTAGTGAATCTATAGATGATTGATGTGTTAATTGTTGACGTTTCTCAGCTTTAGGTTTCGGTCTATCGTGTACTAAAACCCTTTCGGTTCGTTTTTCCTTTTCCGCACCGATGTTTTCTATATCGAACCGATCTATATTGTCTCTGAAATTCAAATTTCTCCTCAAGTAACTGTCGACATCGTAAGTGGGGGCGAATATTAAATTTTGCTGTATATCAACGTAAGGTGTTTCTTCATTAGTTGAATACTTGGTGTCGTATGTGAAATTCCTCTCTGGCACGCTTGGATAGTAGAAAGGCAATCTCGTGCCTTCGCTTTTGGAGGTCTCCACGCGTTTCTGTGGAGGGTGATGCGTTAATGGGGTCCGAATCAATTTTCGTTGTTCATAATCTATTTCTTTCTGAAGTTCCGTGCGTTTAATATCGTATTCTATAGCATTTTTCTTCATCTGCAAAAAATATGAAAATATTTTTGTTTAGAACGCCCATGAAAAATTAACAAGAACCAATATTTAGGTAAATTATTATTTTGTGATGACAACTCTGTACATGATCAGTGTATTATGGGCTTAATGCACTGATCGTGTACAGTGTTTTTATCTTACCCCTCATTAATTTAAAGCTTTGCAAGTGCATATTTAAATCAAAAGGAAACGCATTATGTATAAAAAAACACGTACAGTGATATCCATTTCTCTATGTTTACCCTTCTCTTGTTCCTGTGCGGCGCGCAACATCTTCAATTGTTCCTCGAGACGTCTCATCTCCGCTTGTTCCAACATCCTGGAACATTTTCATATCAGTATGTTACAACAGATTCTGTAGGAAAATAATAAATTTCATCAACTCACATTATAAAAAAAAAAACACTGATATATATCAGAAATATCGATAGCAAAGTAGTTAATGTAGCCGTCTAAAAGTTTTAGTACACTAAAATACGGCTACAATGAATTTGTCATTTCCATTTGGCCATTAAATCGTAGGTCTTAAAATACATTACATAACTTCAATATATTTTATATTTGAGTTATTATGAAATACATTATGACATACGATTTAAAACGCCGGACTAAAATCGGCAAATGTACTATGATTTTTAACAACGAAGAGAGGCCTAAATCTTTTCTTCTCAAGTTAATTCTCTTTAGATTAATTTACTAAACTTGGGCACTGTAGGTCTTTTTAATCATTCACTACTGTTTGTGAAATTATTGTTATTTAACATGAGTGTTTGATGCCACAATAAATGAAAAACAATAATAGATGCCAGATAGAAATTGACAGATACATATTGTTTTTTTTTTTTTAATATTAGGCTTCTATACGTTCGCAGGTTTTATTAGGTACAATATTGGTCTGTACTTACTTCTCCCTGGCTTTTCTTTCCTCCCTTATCCGCTGCTGTTCCATTATTTGGTTTTTTAACTCTTGCTGATAGAACTGACGACGAGCTGCAGCTTCCTGAAAGGCATCGTGCTTTACTATATTTTGTGTTTTGTATGCGCTCATTTCTAAGATTACCAGTAATACCATATTTTAAAGAAATAAGATTTCAAACAATGTTCTTGTCCTTGAAAATTTGATTAGAAATTAAAACCTGTAACTTTGCGCTAATCGAGCGATTGATTGACCAGCAATATATTGAGCTAAATGATACCTTAATTATAATATCGATTTCCTAAAGCGCTACATGAACATATTTTCATCAATGTTAAAGTCTACTCAAACAGCCGAGAGATATTTTTTTCTACAAATATTTAAATTTTCCTACCTTCTCTACTTGCATGTTCCTTATTTGTATCGCGTCTGCATCGAATATGGAGGGCATGTAAACGGTCTGCAACTTCTGGTTCGGTTTCCTCAGCACCGGGGAACGTTCTATAATCACACCCACACCATAATTGCGTCATCATCAGCATACTTATGGAGCACATCATCACAAGTCCTTATGATTGGATGGTATTTTCTTGTAATAAGAACTGAGAACAACAACTTTCGCTCCCCGGTTTGATCCTGGGCTGTGTACTCCGTCAATGGGTTAGTTTCGAAAAAATATTTATATTTATTTATCATAAAGGTTTTAATTGTAAGTAATTCAATGGACTACTTTTTGGTTATTTATTTATTTGAACCACCAGTGAAAGTAACGATAAATCTTACATTCCAAATCATACCAGTAAAATATACAAATTACAAAATTCTGTTGAAGGCGGCAAAAACGATGCAAAAATGTTACATACAAGACAAAGAATGAACTTAAAATCACAGAACTACGTACTTCTTACTTTCATCTAATTGCATTGGCTCCTTGACTATTTTAGAAAAAAGTAGTTTAAAACTCTCTTATTTTAACACTTTTCTCCATGATAATAATATTTACGTGCGTGAATGTCCGTGTCCGTGAATTTAAATTGTCCCGCGAAAACAATCTGTCATAAGATATTTCGATCTGTGACGTCACGTTTCAATAAACATAAGTATTGGTTGTACTCGCAACAAAGACTGACGTCTAGTTTATTGAAATGCGACGTCACACGATGCTCCGTCTTGACCAGCCGCATTTCGATTTTTGAAAACCTCAAAAGATTTTTTTTTATGTAATAAATTAAAGCAATCCATTGGGTTGAAATGTCGCATGACCTTACGACGAGCCCCACTCCTCAACTTTAATGCCTATTATTAAGGCCATTACTTGTTAAATTGATGAATGTATAAATATTATATATGTCGCATCATCTTTACGAAGATCGTTTGATTTAGTTACTTTTTTAAATTGCTAGTTACTCGATTGTAGAGAGAGCGTGATCATCGATACTTCTTATTTTATTAGAATGGTGACACTGCCTTTGACAGTTCGTTAACAAAAGCAAATTGCCGCCATTTTGGCACACATTCTGTTTCCGATCGCCGAGGAGAAAAGACATCCGACGACATCACGCTCATCTCGTTATATTTTTGTATGAAAAGTGATAATATGGAACAAATCCACGTTGGTATACACGCCTGCAGTGTTATTTTAAAGATAGTCCTCCGATATGGACCATCTATCTGGGCTTCGTAAAAGCCCCTTCTGTCTACCCGCCGACATATATATAATATTTTTTATCTGACTGACTGCCTAAATAGAATTTCTTTTTTTTTAGATGCAGAACATATTGTAACTTACCATTATGATCTCCGCAGCTTCTCCTCCTGTGCTGCGCGTTGTGTATGGGTTCTATTTGTTTCTCGTCATTGGTTATCACAGTGTGAGGGGACAACTCACGTTCCGCTTCAGTCAACTGGCATTTCGATGATGATAACTAACCAATTAAGATAATAAAAAAAAATCAGTTTTAAGTCCGGTATTGAATTTAAAATATAACAAATAGTGGAAAGTTTATTTTTTGATTAAGTAGCTTTCAAATTGTATGGTGGAGTTGAAACGAGTTCATGTTGTCCTTATGCCTAATGTATATTAATTTGGTATCCTGTGTAAAATATTTAAATTACAAAGCTTCATACCAAGCGGACTCAACATTATTAGATGACAAATAAGAAAAAAGTTGTTAAACTAAATGTTACGAAGAATCAAGATTATAATTATGCTAGGTAAATCAAAAGTGGCGTTTAAACTAGATATAGATTAAAATTACCTACCTCATAAAAATCTATATCATCAGTTTGTACAGCGACCGACAGCGGAGTTGTGACGCTGCTTACTTGTACTCCAGTGTCTACTTTGCTATAAATAACACAATTATTATAAATTACTGAAAATAATAAATATACTGAGATATACTATATATTAATTTATTTGTCGTAGTTTTTTTTCTGTCATAGTGAAAGTTCTTGGTTAATTCTACAATTTTATATTTGTATGTGTAGAATAAGGCACAATGAAAGAAGTTTTGTATGTCACCTGTAGTCCCAATAGTACATAGTAACATAATAATGCGTATTCAAATCCCCTCAATTTTTTGAGCTTAACAGCCGATTAAACGTAATTATTTAAAATCAATTGAGGTTGCTACTGAAACAGAAATTGCCACTAAATTATGCCAATATACGATTGATATAATTTATAATATAATAAAAAGACCATGTTTAACTCTCGGCGGAAGTCCATTAACTATGTACGTACATGATGTTTTTTTCAGTATTTTTGAACCGGCTTAACCCTTAGTGTTACATGGTGAGTTTTAAGACTAACTCCCCCCCACTCCACCCAAATAATGTGTATTTTAAGCACAGAACATAGAGAGAGATTAGAAGTAGTAAGTGGGCGGGGCAAGCGTGGCTGGCATATGCGCTTTTACTCATATGACGCCCTTTCCTCGGTTTTATGTTTGTCAGTCGTTCGTCAATCGTCGTGTGGTGATTTTACTGATTTTTTCTATAAAAAATACCGTTTTGTGCTATTATCACTTGCAAAAAGCAAAACAAAGTATACAATCTAACTAATGCAAACATTTTCTTTCACTGGTAAGTACAATTTTAGTGCTAAAATATAAAAAACGTAATAATTTGACACAATTTCAAATAAAATATACATTGTTTGCTCAAACCAACATTAATGTTTCTGACCCCGTTTCTAGACAGCAATGTAAATCATATTGTGCACTTTTACAAAAAATAGTGCTGTGCCTCCATTTGTCTGAAATGTACCGATAGGCTGCTGCTGCTCGGAATCGTATTGTTAATTATATGGATCGTAATCGATAACTAAAACAAATTTATTTAGAGCTTTTCTTTCATCATTTCATAACAACGTTATGGATAAGTATATGCCATAATTATATAAAAATAAATACTACTGTTTAAAAGAGACAATAAAAGATGAATTGATACTGAACAGATGAAATAATGAACTATCCAGGCACTTTTTTACGAAGATTCTGTTAATTATTTACACGCAGATAAATATTAAAAAATACTGATGTGCTATAAATATCTAAGTTACGAAGTATATCAACGTTTTATTTTACAATATATAAATCAAACGAAACTTCGTAAAAAGCTACGAGTGTTGGCCTAATAGGTCTTATTAGAAAGTGGTGAAACTGGATTTATATTTATATTTATTTCCCTAATAACTTTACAATGGATTACCCTGTTTACATAATTTATTTTGTCCTATCCGTTTTAGACCTAAACCTATCAAATGAATTTCAAAACAACATAATATCTATACAAACAAAAAATCATGTTTTCAACTAACGTAATATTGTTGGTGGTGTGAATTTAATTTACAAAATTAATTAATAGGCGTCAATTTAATTTACTTTATTATGCTGATTCATAATCGGAAACGATTATTATAGAAATCGAGTAAAGATAGCCACTTTAAAGAACCGCTCACAGAACAGCTTTTATCAGTTTTTTTGTTGCTCCATATTTGCACATAAGTTTATAAACGCATGTCTCAAACGGATGTGACTTTATATGTAGATTGACGTTTGTATGTACTTATCGCTTTTGTGTCTGTCTTCCAACTTTTTTGTCACGGCTTTCAAACTCATACTTGACCAGCGATTCCTTATTGTCCAGTCGTTGCAATTAAAAATGTAGGTACTATTATTATTACAGATATAAAACTTAGAATAATAAAGTAAAACAAACATGGCTTTAATCAATTTATTATTGTAATGATCATATTAGTTATTATGAAATGAAATGAAAATATCTTTATTCAAGTAGGCTATTACAAGCACTTTTGAATCGTCCAAATATTTTTTTTCCCTACCACTTGTTCAGGACGTCTTTTAGCTGACAAGAAGAACAAGCGAAAGAAACTTACCAGCCCTTTATCATAAGTAATGATATTTACATAAATCATGTAATTTCATATCATATCACAATAATAAACACAACTTTCAAAGTCTGTAGGACATAGGTTGAACATATAATTAGTCTTTATAGAACAAAGCGAAGGCTATCAATTCCACGCATTGCGATTCTTAAAATAATCATCAACTTTATAATAGCCTTTACTCATGAGTATGTTCATTACATGAATTTTAAATTTATTTATGGGTATGTCAACTACGAACTTTATTGAACATAGCAATGCATTTACCCAGAAATGATCCTCTTGTTATCTGAAGTCTGAAACTTGGAATGGCAAGTTTGTTTTTATTTCTTGTGTTAAGATTATTAACACTACTTCTTTTGTGAAGAAATCGTAATGTTTTCTTGCGTAGATAATATTTTCATTGATTTATTGAGAGGCAACAGTCAAAATATTTATTTCTTTAAATATTTCTCTGAGAGATTTTCTAGACCGTAAATTATATATAGCGTGGACAGCTCTCTTTTGTAGAATAAAAATATCTTGAATGCTAGCCGCAGAACCCCATAACAATAGATTATACGTCATTACACTATGAAAATAACTAAAATATACCAATCCTGCCGTTTCAACATTTGTCAAGAGTCTAATTTTCTTAACAGCAAATGCTGCAGAACTCAGTCTACTTGACAAATTATCAATATGAGGATCCCATTGCAGTCGGGAATCTAGTGTAATACCAAGGAACTTTGTCGATTTCACCAACTCAACTTTTTCACTATTTACATTTATAAGTGTATCAATATGCCTCACATTAGGTAATGCAAACTTTATGTATTTCATTTTATTTGAATTAAGCTTTAAATAATTACTACCAAACCACTGTAGAACATTGTCGAACTGAATTACATTTAACTGTTTCATAACAAAATTTAAAGCTCTTATTTTATCAACTAATATTATGTCACATCACTAATATGCACGATCGGAACGATACCAGTAAGAAAAAATTACAAATTAGGCTTAATGTAATTAATACAAAAATTCTGTTGGTTTCTTAATTTTTGTTTTTTTTTACACTTTCCCTCGCTTAATTATATTACTCCACAGACATATGATAGAGTTTATCATTAAGTTTTCTTAGTTTTTGTACTGCGTTTTTTAAAAGATATTTTAATAAATTATATAGGGAAAAGCGTTATTTTTCAATATTCACTTGGTTACAGCAAAATCTAATCTTAATAGTTCGCACATAAAATGATGTCCCCAATTTTTTAAAATGTGCATAATCTTAAAATATTTTTTCCCTTCTGGTATCCCCGTATACAGCCACGTGACAGTTCAACATTCATGTTAAAGTAAATTATTTATTATCACGTTGAATTAGAGTTTGTTTTTAATCGTGTGATTTCTTAGCTTAGTATCTTTTTGGGATTTTGTTTATGTTATCACGAACGTATCGCGTGGCGGTTTTTCATGTAGTGAACAAAATGATCATTTCATCTAATCTGTATTTGTGTGCGGAGAGGCGACACTCGGTTCCCATACTAAATCAATATCATTATACTTCTATTCTCTCTCTATGTTCTGTGATTTTAAGTATCTACAAAAAAAAACTTAATTTTTTACGCCGCTTTTCTGTTTAGTAATCGCGCGTTTCGGTTTAGTAATCATTACTACACCCCACCCTCTCCCATTGTGATAATTCGTGATTTTTTACGAACCCACTCCCCCCCCCCCCCCCCTTTGAGCCTCACGAGATTAATGGACGGCCCCTTGATAGAAATATTGACGAAAACGATAATATCGAGAGAAACAAGAAAGCTGATCTTACTTCCTATATGTCTGTGTAGCAGTATAACTGACACTGGATCTCCGTCGTTCGGGACTTCGTCTTGTCTGCTCTAACGCTCGCTCCCTCTGTTGTCTGTCCCTCTCTTCGCGAGCTCTCTCGCTCTCATCGTATTCCCTTTCTCGCTGTTCACGTTCCCGTCTCTCTCTTTCAGCTTGCTCTTTTTCTTCCTGTTTCTTTTTAGCTTGCTAAAATAAAAAAAAAATCAGGGTAGCTAATTTATTTCCTACCAAAATTCTACCAGTATCTTTGTCTACGTGAATTAAATAGTGTTTTTTGCAACTCATAACGATGGAAAACAGTTTTCCTGAAATTACGCAAAAAACCTCAATAAAATAGTGGTTGGCACATTTCTTCGGAATTTGAGGACTTAGGCAACTTAAGAAAAGGCCGGTCATCATCATTATCACCCGTCTGTGACTAGCAATTTTTAATTTCGAGTGTCTTTGGGTTTCCGAAGACACTTTAAGCCGTTGGTCCTAGCTACATTTACAGTCACAATACTTATAAGTTTATCATCATAGTGTCCATCAATCCTTACTAGGTCGGCGTGGTGGACTATCTTACCTAGATACCAGAGTTATTTTGTTATGTGGATATATCCCTACCTGGTCCAGGTATTCTCTATACTGCTGCTGACGTATTCTTCGTAATGTTTGTCGTCGTCGCTCGTATTCCCCGAGTCCTAGCAGCACGTCGCCTGAGGCGCGTTCTCCGCGGACCAGCGGGTTGTTGGGTGAATACTCCCCGGCTTTCAACATCACGGGGAGACCTAGGTAACGCTACAGAAACAACATCCATTATATATAAAAAAATGGTAAACTAACACAAGCATCTTCTTATTACTAAAAATTATTGGCGTTGCCCTTGTGGATTTCGCAATGATCTTGTGTTTTGCTAAATTGATTTTAACGTAGTTTGTCTAACAAAAACAAAACATTAAAATGTAATAATCGTTAAAATACGTTTGATGAGATTAGCGACCGGATCCGGCAAAATTACGATCGCAAACTCTATCGACACTCAACTCTCAGGTTTACCTAAGATGCGGGAGTTTTCGTTTTGGTTAGAGTTACCGTCCGACTTTAATAGAGGTTTCTGTCTTGAATATAATAGAACCACGACTTTTTCACATCTATAACTTTTCCGAAATTTGAAAATATTTTAACAGCGGACGTAAGTGCCAGGTATGTACCTTTTAACTTTTTTTTGAAGCTGGTAGGAGTTTGATATGTTTACTACTCAGTAGATTGGTAGTCGGAAACTTTCTATCTAGGTATACTCGTACCATTACTACTTGTCGTGTGTGCAAAGTAGATAATTTCAATTGTCCATTAAAAAAAAATCTGTCAGTTAAGAATAAGTCCAAGGTTTTAAGTTACTCTAGTGGTATATCGGATCACCACGCCATCATACTCAACAGCTGGAATGGTATTACTAGAGTTTGAATTTGAATTGGAATATCCTTGATCAACAGTTATAAATAAATATGGCATTCTATTAGTGAAAACTTGCTGTCCAGTAGTTTCTGATTTTATTATCGTCTGCCGTATAGCGGGCGAACCTGCGGACGAGCATATTGCCCCTCACCGCCAATGTCCTGCGCTCGCGTTCTGTCATTATAATCATCATCATCAGCCCTTTTACGTCCCCACTGCAGAGGCTCAGAGGATTCCTTATGGATGGTTGAATAATTTTTTGGTCACCCATCCCGTGACCGACCCTTGCGAATATTGCTTAACGACAACGATCGTGGGCACCGAGCTACTTATTATAATCCCTTAGATCATTTGTGACAGTATAACCCAAAACTATCAACCAGTTTCAACACTACGCCGTCGAGCTGCACTGGTGGAACAATGCGGGACTCTTGTCTAGGCGCCTCAAACACCATAAAAGGAAATATGGTTTTTAGACCGAAAGAAGTATTATTCCGAGGACCGGGTTTGTGTGTATCAATCACAATATAAAATAAAAACTTTGAAACCTTGAAATGCCTATGCTTTTACTTGTCGAATGTGCTTTTATTTAAATATTAATTCGATTGCAGCTAAATACTGCACGACTAAAGTGATAAAAAGTTAGTGATTAAACAGAGAAACATTTTTAGTCATTGTATTTAGAAAATATTTGCATAAATAATGATAATAATAACAAAAGTAATGAATCAGAATGTAATTTTACTTTAAAATATATGTAATGTGATAAAAACAAAATATTATTATTAAGAAAAATTATAAATATATTTCAACACAGTTTATTGTTTTATTGATTCGAACTTAAAATTAAAAAATCATTTCTTTTTTGGATTATAAATCATGATAAAAAAACAGTTTTCACATTAATTCACTGGAAAGAAATACAAGTTTGGTATGGCGGATGATCTGTCATGTATGGCTCGCAATGTTTTTACTTTTGGCCACCATGAGCGCTGCGATAACATGCATTACCTCCATCTAGTACTTCAGGCCCAGCAAATAGGCCACAGCCTACCCGTAAAAATGGACACAATAATATATTTTTCAATTCGTACCAGTACTTCCTGACCAACCAAACAATCCAACTCTTCAGCTTTATAATATTATAGATTTGTAGCTGCTGATGGCGCAGTATAATATCTGTATAAGATTTTTATTGCTTAACAGTTATAAAAACAATTAAGTTTATAATGTGCTGCTGGTAGAGTTCCTAATTGACTGCGAAAGTTCGACATTTGTGGTAAACTGATATGCTTGTATTGCAGAGTACCTTTTACAAATAAACAGATTGAAGGTTGCCAAATATTTATTCAATATTGCGCCCTTGATAATGATAAAGGTTAGTGAAATACGGTACAATATGCCTCGTGGTATCTAAATGGATGTTTATATTTACAAGGTTATAAAATGCTGAATCTTTTTTCAAATAAGTAGCTTTTATACTAGCTTTTATAGTACAAGAAGGACATCGATTATCTTAAAAGAAAAATACAGATTTTTAGAAAAGGAAATCACCGATTAGATCCAAGTGAACGACCCTAGAAAGCCAAGTAATCCGCATGCAAATACTGCACCATAATGCATGTAGTGGTAAATACACACCGCAGAGTCCAAAAAGAAATCACTGTTAAAAATTCCAATTAACAAAACGATGAATTTCATATAATGCCTAGCCATTAGATATAATGTCTATAATAAAAAGGTTGTTAGTTTTATTTTCTTTTTATACTAATTTTGACCATAACTTACATTACTTTAATCAAATCTATGATATTGATTATTGGTCAGTTTATCCCTTTCATTAACTTTCTAAACCAACAATAGAGTAAGACTGAGTGGAAAAAAGGGGCGGTTTTAGGTAATATACCCGGTGTGTTATTTATAGATTGTACCTTAATGTAATTTCATTAAATTAACATTGCACAATTCGCATGTTTTCCGTTCATAATAAGTTAAGGTATATATTTATATTTAATTATCCATATGAGAATTTGCCAAATTTTAATTCCTCACAGTGTTGAATATACTGATGTAGTGTATGAACCAGCCTTTACTTTGTTGCCGCTTCGTGCAAACAAGCAATCAGTCATACAAGCTGATTAAACACTTTAATTAATTGCACCACATTGTGCATACATTCTTAACGGTCGGTGGTTCGAAAAATTACTTGCAAGATGTCTTTATCGATATGTCAATAACAAAACAAATGTTACGTTTATAAAGTTGCAACAAGAAATATTTTAGGAATGCTCAAACTCAAAATACGATAACGAAAATATTAATTCATTGGGGTAAACCAAATGGAGTAATTCTACATTTAGGACTTGAAGAAACATGTAAGGTACTGTCGCCTAATAATTGCCCACTGTAAAATATTCTTAATGAAAACTAAAAAATCCACTTTGTCCCTGGTACTCTGAGATGAGACTCGAACTCATGACCTTTCGCAATCCAGGTGACTGCTCTAACCACTGAGCTTCCCAGGACTTAAATGGACTGACCTATTATAGCTAGTTATAGCATTGTGAATGCAAAATTAATGAATTTGATCAAATAATAACGACCACTGTTTTGAGCTGAAAAAAAAACATCTGATATAGCTATAGATAAAATATATATGTTAGTTAGTTTTTTAGCGCTCCAGCGGTTGAAAACAGCGGGCCTAAATTAGGCGACAGTACCTTATTAAAAAGATTTTATATTTGAAGACTTATGGCATTTTCTATACAAATCTACGTCTAACCTATGCTGTGGTTATATATTTTACCATTGACACAATTACTTAGCTTTTGTCAAGTTGTTCTTGATACAATCTGCCCTTGCCGATCCTACTAACAACCGAAAAACTTCACTAACTGCACTTAGACACGCAAAATAACTACTAAATAATAAATTAAAATGTCCTTTTCTCTTTGTATTGTTCTATTCTATAATATCGGTTCATAATAATTTGAGAAACAGATATTAAGAGTGCGGGCTACATTACTACAGACTTGAGACAGACTATTGAATTTTATCAAAAAAACAATATTACATTAAGAATATTTTCTAGTATAGCATTGTAAATGCAATATTGATCACATATAACATAAATATTACATTTGGGTAGAGTAAAAACATTAATTCGAAAGTCGGCATCATCTATCATCAATATTTGCAATATAATCAAAGTTTTATTTGTTTAATACTAATTTGAATATATTAATTATAATTTTTAAACAGGTTGTATAGTTTCTGTCTGGTAGTAGTTTATTGATGCATTTTTTTAACTTGATTGAGTTATGGTTTATAATAAAAACAATTACACCCACTTCCACTTTTTAAAATATCGTCAATAAATAATATAAGTATAAAAACCAAACAAGTGACAGCGCGGCCAGTCATCTAAAATTTTTCCAATCGCAAAATTTTAGCTATACCTAGCTAAAATAGAATAATATTATTTTCATTATTAGTTTATCAATTTACAAAAGAAGTACCGAGCAGGTAAGCCAAGTAAGTCAATTACAATTTAGATATTTGAGCTGGAAATTCGACAGTAAGCAAAGAAAAATAATTATACATTGGAATCTCGACTCCGTTCTGCTGTATCCACATGAACTGCTTCTTCTACTTATTTCATTATAAACAACGGTTTCCAAAAGAAAATCACATATAACATAAAGAACTCTGATAATAACTCATTTATCAATTAACCAGATAGTTACTAGGTAACGCAAATACGAAAAAAAAACTCAAAATTATAACACACTCTCCACAACCTTTCCATTATCGTCCCGAAAATTTCGCGACACATTTAACCTCGACGACAGTTATTTGCAGACTGTGCTCGTGACTTTGATATAGGTTAAATGGTGTGGAAGGGTGGTATTAAATAAATAGTAGACTCCTATACACGTAGGTATAGGTTTATAACACAAAACAGGCTAAAATAAATAGTAGTTGAATATACTAATGTATATACAATTGATTTGTGTATTTGCAATGCAAAAAAAATTGTATTGAAGAAGATATAAAAAATATTCTTAACGATAATGCTTAAAAAATCCGCCAGGCCCAAGTTCTCTGAGATGGGACTTCAACGGTCGTGATCGTGGGTCGTGGATTTTTCATTAGAATATTTTCCAATATAGCCTTGTGAATTTAAAATTGATAAAAAATATAATAATAAATACTTAAATAATTCTATACTGTAGTGCCCGAAATGGAATACAAATCAATAATCTTTCGATTTCGATGACTCTAACAGTTGAGCCATCCAAAACTGAAGAATTTCTAAATCA